AGGTATAATTTAATTGACATGTAGATAGACTTATCTAAAAGTTACCATAAAAATTTTCATTGTTTGATAAGTCCAATATCAACAAATTTACTCTTGAATTCGTTCTCATTTAATACTTGATCTAACTCTTGTTTGCTTGATATACAATCCTGCAAATTCATTAATATTATTAATTATGCAAAAATTACATGATTTTCCATAATGTTTAGATCACAAAGAAATTGCTTTATTTTTAACAAAATCAGAATCTTAATAAAAAGCATTAAGACTTTGTCACAAATGTGTAGTTGATTAATAGAAGAGTTTAATTTTGATAGAGGATGCTATAAAATAGTTTGAAGAAATAAAGTCTACGCTTTTGTAACAAGGAGAATCGATTAATTTGTAGAACATTAGCATATTAAATGATCTAAAGGAACAGCTTTCAAATCTTTGCAAAAACATAAATGTTTTAATTGACAAAATCAACTAAAATATTGATTCATAAATTGAATTTATTGAATAAACCTCTTAATCATTTCAGAAGATGATAGGTGATATTTAGTTTGATTAAATAGAACTTATCAACAAAGATAAAAGTTCATTTATAAAATAATAGGTGAACTTTAGAGAATTATAATAATCACTTATTACTTAAATAGGGAATTTATTCTCAAGCCTATGTAAAACAAAGCTTGAACAATTAATATAAGGAATGGAAGTGTTTGAACAGAATGAGATCATAAACCAATTTTTTGATTTTGGATTATTGACAAATCTCTAGAAAGAATAAACCCCTAATTGGATTTGTGAAAAACATTAACTATAGATAGCTTTCGTAGATTTATAAACATAAAAGAGCATTCCAAGTAGAGTGGCCTGTCTAAAATGTGTTCCTGAATATGTTATTCAATATACTGATTTAGATTAAATGCAAGAACTTTGGCAAAGTTATAATGAATAAGTTTTGGCTCTTTTCAATATATATCTAAGTAATACTTAAAAAAAACAATAATAAGTAATTCATTAATTGAAGGAATCTAAAGAAGTTATGATTTAACTATTTGAGCAAATAATATAATCTATTTAAGAAAAAGGCTCACAAGGAAATGATGAACTTGAATAGCATCATTAATTGATTTAAAAAGCTTGGTAGTAATTAAGCAAAGAAGATCTCATAAAAATTGCGAATTTGCTTAGTCAATAAAATAGAATCGCTCTTTTTAATTAAATTATAGAGAAAGAATTTTAATCCAAAGAATAAGCTATTGACAAATTGATTAGTTCATAAATGTTGTAGTTCTAAAATTTAATTAATTCTAGTTTGTCATAATTGCTTTCAAAGACAGCTATTCAAGATGGTAAAAATCAGATCAATAAGATTGATGCTGAAACATAAATTCAAAAATAATTCTCAATAAATTAATCAATTGTCAATCTTTAGGTTACTTAGAATAAGTAAAAAATTCTACAATAAACTAAAAAATCATTCAGCTATGAATTGATTTTCTAATTGAGAGAAAGTATTAAATGCAGATCAATAATATTTAATAAAGATTAATCTATGATGATTGTCGGTTAAAGTAGTGGAAATATTAAAGTATTTGAATTTAATTCTTAAATTTTGAAAGAGACCTAATAAGTTAAAGAGCATAAGGATTAGATTAACTCTTTAGTTTTTATGCTAAATAGTTCTTAATTTATTTCTTGTAGTGATGATAAGTTGATTATAATATGGAGCATGGATAATAAGAAATAATGGAAAGTTTTATAAAAATTAGAAGTTCATACTGATAAAATTAATTGTTTAATCACAAATAACTAAGAGGATTGTATAATATCTGGTAGTACAGATAAGACAATCAGATTTTGGATCAAAGAAAATTAATAGTGGAAGTTCAACCAGACATTGTCAGATCATACTGACAAAGTCAGATGTTTAGCATTAAATTTTTCATAAAATTAATTAATATCATGTGGAACGGATAAATTGCTATTAATCATATAATAAAATAAAAATAAATAATGGAATACAATCTAAAAAATACAGGTTGAAAAGTATGGATTTAGTTTATGTTTTATATCCGATACTAAATTTACATTCTAACCTGAATCCTTGAATGTAATGCATATTTATGAGTAGGATTAATCAAGCAAATAATTTATAAAAAACATACAAGAAGTAAGCATTAAATCAGGTGCAAATTGTTCTGAGTTATTCCCTTAAAAATATATTAAAGAAAAATAAATTCTGCTAAATAAGAATGGATGTTATGTAAATATCATTAGACATAAGGAAAATGGAGAATTTCAAACCATATTTTAACTTGAAAATATGTGTGATTGTTGCGGATTATTTGGAAGTATTTCAAATGATGGGACTTATCTAGTAACATATGAAAGTCATAGCAGTGAGTTAAAAATTAGAAAATATACAGAAAATTGAGTTACAAAAATATAAATTTTTTATAATAAATTAGCAACTATTATTTCAGTTTTAATAATGATAACAGCTAGATTATTTCAGATAACAATTAAAATAAAATAATAGGTAAGCACTTCAGAAAATAAATCCAATATTTATTCAAGCATCATAAAATTTAATTGTTTTTGATTTTTTTTGAGAAAAACATTTTGCTTAATTTTGAATTGTTTTTGTAATAAAATTTTTACAAGATCTTTATGTATTAGTAATGTTTATAATTTATTTAAAACACATTTATAATACTTCAACAACAAATTTAGTTCATTTAGATAATTACTACATTGGTTTCATTTAATCAAAATACGTCTGTAATATATGACGATTTGTATCGTAAAAATCGTTATCATATTCAGTTTTTTTAATAGCTTCTTCAAATGAAACTCCATTCATGATTCTATCAAGAACAACTATACATATTTTGATTAAACTTCAATAAATATTAAAATTACTTAATATTGTGACGATAAATTCTCAGCCTTTCCAATCTATAAACTATGGCAAAATATTCATGATATCCTACACTTTCGTCATATAGCTATTTCTCTAATTCTTCAATTGTTTCTTTGAAATTTGCATTCTCCTCCACTAAAATTTATAGAGCTAAAGATAATGCCTTTCTTTCTAAGTTAAAGTCTTTAATTTTAAAAAGAGTATCAATAGAATTTACATATAAAGTCCTATAGATAATTATAAATGATAAAATACCAATTAACGAATTTGCAAAATACTATTAAGTCATAAGGAGGAATGGTATATTTTAATTTAAACCTTTTGAATTTATTTAGTTTAAATCTATGAACTATCCAGATAGCTTCCTTCTATTTAAGATACTTTAAATATTCAACTCTCAAAAATGTACTATCGTATTTATTGTATTCCAAAGCCATTCCATATTTCAAGAGCATTTATCTATTTGACAAGCGACTATAGCAGAAATATACTTAAGCTCCTTTTTCGAAAGGATCTCTGGTTCGCATATGAAAATTTTCAAAATTATCTATTTCCCAATCAGATTTATAATACTCGCATTTACGATCAACTGGTTGAGATAATACTTATTCAATGGTTTCGAACCCTCTTAATATTTTCCTGCCAATTTTTTGAGCAAACATATTGATTTTCTGTTAGATTGGCTTTTTCATTACATTATTTAAAAACCCATATAAATAATCCTTATAGACAGTGCAAGTTATTTAGACTTTCTTGATGTCCTCCCTCGCTTTGGCTGAAGATTTTTCATCATCAAAATAATCTGAGATCGTAGTGTCCAATACATTGAATACTTATCCTAAAAAGAATATTGAATAGTTATCTCCAAAATCAATGTTTTTGAATAAGAATGATTTACAATCAATTGCTAATTGAGAAACATCTCTTTAGATATTTAACTTAATATAGAACTCTTTCCTCAATTTATTCAATAACTATTATTGATTTTGAACTCTTTAGTAGAATTCCTCCTGTTCTTCATTTGGTAATGGTTTTATCTCAGATATCTTTTTTTAATTTTCATGAAAATTTCTAAAAGAAAATTACTGAAATGAATCGAAATCAAATTCCGTATATTCGTTATAATCATCCATCACAAATTCGGAATCACTTATATCATCTTCTGAACCTTAAGAATTATCAGAAGAGGAAAGAGACAAGTCATCAACATCAACATCCTCTTGTCCTTTAACTACTTTCTTAGACATGAATACATCATCGTAATTTGAAGACCTGTCCTTGTACGAAAAGTCATAACAGACATCAACTTGTTCATGATTAAACAATTCACAAAATGGAACCATAGTGACATATTTCAATCCTTGGCCTCCAAATGATCTTGAAATAATATGTGTGTAAAGCCAGATTGCATTTTCTTCTGTTACTATCCCTGGTTTAAATAGGTTTCGATATTTATCTGTAATGAATTTAAGAGTTTTAAAGGCAACCATAAAATCTTAACGTTATTTTTTGGCTAACTTAACTAAATATTTATCTTCTAAGAATGCTTAATCTTCTGGTCTCCAAAACACTGCATAATCAATATCTCTGGGTAAATTGGAAATGAGTAAATGCCATTTTGACTCAGGACCTCTCTAATATTCATAGAGTAAAAATGCGAGGAATTGGTAATCTTCCCATTAAGGCAGGAATTTAGGACTAAATAGTTGTGGGAATTCCATAAAAATTTGCTTTAATGGAGATTCAAATGCATGCCGAGTGGTTAATAATAATTCTTTTGGTAGAGACACCAGAGTTTCCTTTGACTTTATTGGCTCCGTAGCTAAATCTAAATTTGCAAATACCAATCAAACCAGGATAACGCAACCCATTTTTTGTTTAAAACATAGCATATTAAACTTTATTGATCTTTAATCCTTTTGAAGTAAGTTCTTTAATATATTGTTATAATTATTCTGGAGCTTCAGGAATAATTGCATGAGCATCAGCCTTCTTCAAGGCTTTGATTTTGCGAAATTTTTTTCCTATACTATGTCTTTTCATAATTAATTTTATTTATTCTTTTTTCAGATATTGATAAATATTTCATGATGAGCTTATTTATTTAATCGTGATTCTGCAATCATAAGAATTGTTTCAACATTGTTATAAATTCAATAATCTTTTATATCGTGTTTTATAAATGGCAAAAATCCTTTTTAATTAAGAAATTAGCTTAGGAATAATTGATATTAAATTGAATAGATATTTTATTCTCAAATGTCTCATATCTTTGGAAAATTTATCTATTCATTTTAACATGAACCAAATCTAACTTATTGAACTAATAATCTTCAGGGTTTATAATTTGTAGATTATTAATTTATAATTACAACAAGATGTAGAGAAATAATTTATAAATCATAATCCAATCTACTAAAATTCAAACCTTAAAATATTTTTAGATATTGGAAGATATACTGCAAATTATTTATAGACCTCATATATATATTCATTAAATAATGTTCTCTTTCAATCCAAGGATATTCTTTATATTATTTTTTGCAATTGGATGATAGAATGCTTCATGAGTTTTGAATGTTTATACAGCAAAATCACTAAGATAATTGTAATAAATACTGATCCAATTAATTTAAAGCTCTATAAACTGGGTAGACCATCTTGCCTCTTCCAACAGATCCTAAGAAATCTGAAATTTAAATAAATCTCGTTTTGTCACCGGCTGTTAAAATTGCTCTGAACCATCTAAATTTCAACTCAAAGTCTTTCTCTTCTGTTAATTTTAAATCCTTATCCATTTAATTAATAACATTTATTTTCAATAGATTATTCTAAGCTTATTTAAAGAGATCTTCTAAGAAAACTTACTTCTATGAATGCAAGAAAGTAAAATAACTTTACCATTTAGTAGGCTATTAGCCGTCAGCAGTGATGTAAGCATTTGTGTAATCATAAGCTTCAGCTAATTTTGGAGTTGAAAAATCTAGAATCACTGGAGGCAATCCTGGAGAATAAACCCATTTATTCCAATTTTCTAAGATTTTGTATCTCTTAGTAGAATAATCGTCTACTTATTTCTCATATAAGTATCTCAGCAAGAAGTTTTGGAATTCCTGTTGATCAATGGATTAATATTTGTATTAAACCAAATAAGCTCTAAGCATCGATTGAAAATCAGCTTCTCCAACTATGGATTCCAAATAACTTAGAAACTAGTATCCTTTTTCATAAGGGATTTTGCTGAATGAATCATCTGGATTAAGTCCGGTAGTATCAGGATGAAGCGATGAGAAGTTACTATTAAGTCCAAAGCCAAGCATGTCCTAGTACATGGATGTATTTCCAATTATGGCATTTAATTTGATATCATCAGGAATCTGGTAATGGAAATACGATGCTTTTCTTTCAAGGAACACTGTAAATCCCTCATTTATCCACATATTAGCCCAATTAACACATGTTATGGTGTTACCAAACCATGAATGAGCCATTTCATGAATAGTTACATCTAATCCACTTCCAGTGCCTGTCATAATTGTAGGGTTAGCAAAGGTTAAGAGGGGATTCTCCATTCCTCCAATAGGAAAGGAAGCAGGCTATATTACTAAGGTGTAGGTTCCCCAAGTGTATGGACCAATATATTGTTCTATGGCCTACATGAACTATTCCATCTCTTTAAGTTCAGCAGTGTATGCTTCTATTTTGTCAGGCTCACTAACTAAAAATGTTCTGCCTCCAGTACTCGTTGGCACTTTCTTAATATTACCTGCTACTATTGCAATCAGATAACTAGGTATTGGAACTTTTTGAATAAAATATTTATATTTCCATGTGAAACCAGCTTAGTCTTAGGGTCTATGTAGAACTTGGAATTCTTCTTTACTTTCATCCGCAGACATAAATACATCTGCTGCTTCTGTATCTTTAAATATCACAGTTGCAGTGTAAGTCTATTTGACTGAAGGGGTGTCTTACAAAGGAGCCAAAGCTCTGCAATTTGCATCTTCACATTATGAAAATATGTAGGGCATTGCTATAATTATTTTAATTGATCTTACTTTTTGTTGAGGTTTACTCTTTTGTCATAAAACTAATTGATCTAGATCTCGAATCGATAGAGTATTTTATAGATAACTCTATGTATTATCCTTTGTAATAAGTCTTATCTAATTGAATATTCAGTCGCGATCCTTGGTCAGAGTCCTCATATGGATTGTCTATTGTGTGTGGAAGTGACAGTCCATTTTAAAGATAGGTTGAATAAATATTTAACTTATAGATATCCAAAGTTATCTATGATACATCAAATTTCATACTTTATTAATTGAACGACCCACTACTTAAAATCTATAAGATGAAGTAGCATTGATATATTTTTTGTCCATATTTAATAACCATTCTAAATGCAAATGCCTATTTTAGACATCCAGATAATTTGAGAATGTATTTACATCAAGCTCATATGCTAATGCATATTGCATCAATGAAATCATCAATACGATCATTAATAAATATTATTTTTAATAATTAGAGTATTATTGTATAAAGTAAATTCCTCAGTAAATCTGCTTTTTAGAGAATTCCCTACTTACTTTGAAATAATTAAAAACAAATGATCTCTCCTTTATTTAATTGTATAAAAGGGAGAAATTGAAAATAATTCCTTCATTTTTTCTAAGAAAATAGAAATCCCTTTTTTGATTCCCTCTCATTCTTTACAAAAAGACCTCGATTTCTATATAATCCCAAATTCATATTCCATTCAATATTATATATAGAATTAGATATGGAATTATTATAAATTATTAAACTTGATAATATTTGATTATTAAAAAACATCCATAATTATAATATATTATAAATGAAAAGATTGAATCCATAATCGTTAGCTAGAAGGTAACAAAGTAAATTCAAATTAAAGAAGTTATAAATGATTGCCTTTTTTTGTTGTAAAATGAATAAATTAAATCCACTTAGAATATGAATAATTTTTGTAAAATCTATCTCCATTCTATGATCTTGTTAATCTTATACTTTTATAATATATTCTAAATTATGAAAGAATAAATTTTTGAAATAATTATCCGATTTTATGGTTTTGTGGACCATTAAAAAATCGTAAAATCAAAAGATTCTTATTATAAAATATTTTGTCAAATTTTTTTTGTGTATTGATTTGTTCAACATTTATTTGATAATTTTAAATGAAAAATCTTGAGATGATTTAATATTAATTATTATTCGAATAAATGAAATTAATTCAATAGTGTCAGACTAGTATTATTTTGAGCAAATAAACTTGTCGTTTTAAATAGTTAATAGTGTAAAACAATATATTGGAAAGGAAAAATTAAAATTGACTCAAAAATAATTGATTAATGTTGGTCTGAATAGTATATTACATTTATGTTAAGGAAAAATAATTAGTTTTGAATTTCTAATTATATAAAATTATCTTGAAAAGTATAAATCAAGACGTCTATTAGATGGTATTCCCAGGATCTATTGCTCCTAATTCTTTCAATTGTTATATGGTGGTCTTGCTAGCATTTAAATTAGATATAACACAATCTTGAGCTTAAACTAGCTAATTTTCTGGGAGTGTTTTATATAACTTATACTTACATTTTTCACTCTAAATCAAATTATAAAGTTAGATTTAACCACTCTCGTTTATTGTAAGAAAATCCTTTTTATTTGGATGAAAATTTATTGATTTTATGTATAATCCTGGCAAATTTATTTATTATTGGACACTTAATTTACAATCAGATATATCATAAATCTGGATATTTTATGAGAGAACTAAAAATGAATTATTTGTTACAAACTTACAGGAATAAATAATGTTATCAGGTTTAAGTATCTCGTTTTATTAAATATAGTTATTTTCAATCTTAAAAAGAATTCTTAATTATTATTGAGTTCCTTCATTTGATGTAATAATTATCAAAATCTGCTCGTCTTAAGAAAATTGTGAGCAATTAATAGACATTTCTTATTGGTCCAAAGAGATTTTATTAAGTTGATTTTTAGAATATTAATAAATCTTTTATTCATTGTGATTAAAATAAGTGATATTATCCGAAAAGCAGATACCTATTTTTTCATCATAATTTAATTTTACACTGTTCGAATAGAAATGCTTGATTCTATCAATAATATCATCAACATTTCTAATAAAAATACTTTGCTAGCACATATAAATTACATCAGTTCCATATAAACTAAAATAAATTGGTATTTCAGTTTCTTCAAAATAGTATTTCTATTCTAGTTACTCTTTTGTGATGAAATAAAGAGAAAAGCTCGTAGGAGAATGCATAGTATAAAATTGCTGTTTATCAGAAGAAAATGCTATAGATTAGATATCTTAGTCAGATTTTTATTCACAGTGTTTTATATAATTTTTATTTTCAATAGAAAAGACCTGAATACACGTTTATTTTTATTCCTTGAAAATCAAAAGTAATAGATTTTCATACTCCAAAAAATATAAATTTGTCCTTTCATTATGATAAAATTTTTGCTCATATTCATATTTACATGTTGAGTTATCAATATATTTCCAAATAATAATAATAGTAGAAAATTTTTTATTTTCTAGAGAAAAACGTGCAGCAATATAATTTTAGTCCTAAGAAATTGAGAAATTGAAACATAACATTGATTCAATCTGTTTATCCAAAGCTTATTAATCAAAATTCACAGTGCTATTTTATTGTAGCTATTATTTTGAATTTCCGTCTTCTTTGTGAATTGGTTTTAATATAATCGGAGTTTTTTTTATCTTACAATCCTAATTCTATTGTTAATTCTCAAAACATTCAGTCACATCTTAAAGGACTAGTTGATTATTTTGATTTGAAATTACATATCTTCTACTTTAAATCAGTAAACATTATATTTAATTGGAAAACTCTTGATCTTCAGTTTAATTTTCTTCTTCCCATACTGCTATTGGTTTTAAAGTTTCAAAATTTATCACTCTAAAGATATGTAATTTGTTCTTTTTGCTTCTAATAGCAAAATGATTTTCCTTTTAAGCAAAACACATTGATAGAATCATTTCATCTTAATATTCCATTATTTTGTCTTTATAAACCATATTTTTAACAAAGAAGATTAATCCATTTTATGCTATTATCATTTATTTCTTATTTGGCGAAACAGCAATTATAAGTGAAGAATTATCAAATTTGTAATTGAAAACATCAATTTTTTGAGGTATTTTTTCAATATTTTCCAATCGGTAAATAAAATTGTAATTGCAATGACTTATTATCGCCAAATTCTAATCTTATTTATAAGAGAATATTAATAATTATGCTTTGAATGGTAGCCAATCTATATACTCATATTCTGGAAAACTATATATTTTAATACCTTAATCAGAACTTGTGACAAAGTAGTTATTTGAGAAAACCAAACTTTTGACCTTCTCTAATTCAATAAAAGTTGTATCAGTATTGATTTAATAGAATTCTGTTTTGCTTTAGGATTATATGACGATATTTTACCCATCAGGAGAATATAGAGCATTTTCAATTTTTGAATAAAAAATATCGGTGCCTTATTTGTTTTTACATATTACTAATCTCCTCCAATCATTTCTCGATGAAAATTCGAAAACCTAAATCATTTACCAATCGTAGATTTTAATTACATCTCCAGAGCTTACTGCCAATAATTAATGGCAATTGGACACAGTAAAATTATCACCCTAGGATTCTTTGGGATTGCATAGAAAGTATGAATAGTCTTATTTTTAACTCAGATCATATAGCATAATTTTAGTGTAATTAAGTAATAATACTAAAATATTACTCTTATCATTTATATATTTAGTGGCCATTTTAGTAATAATATCAAATTCATCTTCTATTTCTTTAAGATTATTATCATTTTTATCATAGTTCCAAATATTTATCTTATATTTAATCCCATCTTTTGATAATGAGCAGACTAATTTATTTTTTTTTTATGCAAAAAAACAAAATGAACTACAATGTTATTCAGGTTTTAATATCTTTATAACTTCATTCTTATCATTTATAATTTAAATTTCTGAGTTTTATATTGAATGATTTTTTTCAGATGAATCTTAAAGTTGTGAATCTTCTCTTTAAAAGCTAATATATTAAGTGTTGTTAAAGACACTTTTTAAATCTTAACTTCCAATTAATTATGTATTTTTCTAAATAGAACGAGGATCTAAAACTCCTATAATTTTAGTATTTTCCTTCTACTTTATCTACAATTATCCGCTATTTTAAGTTTCTATAATTCCAATTATTTGTTCCAATTTTGCTCCTGTTAAGTCTGTTGAATTGAAATTACAAAAACTTATATCAACATTTTTCCAATGTGAATTACATAAATTTGCTAAATAAAAGCTCAACCCTGTTATATTTATATCAGATATGTGAATTTTACTTAAATCTTCTCCTTCTAAATTTAATTTCAGTATTGATAAAAGATACATACTATTGGATGATGTTTTAATGAAACTTTCTTCTGTGGATAATTTGATTAATTAAATAAGAACATCCTTAATTTTATTTATCGTTAAGAGCTAATCTGAAAGTAAAGCTACTGTTTCAGTATAATCATTTTAACATAAATTAAAATTATTAAATTTGCCAAGTTTCTCTTTTGATTTATCTTTTTGAAATTCACTAATTTTAATAAATACGAAATTTGCAATAAAAAAATCTTTGAATACTTTGTCTAAGAATATTTTTTTTTCTCCATCTGATTTTAATAGACAACATCTTTTTATTATTTTTATTGTTTTATTTTATTTGCCTGATTCGTTGCTTCCATTTTATTAGTTTGGTAATGCCAGATTGGTTTAAAACTCTCTTACTTTTTCCATATTTATGTTTAATGGTAAACACAAACGTTCCCATACTATTAAATAATCTTCGATATATTAATCAATAAGAGAATTAATATATTCAAATTTTGTAAGTTTAGGATTCAAAATCTATTTTATTAACATATCCCCCTGTTGTAATCTATATTTCTGATTACTTTTTGTCATTATAGAATCTAAAATTTTATCAATCTCAATTGGTTCTTCATTTTTGGAAGAAGGCGAATTTATGTCAGATGAGGAACTACTAATACTATTTAATAGCTATTTAAATTATTTTTTCTGTTGTTCTTGATAATGAGCAATTAAATTCTTTGATGTATTGTATTCTTAGAATCTTTAAGGAGAATTTTAAGAGTTCTTCGAAGTAATTAATTTAAGCAACAATTTGAACTAATAATGAAAGGAAAAACAAGGTACAAATATGTTCTTCATCATAAAGTTTAATTATATCATGTTAAGTAACTTTTTTTAAATATTTTTTTTGGATTAGTAATTCTCCTGAGTTAATTACAATTTAAACTGCCTAATATGTTCATCGTGGATCAACATTTAGCCATCATTAAAATCGATGCTAATCATTTACTACACATTAATATTAATCTAATTTCTGTCAATATTTTCATCCATCAGATGTCCAATACATTTTTCAATATATTCTTTCTTTTATTTTTCATTGAATTCTTTTAATTCAATTTGAATCATTCTTTAAATTAAGGGTTGATAAGCTGGCAGGTCTTACACCTATTCTCTAGTAATTAAAACGACTTTTTAATTTTCCTTTTTAACTTCACAACCAAGCATTTTCATTATGTTTTTTTTTCTAAACCCAAAGCTCAATTAATCATAATAATCTAAAAAGATGATTAATTTTTAATCTGCATTTAAAAAGTCTTAAATTTATTACTCTATCAAGTGAAATGGTTCTAATCTTAGAGTTATTTTTAAAAGTTCAGAAAGATTCCCATTCCTCTATTCAATATCAGTTAAATCGAAATAAATTGGGATCCAATCAGTTTTTTTCCATAAATAATCTATTATTGTCATTGTTAGAGTTGTTTTACCAGACTTAACTTTCCCAAAAATCCAATATATATCCTCTTAATTCGTTGAGAACAGATTTTTTATTATCTCTTCATCAAAAATATACTTTAAATTCGATGAAGATGTTTTGATATTAATTAAAGGAGTTATATAATCAACCTTCTATTCTAAAATTAATTCTTTTTTTTTTTTTCGAACAATATCCAATTAGTCTTTATAATTAAATTACTATATTGAACTATCATTAGGTATATTTACAAAAGATTCAATTACTTATTATTAATTATTATTTAAATTCCATCTTGTTCTCAATGACTTCAACTTCTGTACAGAGTCAGGAGATTAATAAACTTTGTGATTGTCAAAAAATTGTTTAATTTAATCTTAAATACTCTTATTAACGTTTTCAGTATGTTCTAGAATAAGAAAGTGATATGATAACCAAATCTAAATTTCTTTATAACTTATGTCTTATTATTTTATGATCGAATTCAAAAAATATTCATCATCTTAAGTAAATATCTGTTTTACTTCATAAACTGTTTTTATAAAGTTTTTTAATTAATTATATTTTTTTGTTAAACCCAACACATATACCAAATTAAGTTATGCTGCAATAAAAATTTGATAGATCTTTATCTATTTCTCTTAATCTTAATTTTTAATAAAATCATTAACAAATTTGTCCAAAGAGATACCAAAACTGTTAGGTTAGATTAATTTATTCAGCGACATTTGATAGAAATAAAAAGTTTCATAAGGGCTAAACTTACCCTTTTGTTTTTTTAATTCCTCCCATTAATTATTATCGTATTATTCTTATTTACTGAAATCACTTAGTAGCTTATATTTTTCAATATTAGTTTCCGGTCTGTATTCATTTGCTTGTTTTAACAACTCGAAATAAAATTTAAACATTATTTTAAACCATTCAGGATCCTAAGATATTGATAAAATAGATCTATTTATTTGAATGAGTTGATTTTTCTATATTTTTAGAAATTCCTATTTCCTCATCAATTCAAAATAAATCGATATTGTTTAGTATGTAAAAATGACACAATTATTATCGAAATTTTTTATTAAGGGTATAAATTATTGTAATTAGTCATTCTAATGAATAGCTTCTATTACCTTCACTTTGACTTCTTCAACATTCAAAGTCCTTGGTTATTAATTCTCAGGAAGTTATTAGTAATTACTAACTCTGCCTCTGACGACCATTTTTTAGCAATTACAACAAGCACAACCTCCTCCTCGAAGACTATTCTTTAAAATAAAGTTCTAAATATTAAGTGATTCCTCTTTTTATCTTTAGATTTATGGTAATTAATCAAAATGACTCATTTTAATGTTCAATCGAAAAAAGTTTCGAATTAATTATGATTTCTGAATATTTGAAATTATATTCTAAAGAATGATTAATTCGCGCGATTGGAATATTTTAGATAATTATTTCATTCTTTTATTTAATTATTGAACTAATAGATTTGTGATGCACTAAATTAAAAATCTTTTTCATACATATATTTATAATATAATATCAAATTTTTCAGTTTATTTTTCGATTAATTTTAGGGTCTATAAATTACACATTATTCAAAATAGGATCTTCGTTTATTGATAACCATAAGTCCATAAATTTGTAGATAATTTTTGAGATTTTTAATAGGCGAAAAAAAGATATAACAGAAAGAAATTAATTAATTAATTAGATATTTTATTATCCTGCAATGATAAAATGTTAGAGTTTTTTAATTGAATTATAAGAGTTTGAAAAAAATTTATATTTTAAATATTCTGTTTTATTCTGAATAAAATGGAATGCTCTATTTGTTGTGATACGACAGAACTTTTGGAATTGCAATGCAGTTGTCAGATCTGTTAATGCTGTATGCTAAAATCAATTGATGCAAAGTATTATGAAGTGATTGAGGAAATTCATTGTCCTGGTTCATGCCAAAGCAAACATACAGTAGAAGGATTGATGTAAAATTTGGGGGGATTAAACGATCTCTTGCTTGAGAAATACATAAAAACTACTTAGGATATAAGAATATGTCCTCGAAATGATTGCCAATATGGTGGAATAATAAAAAATAATTGTTAGCAATTTGAGTGTGAATGCGGATATCAATTCAAGTTAAAAGATGAGAAGTGGAATTTAAGAAGCATCTTTTTGAATTTTATAACTATAAAGGATTGTCCGAAATGCCAAAGAAGAATTTTTAAAAATGGGGGATGCAATCATATGACATGTAAATGTTAATATGAGTTTTGTTGGATATGTTCACAAAATTACAAAGAACACAACAAATTGATATGCTCTGCAAACATTATGGTGAAGATCTCCTTATTAATGTTTATGTTATTAAATATTGTTTATTCATTAAGATTACTTGAAAGTTTTATGACTGTAGTACTAATAATTTTAAAGTAATTATTGCAATAACATTATTTAGACTCATTTTATTTAATGGCAGTCTATTATTCCTCTATTTGGGTATAAATGAACTATACTAAATATCAAAACTGAACTTAGAATGCTCAAAATATTATAGCAATGGAAATGAGACATTTAAAAGAATCATAAATTAGAAGTGGATCATGTTCGTAGTACTCATGAGTTAATTTTGCCTTCTTTGTTTCTTTTTTTACTTATGCTACTAGGAACAGTATTAACTTAATTATAATAATTAGATTCATAGAAACTTACTGTCATTTCTTATTTTCTGAACTTTCAATATTTATAGTGTTAGGAACCACACTTTGGATAAGATCTAAGAAATGATTTAATATATATTAATTAATTGTATAAAGAATCAAGTTGAAAATATTTCTCCATTTTTTCATTAAAATATAGACAAACTGAGTAAAGATATTAACGAAGAGAATAGAAACGGAGGATGAATGATTAGATAGATAATTTTGTACTATACTGATATGTTTTAATGAATCATCATTACTTTTCAACTTCCTAGTGATCTTTGACTTATTTTTTTTCAAGTGCTGTCAAATACAAACCATTGTCATCTGGGAGGGAGATCAATGACTTTTTGCCTTTACCAATAGTGAAGATATTGTTGATTCTGGTGGAGAAGTGTTTTCCGTTAGAATCCTAGTGATATGTTGAAATGAATGATTACTTTAACATGGACAATATCAAATGATCCAAGATGTCTTTCTCTGTGTTGAATGAGTCCAACTCTTCCAATATTGTTACCTCCAATGATGTAACATAAATTTCCTAAAGTGAATAGTAATTTCGTAATACCTGGTTCTTCTTTGAGGAATTCAACAACCTTTCCTGATTCTAAATCGATTTTAAGAGTGTCATTAACATGGATATCTGGATTTGGATATCTGATGGTTCTGGCATCATTGGTGACAATGTATGGGACATTGTTTGGACCAACTTTCTTTTAGGTGACTTTAACAAGCTTGAATTTAGCTTCCTCTGGTTTGATGGATTTTAAGATGAATTTGCCTTGAACATCATATAAAACTCTATAATTTTCTCTTGTCTTATCAATTGTAATGACATCTATAAGGATGATATGAAAAGGAGATACCCTATAATCCGACTGGATATCCACTATCAGTTCTCACTTTTCCATCAACCTTAATGTTGCCGTCCTTATCAGCAAGAATCATGGTAGCATCTCTAGCATACAAGGCATATTTCAATTTATGTTGCAATATGACAGAAAGTGGAATTGATTCTCTTAATTTATGAGGTCCTTATGATGGTCTTGTGGTCCAATTTCCTCCTAATTTTGAAAGCATCCAACTTTTGGGTGCTGTGATTCTTTTCATGTGTTTCTTTGGTCCTCTTGCCTAAAATTGACATCGATATAGTTTTTACCATAATTGTTTCAAGAAAAAATTAAAATCTTTTTTAATTTATTTCAAAATGTTCGCATTATAAACTAAAACTAGGCATTGCCCTCTAAATATTATATGATCATATATATAAATAAAGAATTTCATTATTTCTTCTCCTGCTCATCAGACTAATTATTGGCATCATCCACAAATTTATCAACACTTTTCCTATTAGTAGTCTAAGCGATAAAGTTAGATTTGAATCCAGCTCCTTAATTGTCATCTCCTATGTTCTTAAAAATACTAAGTGGCTTGATCCTACTTTGATTCTCAAATAGCTACAGTGGAAGCATAATTATCGTAATTTTCATTAAGTTGAAAATCCTACCATTTAGTCGGAAACTATTCAATAGACTTTATAAGTTCAGCCAACGTCACTATAGGGTAGGGTATTTTCTAGTTTTCTAGTTTTCCTGGATTATTCTATTATTGTAGTACTTTTTTTTATTCTTAACCTCTTATTCATCTAATCCAAAATTACTTTTGAATTGTCTTAATTTATGAGTCTAAGGTAAAAATATTCATGACCTTAGGCTATTTTATCTTTCATTCTACAAATTTATATTGTTCTCTGTTTGCACTATTCAATCGTATTTATATTTTTTCACCTCTCTTTTCTTTACTTAATCCTCTGTCTATTTCTCACCATTCTTATCAAAACACTTAATTTCAGTTAAATTCTCTATCAACCACCCCTCTTTTTTTACATTTTCTATTTATTTAATTAATAATTATGTTTAAATTAAATCCTAAAAAGGTACTTATCAAAACACCAACTATTTATGATTACCAGGCTAATTTGCCTGTCGAAGTAATTGTCCAATGTAAATCTAGACTAGAAAAGCAATTGTGTTGCATGTTATGAATAAGAATCCAAAGCTTAAAATAAAGGGAGGAAATTCAATGACCAATCCCTACAAAATACCATATGAATTGGCTATAGCAGATTAAATTGAATAGATGGAAAAATATAAAAATTCCATACTCTGGTCTCCTAGGATGACTCCTAAAAAATTCACTTTTGCTTTCATCTATCCAATGGGATTTGCCTTAGTCTTGCTTTGGTATATTCATAACGTTGCCATACCAAGAAGAATGGTAGAAATGAAAAGAAAATATGGTTACGTCTATCCAGAATTAGAATCGAAGGGCTGGCTAGATGGTTGGTGGGATTACGAATAAGAAGAAACAGAACAAATATTTGATATCATCAACATGGAATTCAAAAAAACAGAAGATAAAGTTAGAAATAAGCAGTATACCGATTTCACCATTTCCGATTTACAAAATTTCGGCAACAAGCCAACCTATGAAAATTCTGGAGAAACTTAAAATATTCTGAAATCTGGAAAATAAATCATGTAGGTCAAGGAAAAACAGAAAATCTAATCCTAATTTGAGAAGATCTTACAGTTACAAACAAAACCATCATCATGATAATTCTGTCTTTATATATATATATATTTAAAAAAGTAAGCAACTATTTTGAACTTATAATCTTAAATAATCCATAATTATAAATGTCTAAATTCTTGATATTAATAATTGTGAATTTAGTTAAAGAAACCAAATAAATGTTTGATGTTAATTAAGTTTATATAAATAATTAACATCAAAACATTAAATTTAAAGAATAACTAAGGATCTGATTGATTACACATCTCTTGCCTTGGGGAAATAAGAAGTTGAATTACTTTAATGTAATATATGACATCATATTATTTATATCAAATTATTATATCTGGAATTGAATTGCTATCAGCTAATCGCAATATTTTTAAATACTCAAGCCTATGTATTAATGGTTACAATACTTTGCCATATTTTTATCTTATAAATTATACTTCTAATTATTGATGTTATCGCCATATCTGATATACATTTCCAATTCTGACAAAATTTACAAGTCTTCAGCCTTTAATTGAATTTTGTTTCTTTTTACATCAAAGACCATTTAATAAAAGACAAGGTCAAGGATATCCTAATCTTATTTATTGAATTAAAAAAACTCTTTGATAGTCAGATAGATTTCAAATCTTTTATTCAACTTATACACATTGTTGTTAATTTCTTCTTGAAATTCAAGTTTATTGAGAATGTCAAAGAAATTTGCAGATTCATCGAGCCAAGAGGTATTGTAGATGTTGTCGAATTTGGTATGCACTACAATTAATCCAAAGTGATTCCAATTGTTTTATTAACCTACATAATTACATGCACTTCTAATAACCGATTTCACACTGTAATGATGATCTACTTCAACCCATATAGGAGTGTCACTATGAATAAATAATTTCACTATAGATTGTTTACATTCAAACATCAATTAGATTTCATCTGCTTTTGGAAGATATTTCCTAGGACATAATGGTATTTTTATTTCATTTTTGAACACCTGTTCATTAGTATTGAGAGCAAGATTCTTAATTAATTACTTACAGTACTTGTAAATCTCAGGGTCCTTAAATAGTTTATTTTCTGGATTCTCAATTTTGTCCACTAAATACTAAATATATGGAATGGGATGATAATATGGTATACAATGAGTAATGACAATACATAATCTCAATAGATGATGCAAATGTTCTTTTTTATTCCCTTCAATTTATTTAAATATCTACAACAGAATCTCTTCTCTGTTTTCTTGATTGCATTCATAATCTTCTTAGTTGCTGAATCTCCTCCCAGCAGTCTCTAATTGGATTGACTTTTTTAAAGCATCAATATCAATTGTTTTAGCTTTCAGCAGACTCTTTGGAGCTGGAGGTAATTCAATCTATGCGTCATTCCCAATCAATGCACATAAGATTTTCTCTAGATGCTACTTTGCTGATTGACGAGATCTCTTCATATGGGCAAATTTGGTAATACTCCGAAACACATTCAGAGCAGTAGTTTCATTTTATAGCTTGGTCAATGGGTGCTTTAGATTTTCACTTTAGCATTTCATAATTTTTTGAACTTATTTCCCTTCGTGATTTAACACTTGTTAACAATAATCATAATATTTGTGCTTCTCCATCCTAGCCATAAATTCCTTATCCAAAAAGAAACTCAAATTCTTGTCTGGAGCTGATCTAATGTCCAAGATTCTTTTATTCAATTAGCAATTGTCATATATTATATATGGTTATGATTTTGGATTCTGGATCAGTCTCTGTATTATGAAGGTCTTTTTAATTTCTGATTTCTTCTACTATTCTATCTATTCTTGTTAGAGTTATTTCAAAAAGCTCATCTCCTCATCCTTAATCCTCTGTTGAATGGCCAACTTCTATTTTACAAACTTCTCATATTCACACTTTATCATCACTTATGGTGTTGCCCCAAAATATATTTTGAACCCCTGAGCCTCTATCTATTCTAGTAATTCCCTCTTTCTTTATTTTTATTTCCAGTACTCTGTCTTGTCTTCCAACATCTCAAAAGCACAATAATCAGAAACATCCCCCATCTTCATCTATTTATACTTCTCTTTTGAGTCATCACTAAGCATTTCAAATGAATCCAAATCTGAATGAATTTAGTTCGATATTAATTTAGCCTTAATGATTCTTCTATGAACTTGCTTCTATTCATCATCAAGGTAAGAATAAGCATTTGCTTGATAGTCTAACAATTGATCCTCATCTAATAATTTGTAAGCCTCGTAATCCGAAAACTCCTCCTTCTTCAAGTTCTCCTTCTCCTATTCATAAACATTAATCTTTTCTTGCAGCAATTGCTATTTCTATTGTAAAGTATTAACGTCCTCCCAATCATAAACCTGAAGTTCCTTCAATTGTTGATCTCTAACAGTCTTATCCTTCAATAACATATATGCCAAAGACACCTTACCATAGACAGCATCCTTATTCTGCAATAATCTAAATGCCACACTACAATTAGGATGCAAATGATTTTCAAATAAGATGGGGTTTATGATGTTTTTTAAAAGAATCTACATCTTTTCCTTCTACTTTCTCTCATTCTTCTTCTCAATGGTCAAGGCCCTATAAGCCAAAGAGTCTAAATCATAACAAAAGTTGCCGATATCATTCATAACTTTCTTCCTTTGATAATAATCATTTAATCGTTGTCTTCTTTAATTCCATTGGTTCTCATTTAAAAGATTAAAAGCAATAGAATCCAATAAATCATATCTAACCAATCCCAATTCATCCAGTCTTTATTAGGCTTATAATCTTAATTGGTACAATTCTTCGTATTTTTTAGGATTAGCCATTTATTTGGCAATCCCACTCTGACCATCCTTTTTTAATTAAAGATACTAATTAACATCGTCAATGGAAAGATATGCCTCGATATCTGATATATCCTTACACAATCTTAATTTTTCCTTGTACTTAATATAGGTGTCTTTATTATTATCCAGCAATTGAAATGATTCAGGATCTGATACTTCCACATCAACACCAAATCTGGCCTTACTTTACAAGAGCTGTAATGGTTTAAATTTTGCCTTCTCTTTTTTATATTTCTCTTTTTATATTGGCACCAACAAAAGAAATGCCTCTTAATCTGATAAAGGATCATCCACCAAGAATCTTTTTTTCTAAATTTGCCTTGGCCTTTATTAAACTAAATATTGTCTCCTGTTTTGTTACTATTATTCACTTAATAATGACAAAGCAACATTCTTTTAATTTTATAATTTTTTCTTCTTGTATTCGTTCTATTATCCAATCGTTAATTATTTGAATGCCTCTAAATCACTTAAGAATGGCTCCAATTAATCATAGTACTTCTATTTAAAATCTTTTATTTTATTTAGTCTTCTTTATTATTTAATTTTCAATTATTGATTTTGATCCAACAATCTATATGCAACTTACGTTTGATTTTGCTTTTTCATAATCAAGTACTGAAATTTCTATTCCTAAGTCAATAACTAAAAAGATTCAGGATCAGATGCTTCGTTCGATATAACCTCCAATTCCTTCAATTATTACTCTATCTTCTTTTTATTTATGATATCCTTCCTCTATATCTATTACTCTTGAGTCAATAGACTATAGGCTACATCTGAAACTTCTTCATAAATTTAACCATTTATTAAACTATGTTATTTCTTTTTGATATGTTCCTTCTTTAACTTTTTATATTCTTCTAATTAATGTTTATCTAGTAGCACATAAGATTCATCATCCGAAACTTCAATTATAATTTCCTCTTCTTTTTCTTCTCTTACTTGAGATTAGCTCTATTTTCTAATTTCATTTTCTATCTGTGCCAGCTCACTCTCAGATATGACCTATTATTCAGTTGATTTGGTCTTTGCAATTTTCTTAACACAAGCCAATATTACTTTCCTAAATTACCTAATTCTATATGCTCGTTAAATAATTTTAGCAAAAACACTTAGTTTTAAATTGTGATTACACAACAACTTATTCAAATTTTCAATGGCTTCTTTTTTGAAATAAACTTAAGACTGTCCAAATAATAACCCCTTTGATTATGTCAATCGCTTACATATTTCAGTGACTAAGGCTTTCATGTCTTAATTGCTATTGATGTGCTTTTAAAGAGAAATCTTTCTATTGAACACATCAAGATGATGATATCTTGAATAAAAGTCATTAAATGTTAATCGATAGGGATAACTATTCTTAAAGAACTTAATTGAGTCAAAGATTCTAAATTGAACTAAATCCTGTTTATTTTGAATGACCCTTATGAATAGCATCTGAGTATCCTTGGTCATTATGTTGTTCAGTTTACTGATATTGGAGGGTATCTACACTTTACTTTCTAGCTCCTCCAATACGGATAAATTGTCTTCAAATGAGATCTGCTTATATAATTCATGCAATTGATCTTGGATTAATTAGTTCTAACAATTCTTAAACACGCTCTAGATGTATATTTATTCAATCTTTTCTTAGATGTACTCCGACAACTGATCTGACTTTCCTGGATACTCCAATATGCTGATCATTTATATGTTGTCATTCAGTTGAATCAGACCGTTGATTATCAGGATTATCTTTTCAAACATATTCTAAAATTGTTTTGCATTCTCGATTTTCTCACTTTGGATTAATTTAAGAAGCTCTGCATTTTGTAATTCTTCCCATTTTTGCGTGAAGAATTACGCATTCTAATACTCAGCCAAATTGACATAATACGATTGAAATAGAAGTCCAATCAGTCTTCTTTATTTATAAATGAATCTATAATTAATCACTCCTTGTGTATGGCCATTGTTGTCTGTTATAAATGATTTTATTAGGTTGTAATACATGATTGTGTCTTTATTCAGAAAATTCATCATATCATTAATAATTGATGTTTTGCCATATCCTTTGTTTCCCGTTACAATAATCTGTGAATTTTTGCCTATATCTAAATTTTGATACGCATAAAATAACGTTGAAAATATGTGAGGTGGTATGGAACTCACAATCAACCTCTCATCGATATATTTTTTATATTGCACAAAATCTGCTAAAGAAGTATTTACACTTTACAAGAGGATCTACCTGTCTAGATAAATTGTATTTTTTATTTTAAATAAGACTTCTGGTTCACTTATATGTGGCAATTCAGTTAGATCTATAGCTTTGCTATTACTTGCTCTTAAAATCTAATTAACAGGTACATCTATAGTTTTGTTGTCTGCCAAAATTACTCTAGCAACACTCCTTTAATTGAGCAACTTTTAGATGTGTCCTCTTGAATATTCCTCATCAATCGAAACCCAACAAAATGCCCCATCGAGCATCCATGCAGTGTTGGTGTACATTTTATTTTATAAATAAATCAAATAATCTATGTAAATAATTATAAATTTACAGGCTTCTTCAAAATATTGAATGGCATTCCAAAAGAAACACACATAATTCAATGAATCAATGGGGATATAATTTCTGATTGATTTTTAAAGATAATACTCTGGTCTTTGAGATTTATTGTAATTATTTATTTCAATTTAATAAATATCAGCAGCAGATGATTAGATTTAATGATTCTTATGATGTTCTATAAGAATATTTATTGGTCATTATAAATGATCAATTTTATTTTTGATTGATCTTTGCAATTTAACTTAATATTTTCATTTTCAAATCTAAACAAACTAATACTAATTAAAATGTATAAATAATCAAAGAATTTCGAACTAGTAATTAATATTCAAGAATATTATCACAATATTTATTCAATAACGAATTAGTATTTTCCTAAAAGATAATTTAATACATTTGAATTTAGTTTTCATTAGAATAAATGCAATTACTGATACTTTAAATATTTGGAATATCTTAGAAGTAACTGATAACATCCTTTATTAATTTTATTCAAATTCTATTATATAGAATAAGAACTACAATTTAGATTTATATTTTATCATAAATAGTATATTAAAATTCTGCTTTTACTTTTCGATTATTAAATTGTATAGTAATACCATTGAAGATTTTAGTGGGTTAATATTATTATAATAGAAATCTATTTGTTATTATTCAGGAATCTTACTCAAAAAGAAGGTATTTTAATTAGAAGTTTAGCCAAATCGATTATTATTTCATGATAATCAAATTATAGTGAATAGGTCAACAATCAATCACATTGATGAAATTTTGCTACTTCCAATCCATACAATAGGAAGATCATACATTGTTAATTATTATATGAATAGAAAAATCAAAATTAATTCTTTTTTGGTAGAATTGACTCTTCAGAATCAAGAGTATAAATAATCCCAAGGACTCCATTATTCATGCCATAGTATTTCCATTTAGGATCATATTCATCTGGAATTTTAAATCTTAGATCAAAGGGACCGCATTTCCTTTCTTATTTAAGATAAGTTGATTTATTGGTATACATCGACATCTTTTTATGCCCTCTAACTATAGTCGTAACATTCTATCTGTAGATTTCGACTTCTTCAAGCTAAACCCCGGGTAGATCGATCAGTATTATATATTAAGTTCCTTGAATAATGTCTATTGATGGCTCATATTCCTCTGCTTCTTCGTTTTCAATGTTGATAGGTGTAGATGCGAATTTAGGAGTGGTTAAGGTTAAATTGAATTTGGGCGATGTTGCTTATTATTTGAGGATTCTTTTTTCGTTGGGTAGATGAGTATCTTGAACAGTTAGTTTAATTTGCTTTTTTAAGAGATTACTCATTTTCAGTTAACAAACTTCAACAATGTCATTATATTTTAGAATTTTACTTTGATGAGGGACAACTACAAGTTTGAGCCAATATTTAAGGAGACTGTAAGTCCAAGGATTAATACTCTTACCCAGATCTGAGTTGTCATTTACAATGCAGATGTGTCTACTTGTTTCAGTGTTAAACCACATAACAGATTTTTCTTCCAATTGATTGGTAAAGGGATTCATGGCTTCGACAGTGGATTTTTAGATGTTTCCTTCTAATATTTTTTCAATTTGGACTGACCAAACATGTTGAATCAGATTTGGATTGGTGATATCCTTTAGATTGTGTATTACAATTATTTCCTTAAATTATTTGAGAGAGGTGCTCAATTTACGAGCTAATTAATCAAGGTATCTAACCTCAATGCTTGTAAAATCATTAACAACACAAATAAAGTAATCTGTTAGTTCGAATGAGATTTCAAGGATTGCATTTTCAATTTATTATTTTTCTTTCAAATTTTTAAGATTTTCGGGTGCATAACTACCAGCTGTATCTATCAACACAAATGAATTGTTTTTGTCGACGATGCACTATTTTAAACTGATTCCTTTGGTTGTTATTTTGGATCCTGTGGGTAGATTTTGATTTGTTAATTGATTTAGGATGTGCGTTTTACCTTTGTCGTATAAACCAAGAACTGCAACTCTAGCTCCTTTGAGCTCATTGTTGTTCACCAACAACTTGAAATATTGGATTAACAACTACCTTCCATGAAGAACTCATGTTTATGTCAAGCACTAAGTCATATATTTGGGTATCTATTAATTTATACTCTTGGAGAGATGGCTTTTGATCATTGGTAATGATATTTGGTATTTCGTTGCTTTTCTCCAAGAGAGAGGGGTTGTCGAGTTAACCGATGATGACTAAGGTTTCTTCGCACCTTATTTTCAGTTCGTAATGTAACGCTTCATAGAGATCGAAAAATTCATTAATCGACTGCATCTTCCTAAAGAGTTTGGCAAAGGTGTCCAGGAGATCCAAGTTCTCCTTGAGCAAATTACCCAAGATCTGTAGACCACTACGGAAGGCGTCTTAGTCCTTAATTACATCAATGCCTTTACTAATTTAATATCACCTTCTTATTGAGAACTCATACTACGTAAAACGCAATTTATTAATTAATATTAAATTTTTGGGTTTTTAAACTCTAAAAGTTTCTAACTCCTAGGATTTATACTTTTTTCTAACAACTCAATAAATTAATTAGATATTTATTTATCTGACAATATAATAGCATTTTATTAGCTTATGTCGGCCCCATCAAGAAATTCCAAAAGAAGTTCTTCTCCCATTATATATCTTTAGATCACACAACCACAACAAATCAAGGTCCTCCAGGCCCAGCTAGCTACGAACCTAAAATGGAGGTTTCACATGCGAATGCACCCAGATGGACAATGAGTGGAACTAACTCCAGAGAGATACCCATCATCAAAAACCTTCCCGGCCCAGGATAATACGACGTCAGATTGCCCGAATCTTAAAGAAAGACCCTAATTTATGGAAAGGCTTATCAAATAGACAAAGAGGCATAACAGAAGCCAGGTCCAGGAGCCTACAAAGTTGAGGTCTCTCAGCTTTCCAGAACAGGGTTCAAAATAGGCAGCGAAAAAAGATACAAGGACGAAAAAAAATTGTCACCAGGACCTGGAGATTATCATATAATAATGAAAAATCATGTTACTTCCTACATCATTGGATAATAAACCAGATCAGGGAAAATCTGCAGCAATCATGTAGGTCCTGGACAATATGAGATTCCATCCTTATTAAAAACAGACGCAGGATTCAAAATGGTTCCACGTCGAGAAAAGACCTTTTCAATGATCACGCCTGGTCCTGATGCCTACGGGCAACTCAGACAAGAGAGAGTCAAGTCATTCAAAATTGGAACTAGCAAAAGAGAGGGGATTTATTAGAAGTCCTCTTCTCCAGGCCCTGCCAATTACGAAGTCCAGGCAATCAAAGAAAGTGTCGGATATACAATAGGCAAAGGACAAAGATAAGATACCAAACTGGAGGTGTTGCCAGGACCAGGAACTTATAAACCCAATAAACCTAGCAATGCTCCCAAATATTCCATCTATTAGAGATATAGGGAAAAGACTGAAAATTCAGGTCCTGGACCCTAATCATATACGATAGGGGAGTTTAGAGAAACAAAAAGCATAATATTTGGACAGGCTAAAAGAGATAGTTAAAATAAGATATAGATACCTGTATAGTATTCGAGTAATTCTAGGGACCAGGAGAATATGATACAGAAGTAAAAGTTAAGAAGCCTTAAGTGAGTATTGTGTTTGGAAGAGAGAAGAGATCTTAGAGTTGCTCCGAAAATACATATATGCCTGGACCTGGTGCGTATGATATAACATCTACTTTTTTGTTGAAAAAGAAATGATTGAATTAGATTCAAAGTTTTATTGTTCTATATCATCTTATAAATCTGATAGTCTTCCAGTACGTTTGGAAGAATCCCTTGTACATGGTAGGAGAGAGTGATTATAATATTGATTTAAATTGAAAAGTTAAATGCTCGTAACTATAAGAATTAATTAAAATAAATGGGATCTGTGTGTTAGAAGGGAGATGGCACAGTGAATTGGCCATGTTATAGCAATCCGAGAGGTTCCAATCCGAGAACAACTTTCACAGTAATTCCTGAGGAGGACTCCGTAATTTACTCTTAATACGATCGCTCGGTTTTTACAGCTAGCTAGTTTTATCAGAACCCAGAGACTCAAGTAATGGACTCTAAGTAATGTAGAGACAAACATTAATATTGGGAAGTGCAATTAATGGAAATAACAAACTCTAAATCTTCAATGTATACTTATCTAAATTACTTTCGTCGCATTCGATTAAGTAATAAGATCATTATAATCAGACTAACAAATACAAGGAGCAATGCTTATGAAGTATCTTTAACCAACATCAATCCTGAATTGAGTTGCTATTGTGAATGGCATCTCGAGGCAGACAAGTTGCCCATTTGTTCTGGGGATAAAATAGATGTAAATTGACTTGTAATGATTCAGTTGATACATGTTCTGACAGGCAGATCTCTTCTTGCAACTGAGCTCGATGAAGAGGGCATAGTTTATTGTGGATATGGTTCAAATAGATGTTGGACTATTGAATTTGATGATAACATTCTAAAAGATGGGGCAATTTTTGAATTAAAACATAATGAAATTACTAAATACTTATCTTTCATAAATAAAAAAGCGTCGCTATCACACAATAGGTAGGTTTGCTTAAATGACAATGAGGGAAAGAACAACTATTGGAAATTAGTTTTGATTTAATGATTAAACATAATTATTATTATTAAAATGATTATTAGATAAGCTCAGCTATTTCTGAGATGGGTCCCTCAACCAAGATACTATCATGGAGGATTGAAAGATCAAGATCGTATCTTTACTAATGTCTATCGCGATGGAGATCCCTATATTCAAGGTGCCTTAAAAAGAGTAAGAACATTCATTATCATAAGGGTGATTGGCATAGAACAAAGGATATTTTGACAATGGGTTAAGATTGGATTATAGATGAAATCAAAAAGAGTGGGCTTAGAGGCAGAGGTGGAGCTGGATTTCCAAGTGGTTTGAAATACTCATTCATGCCAAAAGTCAATCCAGATGGAAGGTAATTTGATTAATACAATTATGAAATAAAGACCTTCCTATTTGGTTATAAATGCAGATGAATCTGAGCCAGGCACATGCAAAGACAGAGAAATCTTGAGACACGATCCTCATAAATTAGTAGAAGGAGCCTTGTGCGTTGGATTTGCAATGAGAGCTAGAGCAGCATACATATATTGTAGAGGAGAATTCTGGGTAGAGGCTAATGCCTTGTAATAAGCAGTGGATGAAGCCTATAAAAAGGGATTTTTGGGTAAAAATGCTTGTGGAAGTGGATATGATTTCGATGTCTATGTTCACAGTGGTGCAGGTGCCTACATTTGTGGAGAGGAAACAGTAATCATTTGATAAAATGAATAGGGCTTGATTGAATCCTTAGAAGGAAAGCCAGGAAAACCAAGACTCAAGCCACCCTTCCCAGCCAATGCAGGTTTATGGGGTTGTCCAACTACTGTTACTAACGTGGAAACAGTCTCAGTTTGTCCAACCATTCTTAGAAGAGGAGCCAATTGGTTTGCATCTTTTGGCAGACCCAATAATAGAGGCACTAAATTATTCTGTATTTCTGGCCATGTTAACAATCCTTGCACTGTTGAAGAAGAAATGTCCATTCCACTTAAAGAATTGATCGAAAGACATTGCGGAGGAGTCAGAGGAGGTTGGGACAATCTTAAATGCATCATTCCAGGAGGATCATCAGTCCCCATGTTACCTAAAGAAACCTGTGAGACTGTGCTTATGGACTTTGATGCTTTGAGAGATGTTAGATCTGGATTAGGAACTGCTGCTGTTATTGTCATTGATAAATCTACTGATATTATTGATGCTATCTTAAGATTGAGCAAATTCTATAAACATGAATCATGTGGTCAGTGCACACCTTGCAGAGAAGGTACTTCATGGTTAGTTGATTTGTTGGAAAGAATGAAGGTTGGAAATGCTGATTTTGCAGAAATTGATTAATTAGAAGTACATTAAATCTTATTTATTGAAAGGAATTAACATATTAAATTGAAGGACACACTATTTGTGCTCTCGGAGATGCTGCTGCATGGCCAGTTTAAGGATTGATCAGATCATATAGAGAAGAAATTGAGGAAAGAATTGAAGACTACCATGCTAAGCATCCAGTCAAGGCTAGACAATTACGTAGTAATCCTTAATCATCAAGCCATTGATATATACATAAAATATTAATATCACCATCTTGGAATTGTCTGAGATCTCTTTTTCTCTTATTTTAATAATTTCAAACTCTTTTTCTTTGCCTTTTCATCCAACACCTTTTGTATCTTCTCTAAGTCTTCTTATTTCAAAGAGTATTTGTCCAAGATTACTTTGTCCTTTACTTCTTACTTCTTTAATTCTATTTTCTCCTTTTTAATTTGCTCTCTGATTTTGTTTATTTGTAGATTTAAATTTCTTATTTTGGTCTTATATAAATCATTTGCTCTCCTCAACATTATTGATCTCACTTTAGTCTTGCTTCCAATATTTAATTTCTTAAGAAATACTGCATGCTTTTCTGCAACAGTTCGAGTTTCCTTCTTTAAATGTTTCAAATAATCCTAATTATTTAACTTTTTTGAAAGGGCTCCTAAGTTTTTTGATAAGTCCACTATTTTTTTATTTTCATATTCTTCTATATCTCTCTGATAGGACAGATCCTTTGCTATCACATCTGTCGTTGCCGATTACGAGATGATTTGGTTGTTCTCTTTAGGAACTATCTCTGATGTAATTAGTGGAGTCTCTCTATTTCTGTCAAACTTAATAATTTTAGCCCATTGTCCTCCAACCAAAGGTTCTGCCAATAATTCCCACTTTCTCTTATCAAAAAACTAGAATTGATCACTGGCAATCAACAAATAACACTAGTTACAATTGTTTTCTAAGAATTTTATCATTTTATTAAATTTATCTAAATTTACTGTCCTACCCCAAGGAGGATTAGTAATAACAATCAAATCATCCTTTTACAATTTGCCTTTGATGAATTCTTTGTGCATGCTCACAAAATCCAATTAAGCAATGCTCAAATTTTCGTAAGATTTACTTCTTAATTGTGGTGATTATTGACGTATAATTCTTTTTAAATTGTTAAACCAATCCAAGTTTTTATAGAAAATTCTCAACTACTGTTCATTGATATCATTGGCCAAAATGTTGATGTCCAACTCATTCAATTCATTATCAACATAAGTCTCCTTAAATATAGGCATTTGATAAAGAGGCAAAAACATTCCTTTTCTTATGCTTTTATTAAATTTGCGTATGAGCATGGTTAAGATAATTGTACCTGTACCACAAAATGGATCCCACACTGTAACTCCCTTTCTCATATCGCAATAATGTAGCAGAGCATCAGCAATATTTTCAGATAATGTTGCTTTACCAATATATTTCTTGAATCCAAATTTATGCAAACTTTCGAGATGCAATTGAATGTACATGGTTAGGTAATTCTGATAGAGATACGTATTTATTAAGAGTGGTATCTTGGGCGAATATGTCTCACTGATATAATCTTATGGTTGTTCTTCCTTTCCCAATAATAGCTATTTTCTCTCAGTCAGCAATTTCCTGGTTTTATTGTTATTCAGTAGATAATTCTTGATTACCTCCCTCCAATTATCACTATGATTCCTCAAGCATCTTTTAATGCTGAGTCGAATTTCAAGATGCGCATTCATTGGAATGTAAGGGTGAACTTGCACCTTCTGCATATTCCTCATAAATTCCCTAACATTTCTTGCTTGTATAGGTTTATTTATTCTAATATTCAGGAAGGTAATGCACGTAGGCTTGTACAATATATTGTTCAGATTGTCCATTGTAGTTTCAAAAAACACAGCTGAGCTTGGATAAATGGCTAGACTTTTAAAAATGATTTACGTAATCTGCTCCGTTTTGCTGAAATATTGAACTGGGCTAGTTATTCAATTAAAATATTTTATAACCCTGGAGATGTCCAAGCTAAAAATTTATAAATTGACATAAATAAATTATTTATTATAAATTCTAGAATCTCCGTAATTCATATTTGAATAATTTTTTCTGATTGAGAAATTATTACACTATTGAAGAAATGCATAAAATAACAATGATATTAAAATATATAGATAAAAACAATCAACAAGCATGGCATCTGGCCAAAAATTATAAGAAATGTCGACCTAAAATAAGAGATATGAGATATACCAAATTGGGTGAATTGATGATCCTCGAATTTATTAATTTAGATCTAAATTGATTATTTCTATTTGTCATTGCATTTTTAATAGAAATTTTGCATCACATAATTTCCAAATTAATTGTTAATTAAAATTAGTAACATTGGAGGATAGTAATCATTAATGAGGATTTTGCAAATACTTGCAATATCATCATCATTAGCCACTGTTATGTATTTTTAAGCTACAATGCTTGATAATCAATTTACAAAGATACCTGGCATATTTATCTTAGCTGACTTCGAGGATCCTCGCTTTGATGTATTTCCCAATAACCTCCAATCCTTTCGGCGGTCCTTAATTGATCATATGTTGCACTATATAGTTTCCGTATTGACAGAACGATAGCTTCTCACACAGTGGAATAAGGGAAATATAGAGTTGCTGCAATTTTTGATTGGGAAATATTTCTAAACATTTCTAGGCAATTCGGCAGCCATAGGAATGAGAGACAATATGATCAACGTTATTTGTCACAATGTCAATTATAAACTCTGCGTCAGATGCCAAGTCGATGATCTTTTAGATTACATGATTTCCGCATTGATCAAATATGAGGTTCAATACTTGACTCTTGATTGATTAGATTAATTGTATTTTCTGGTGATTTTAAATGAATTCTAGTAATCTTTAGATGACTCTACATCCAAATTTATCATAGCACATTTCGATGATAAAAGGATGGAGCTATTCAAAGATGAGAGTTCTGATGTTCTGATTGGAGTTTTCGATTATTTTTTGAATGACATAATTCCCAAATTTGTGTTTGGCAAGAAGTGGTAAATCTTCGATTAAGGCTTTAAATATTTTATCTTTCTAAAAATCATTTCCTTGGATAAAGGACTATTGGATATTGAGAGATGCATATTGATCTTGGCATTGTTGTGACTCTAATAAGAAATAGGAAGATTACAATGGTTTATTCTGAATCTGCAGAGGATTGTAATTTCTTCGTTCGTTTTTATGAGAAGAATCCGTCTTAACAAGGGTAATAGAGTGGAGGTTGAGGGACCATGTATTGATGGAACTCGTGACTCAATGAGTGTTGTCGCTGTTGAATGAAGGCGGATTAGACAGTAAAATAAAAGTTGTTTGGGTCATTGGAAGGAAATTCTTATTAACTGGTTTAATATGGATGATAATACCCTGCATCATCAAGGAGGAGTGGGATTTCTTTGGCTTCTTTGAGGTCTTTGAAGCTTTTGACGGGCTAGATGGATAGAGAGAGAAAGTTTTACAGATTGAGATTGAGAATGCTGTTGGGATTTGGTGATGGATGATCTGAATTCTGAACATTTTGATTCGTCCTCTAATTAGATGAGAGATTTGTTACCGTCTAGCAGAGAACCTATCATATCTTTTTCGGATTGCTCTGTTTCTTGCATCGATTTTATTAAGTTATAAACACAAAATTATATAATCAATAATCAGTATTGTTTGGATTTGGAGGAGTTGAAGAATTCTCTGATGAGACAATTAAACTTGGTTTGCAGTTGTTTTTGTTTTGGTAGGGGTTTGAGTTGTTTCATGTATATTTTTTTGTTTTTCTGAGGAGACTTGGCAGTGGGTATAATTTCGCAAGGGGAGAATTAAACGGACTGGATGGCTTTGCGATCCTTGAGTAGTCTGTTGATGGTTTTTTCTTGACGCAAGACTTATTATTTGATGTTTTGGAGGAAGCAATTGGAAGTAGGGACATATTTATGGCTGCGAGAATGGACAATTTGGGGTTGTTCAGTTTTGATTCGTTGTTGTTCGGGTGAGTTGGTTTTGGTAGGTGAAGTTTGTAAGTGCATGCTTTCGTCGAGGTCTGGTTTGGATCGTAAAATGAATAGGGGATTTCTTGCGTAGATTCTGAAATTCTTTTTTTTATGATCATTTCTCATATACTTCCGAGCTCCATCCAATTTGCTTAGAAAAACATCAGCCAATCTTTCCTTCTTGTGATAGGCTATTTCGCATAATTGATTAGGTAATTGATTCTCCTTGAGTGCAGTCTCTCCGCATTGATCGCAAACGCAGCTTTTACGACGAACTTGAGTTGTATCTAATTTTGGACCATCCAGGTTCTTGGTAGAGAGTAGATGTTTGTTATACATAATATATTAATTAATGGATTAATCTGCAGTGGCTCTAAAGGTTGATATAAATTCAATAATTGTTAGGCTGAGGTGAAGGAGTATCAAATGAGCAAAATCGATAACAGTGTCATCCTATTCATCTTGCTGGTGTCCAAGAGGGATGGATAGTAATGGACATTGGAAAAGAGGTACTCCGAATTTGACGATCTGAATACTAACTTAAAGAAGGTAAGGATAATTATTTATTCATTCTAGGTGTTCACGAATTTGCCTCCGTTGCCAGGAAAAACATTGTTTAAGTTGAAGGAACATGTCGATATTGAGAAGCGAAGAGTGGGACTGGATTATTACATTAAGGTAAAAAGATATGCATAAGAGTAGGAATTATTAAAACGACCAGATGTCTTCAATTCTGAGTCGATGAAACAATTTTTATAGTTGGAGAAGCATGCTTAAGAACAAGTGGTCAACCCACCCAAAATGTTGGGAGAAATTACAGGTTTCATTCACGGATTAAGGGATTTCTATATAGAGAGATCATAGAGTAAAAAATCAATTAACAATTTTCTAGATGTCATTTTTGTCTTATCCTCTGATATGAATGTAGCCAGCAGAGTGGATGCCTACTTGACCAATATGAAAATGCCTTGGGAAAAAGAAGCCCCTCCAACTCTATTGGCTGTTGGATGTTTAGAATGTTGGGTCAAAACTAATGACGAGAACGAATTCAAGTATGAGAGAATGTGGAATAAAACCTATCCATCATAAGCAATTTGTTTGTATTGGGATGCAGTGACGTCAACTCTAATCGTTGGATTGGATGAGGGAAAATTGAATTTGCTCAAAGTCCCTCAAGAAAGTCAATTTATCAGATACGATGAAGTACCTCATTCATTTATCAACCTTAGTAAGCAGATATCAAGGCACATTAGGGTAGAGTGATGGGTGTATTTTATGATTCCATAAATTCACATATTCATTCTGTATCAGAAGATAAGAAATACAAAGTACTTGACTTCTAAAGATAAATCACAGTCGCAGAGCTCTAACCAAGTTAACATCCCTTAACTGGTTTAGCCGCTGATAAAGACAACAGAAGAATATTTGTTTCAGATAAAGGAGGCTATGTTCACGTTTTTGAGATTACCTCTGCAACCATGGGTCCATCTTTGGCTGTCTCAGTAGCATCTTAAACACTCTCCCCTATAAGAGGCATCTTTTTCGATCCTGTCAAGAACTACTTGTTCACAGCTGGTTTCGATCAAGGAGAAATTGGTATCTTTGAAGTTGGTAAATCTGGAAGAGAAAAATTTACAAAACAAACCGCAAGTTTGAAAGGCAAATTGCAAATGAGAGAAATCGTATGGTCACCTTCCAGAGGAGAATGCCTGGTAGGAAATAAAGATGGTACAGTCACTGTCTGGAGTGCAAAAAAGGCTGCACCAATATGTACTTTTTATTTATAACATTCTTAGTTGTAATTAAGGCTCATAATACCGATATTACCAAACTCTAATGGTATGAAGACAAACACATGTTAGTAACCAGTGGAAAGGAAAAATCTTTGAAAGTATTAAGCATTATTTAATTCTTTAGTTTTGGCAATTACCCAAAGAATGGAGAGACAAAAAGATTGAATAGCAGGAAGAATAAGAGTATGACCAAATGAAGAAATAAGAAAATATCAAAAACTATCAGGAGACTTCCAAAAAGGTATTTCTCTCAATATTAAAATCTTAGAAAGAGCTTGATTCTGATGAAGACGACCTTAAAGGATGGCATAAAATGTGAAATGAATATCAAAATATCGTAATATATATAGATAAATCATATAAAATCACTCTTATTTTTATCAAGTTGTTAATTTTATGAGTTGTTGGGTGAAATCTTGATGTATAATCAATTACGATGATCATTTAGATAATAAAAAATAATCTCTTATGGAATGAAATTTTGGATAAGGTATATCATTCCAAGTAGAATATTTTTATCTTATTTTCTTATATACACCTTTTGAATATTAGATTATCTACATCATAAATTCAAATTATAAAATTCCATATTAATGGATAATTAATGAAGCATTGATTACTGAATAGATCTTAGACATGAAAATTATTTGATTTAACGAAGCTAGTTGAATTCATTGAAAATTTTTATTTATGAGTCCTGATTTAGATTATAAACTAATAAGTTGGTTCAATTATCAAATACTTTGCTTACCAAGATTTTTAAACTTTATCAATTGATATTGTACATATAAATGACCAAAATTAGAATCGTATATCTAAATGTACTACAACACAATAATATTGTTTGGAATTTCCTCAGATAGTATACATTACATTTACTTACTCAAATTTGACATTATTAGAGAAAAAGAGTGAACAAATTTGATTTGAATTGATTTATTTGTGATAGTTTATAAAATAGATTGTAATGTATCATTATCATTATTATTATTGTTATGCTTATCTTTATTCAGCTACTCTGTTTAATGATAACGTTATAGCTTAGGTCCAATTTTCAACATAGAAGTCGTATTAATCCTTCTCTTCAGGATTGAAATATTTGAAACATTCATCAGGTGGCATTTCCTTACTAATAAATTAATAAGAGGGAAGTACGTTGAGGTTGCGGCAAAACAGGAATGATCTCTTAGCAATTAATCTAATTTTTCTTCATCAGTGATTCTATGTTTATTATGAGAAGATTGAACTTCTAAAAATTTAGTGGCATGTTTTTTAGTTCTAACATCTAAACCTCCATGATAGATTTCAAATGTAAATGAATAAGGTATCTAAAAGGGATACTATAAATAGTTTACTTTCAAATCATCATAAGCGTAATCCATGGAGGTACCTGGAGATAGATATCCTATTTCATGACCACAAGATCCCATTTTACAAGTTTCACAATGCTTCTCTCTAACTTCTGTAAGAATTTCCATCATACTGGAAATGTTTTCAGTTGCTAAAGTTAGAATTGATGTTTACGTTATTCTTTGCTATAAGCATAGGGAGTAAAAAGTGCTAGGGTTCCAGAGTGAATGGAGAAGAAGACGTCTGGAGAGAATTTCTTCAGTTCATCTCTCACTGTTTAGGTTTCGGCTTCAGAAAAAGCAAATGGTCCAGGGGCAGTTCTTACCATTTCTGGATCATGATCCTGAGTAATTAGTGTAATATACTTTAGACCAATGAGATTTGTAATTACGATTCAAATCAACTCCATTTTCATTCTCTCTTTTACAAAAATCACCAGATTCGACTTTCTCTCTGGATAGTGGATTTACATTGACTATCATTCTTAATTCATAATTATCCTTAACTGATTTCATTTCCTCATTTTGACTGCAGAGTTTCTTAACAAAATGTAGACCCGTTTCTGGAGAAATTAATTCTCTTGCATGTTCTCCAAAAAGTACAAAACCCTTATTTGGTTTATTCTAATTTTTGTTTAGGGTGACCATTGACAATTTAGGAAAATCTCTGACCATTTCCATTTCTACTCCATCGCACTTTTCAATGGCTTATGCAATTTCAATATAAATATCCTAAAGTGGAAGTTTGAATAGAATAATACTGTAGAACGATGATAGAATGATGGAAATTCAAGGCAATAAACAATTGTAAAGCTCATTACTAATAGAATGAGATTGTTCATTCTTTTATAATTTATTATACTTATTTATATATAAGTTTTAGGTAATGTTAAAGTTAGGGGATTTGCAAAACGTTAGAAAATAGTTGCAACCATGAATATTAATTTGGAGATTGAGATTCAAATAGTTCATCACTTTAAAGATTTCAGTTTAACATGGATAACTAGATGTAATATAAGATTGCTAAAGAAAGAGTTATCTAATATCTTATCTGATTCCATAATTATTTGATAATATTCTTTATAAACCAAAGCTATTAATTTATTGCAAATAAAAAACAAAGAAGGTAATTAATCAGCAATTAAAAATAAATACATGTTATTGTTAATGAGGATGTTTTAGATAAAAAGATCAAAATTATTAAATTACAATCATCCTATTGATTGAACAAAATTATGAGGAAAATATCCTTTAAGTTAATTCTTATCTTCTCCATACCACCATCCATTAGTTGTTTTCTTTAGCAATTTAATTTGATCTCCTTTCTTAAAGCTTAAATCTATATCCTATCAATATGACTAAATAACTTTACTTTTTGTGCTTTATAATCATACTTTGCAATCACATATTAGCAATTAACTTACGAGTTTTCCTTATTTCTTTTAGTTAATTTGCCTTATTCTCTTAATACTTACTAATCGATCTGAGTCGTTTCATCCTCATTGGTTTATTTAAATGATTGAAAATAAAATGAATTTTCACTAGTCTCTTAAGTAACTCTCTTAGCTGCATTTAATTGTAAAGGTAATTAATTCATGTCTTTATTTAAAATTCCTTATTTATCTGTTATTTCTAGGTCTGTAAAATAAGGGCTACCAATTTAAGTGTCACCATTGTTTAAAAATTAATTAAATTGTTCTTACAATGATACATTTTTCAAAGGTTTAGGAGAGTCATGAGGCGGGGATGTGTTGTTTGTTGTTAAAATTTAATGTTTTGAAGCATTGTGGCTTTTATTTCGAAAGGATTACTCTGAGGATTAATTAAACTTTAGAGATTCAACAGTCATAAAGAATCCATTTACATCAAATTCTTCTGGTAATAGACAATTCCTTAAGGCAGGCAAATTGAGATTTTATGTTTTTGAAATGAAATCCAAAATAAAGGCAGTTGAATGCTTCGACAACTAGATAAGAGATTCATAAGCAAATATCAATTAGGGTTGGAAGTGTTCCACGATTTTCTAGAAAAAGGATAAGAACTCTATGCAGATTAAACAATTATCACAAATAAACGATTTCAAGCCATTATTGATTGCAATTTAATCCTACAATTGTTTAGTTAGGGATTCAGTTTTCTTTTGTTCATTCTAAAGAGTGAATTTCATTGTTTTCATCTATTAAATTTGATCGTTTATATTGATCAATTGATTCTGATAGAGTTGGCGTTCTTGTTGTAGATTTTGATTGAGGTCTTTATTAGTTTACTCCAATATTTATTACTTCTTTTTCAAATCATTAAGACTTAATTGCAATTATATTGATAACTCCTTCAAATCATAATTTTCTTAACGAATTTTCTCATAATAATCATCTTTATTAAGTATATTCTCAATAATCATGTTGGCCATGGCATTGCTAGAATTGAGGAAGTGAGCATCTTATTCTGTAATAAGATTAAAATTCAATTTTCTGGTACTTTTCTATTTTTGTGGTGTCGTGTTTGGTGATACAGATTTGGTTTATCCCTGATTAACTTATGCATTTTCTAGTATTTACAATAGTTCTTATTTTTTATTTAACTATCTCTTTGATTCTTTTTTGTTGACATTTGAGATCTGAGTTTAAAGTTATGATGCTGATTTTTAATTAACTGGTAGTATGCCATCAACGCTCTTATTTAAGTTCTGATGTTTTGAGAATGCTCCAGGTTAGATTTGAGTTTTATTATTAGGCACCAATTTCTAAAGGGAATACATTTTAAATTTAATTATCGTTATATCATAAATATATATTATTTAGCTTTGATTAAACTCAGTTGACCTGAAAACATTAACACTTATATTAGATCAATACTGATTTGATTTCCATACCATCTTTAATTATTGTCATTGATTTATATCATGATTGAGAAACTCCGATATTAATATCATTAGTATCGATATAATAAATGATTTCCAAATATTGGTTCCTTTATTAAAGGCTCATAAGTCAAAATGAATGGGATTAATGTTGCTCTAGAAGGTGTGAAAATCAAATAATAAAAGTAAATTAAACTTTCAAGTTACTGCCTTAATATTGCTCCAATTTAGAGTTACGTATCGATGACAATCAATTAACCTTTTGCAATTTGATTAAAATTTAGCATTTAAAATTAAATGATGAAAGATTAGTAAATCTTAATTTATAATTATCAACTAAATCCACATTTTTGAGAATACATGACCCTTCTGTTATTCAATTTAATGACTCTCTTAATGATTACTCTGTGAAAAGATATTAATATTCAGAAATTCACCCTCAAATAGTAATTTTTCATAGATTAAACTAATAAATAAAATTATTTGCTTATTTGATGTAAGATCATTTAATAAACCAATTAAAAAGATCTCTCATATTCATTGGCTTTCAAATTACCTTAAATACCATTTTGCCATAGCTAAATAGCTTTGTATCTTAATAAGTATATTGTGTATAAAATTGATAACTGATTCAATGAATGTGACAATCCAATATTCAAATCTTACCCACTCTAAAATTCATAAATAATAAGCAACTCTCTGAAACAGAGAACGCTCCTTCAAACTTCTTAATTTTAATTATTAATTTCAGAATTTATTGTTCTCGTCATATACCAAATTACTCTTTTCAATTAAGGATTCCTTTAACCATACTGACCTTTTGTATTCTTTATGTTTAACTTCACATCGGGTTCAAGAGTACTCATTTACATATCATATTCAATTCTGGGCAGAAATAACTCCCAATTTCTTAATGAATCAAAGAATACTGAATTATACCTCTTTCATCAAGATCGATTACCAAATGTGCTTCTCCTGATAATTTATCAAGCGCTTTAATCAGCGATGCTAGATTTTTGATACTAAAACAATGAGATAGTCATAATCAGCTTTTAAGATTATGAATTCCTCAACGTTCTTTTGAAATTCTTGATTAAATTCTTCATTTTCTAGGACAGATTGAATTTTGATTTATGCAGTTGTAGTTGCTTGAAGAGACAGTTCGTTTTTAACAGCCTCCTACTTTGATTAGGTTGAGATTGTAGATGCTTGATCAAAATATTACAATATTATTAAAATTGAAAGGTTTAAAGTGAGTTCTAATATGAGATCATGTTAAACTGAATTGAATGACATAAATAAATGATACGCAAAGAGTTAATGATTAAGAAAAAAAGGGAAAATCGTATCCAAATATAATATAATTAATTTAAATGGCTGGAGAGAAAATTTAAGGATAGGGGAAACGCAAGTGTCAACCGAGATGCCCAGAGCATTAGTTCAATCTCCATCCAAAAAGTTTAAAGTGTTGGTTAAAGTAATCAACTAACATCGATTTCTGTCCCTTGTACAATGATGCTGTAACAGATATATAATATAATGTTTAGCTGGCCTGTTTTCAAAATATCGTTCCAGTCTTTAATTAAGATGAACAATAATGTTTGCCTGGTTTCATTTTAGAAGTAGACAGGGTAAGAATTGGTTGTATATTATTTCAATTAGAATGACTACTTGAAAAGCATGCAAAAATACAAGGAGGATCATCAAAGAAAGATACAAGAATACACGATGAAGAAGACTAAGTTGGTAATATATTTAGTAAGGTTTAGTAAATTCCGAAACCAGGTCGTAAGCATAGGTATTGTGGAGTGTGTCGTAAACCTTATGCAGATTACTTGGAAGTATTATTGTTATCTCTAAAACTTAGCACATAAAATCTTCGGATCACATCAATTGCTTTAACAGACATGACTTTGTTCATGTGATTCTAAAAATAATTGATGAAGATTATAAATCAAGAGACGAAAATAAAATTTAAAACGACTCCAGCACCTACACTCCAAAAGCAGTGATGCCTAAAAAGAGAGGTCCCAAGCCCAAAGTTCAAGTCGAGCAAGGAGAACCAAAAAAGAGAGGGAGGAAACCCCTTGAACCTCAGGCAGCAAAGCGAATTAAAACCTAACCACAAATGAGAGAAGTATTGATGCCAGTGCGACAACAATAACCCCCTCCACCACCTCCTCCTCCTCCTCAGACATACTTCCCTCAGCCATACTACTTTTAATATCATCATCTAAATCAGATGATTCAATATGGGGCATTGCAAATACCACCGCAATTTCGTGTTGGTTTCCCATTCCAAATGCCAGTTGTCGCTGATATGCAAATGGAAATGTAATGCGAAGATATGAGTAACTTATTCAATTACCTTAGTTGTAGATGGTAAAATAGAAGATCGTCCTCAATTTGATTGAATATTATAATAATTATTATATTAAACACCTAAATAAAACCATCCCAAATTATTTCTTCACATTTTTGTGCAAATCAACCTCAACACACACTTACTACATTAATGTTTCATAAAAATAACCATAATGGAGCCTACACAAATCGCATGATCTTGCACAAGAAATAGCTCAACTTGTCCACAGAAACATTCATATGGATGAACTTCGTCAACATCCTCACAGGGATACTTCAAAACACCAACACCCATCTCATTTTTGAACCCACTGAAATATATTTGGCAGGTATTCCCAATATCGATATGGCTTAGGCAACGACGAAGAATAATTGCGTGTTGCACAATTCAAAATAGAATACATAGCCTAGTAGGAATTCAAAATGATCTATGTGATGAAGGATCGCCGAACTCACATTTCCTACAAACCCTACACATCCATATTCTACTCTAAAAACTACAAAGAACTCTATACCAAATACAGGGGAACCTGCTTGTTTGTTAAGGACAAGTTGATTAAGGAATAGCGTCAATTGCAGGAGCAAACTGGATATCTGAAGGATTTCGATCTGGAACAATATGAGTCCTTTGTGGTTGCCTGGATTCCCAAGAGAAAGGAATAAAAAATTACGCAATTAATTCAGAGCTGGATCACTGAGTACAATCAATCCATTAATTTTACTCCCAAATACGAATTGAGACCAACGATTAATCGAGATTATTTTAATGATGCGGATCCCCTCCAGTAAATTGCCATGACTTATATTGATTTTATTCATTTCTATTCAGAGAATGATGTCGAGTAATTCCAATTACAAAATAAAATCCTTATTAAATTGGTTGATGATGGATGGAAAATTCAATTCAAGATCTATTCATCCAATCTACTCTATTGTAAATAGGCTTAACAAAACATAAGTGATTTTTTGAATTAACAATCGTTGGAATTGTTCAACATGGAATTATTTGATTTGTGTGAAGATTTTGACAAGTTCATTGAAGATTTGGAAGGAATATTGAAGAAAAAGTGCAATCAAACAGTTAGATTGTATAAACTCAATTCAATACTATCCCTAGTGAAGGAGATTGATCGAAGGTTTGACACCAAAATTCAAAACTATGTGTTCAGTCTAGGATTTAAATAATGTTTGTTTTTTTCTAAGTAAGGAGACAACGCCTTGGCTTTCAAAATAATTAAGGATCTTATTGATTTAAGGTTAAAATTTAATCAAATAATGAAGAATAAGCAGTTGGAGATCTCTTAATTATCATAATCATTTCAAAGTTGCAAATCTACCTTGTTATATTCTCAATACGGTAAGTCTGGCATCATGCCTTAATAACCAAAAGAGAAGGAGTTTGTCTCTTCATAATTATTTCCTTAGGAATGGAGAGGCCAATCAACGCTTCCAGATTTCACTTCTAAATATTGTGAAAACAAACTTAATTCAAGTATTCATATAGACTTAAAATCAGTAGTAGCTTTGTAAAATGCCTAATAGGGCCAACATCAAAGCAGTTTTTCGAGTGATCAAAAGTCGAGGGCATCTAAGGAAAATATTCAGTAGCCTTGCAGAATTTTAATGAATGATTAGTAATAACTAAATTAATCAGCATATCAAAATGATGGAACATTAAACTCAATGGAATCTTTTAGAAAGAATTATGATAGTCTTGATAGCAGTGAAATCAGTGACATAAATGAATTGCAGGAGTTTTGTCACGAAATCTCATCATAGTAGAATAGAAATAAACACAAACATAAGAAAGTCGTTGAGGAGGAGAAGTTCATCTAATTGATTTCAATTCATCATATATCTTAGCAATTTATTCGGCAAGTGTTATAGTTGGGGATTGATAGGAAATCAATAGTGTATAAAGTGAAGGAGTCGACGGCATTGCATTTAAAAGATTGGGAATCAAGTTTAAGAGGTTATTTGAAGAGTCAAGATATTTAAGTCAATCAATTAGAATTGATTGTATGTGATGATTCGGTAACAATCAATACTAAACTGAATTATCAATAGGTATCTTCTATTTGTGATTCATTTTTTGCAGGAACAACTTATGTTGTGATGCAATTGAGTAGAAATTCTGAGGATTTTAGGAATCAATTAAGGGATTCTTATCATATAGAATCAAAACAAACCACATTCTAATAGACTGGATTAATTACTCAGAAGCAATATGAAGAATTGCAAGTTAGTGAAAGGGGTCGTTATTTGGCTATGGAATTGTATAATTATCTCTATTATGATACAAACATACAGCAGAGGGTTACTAAGTTAATCAATAGTCGTCTAAAGGAGTTGGATGAATCTATGCCGCTATCGGAAGTGTGCATTAGAAATAAGATTATTATTGTTTTGTCATAATCGCAATTAAACTACTTAGGAGAAAAGTATCAGGAGCTAGAGTGTAACAAGTTGATCAAATTTGGGAAATACCTCTCCAACACATTTTATTATGTGGAGATAGAGAACAACAGAGAATTACATGAGGATGCAGTGGAATAGCTTCGAAGGATTGGATAGGATGTGGTGGATGCTTACAGTAATAAGAAGAAGTAGAAGTACAAGAGTTAGCAGATAATTCAATTAAAATAGAACAGTTGGAAGTTATGCATATATTCTAACATCAGGAAGTTTTACTCTAAGTTAGTCAATGATCTTTTGGAGATGAAATACACTGAGAAGGAGTATCTCCAGATATTTTAAGCAGGAGTCAAATTGTCAGAGCTTTAAATAGATTTGGGGAGATTCTAAATCAAGCAAGAAAGGGACATTAGTAAATTGGACTAAATGATTTTGGATGATTCGAATTGTAATGATAATCTTTATCTTAATTTAGATAAGTGTGTATCTCAGAAGATTGATCACCTCACGCCAGGGAACTATTTATCCATAGTAGTTAGATCTGAACAATTGCCAATTGAAAATGTGACTTAGCTATATCCTGAAACGAGTCTCATCAGGTATTCAATCTATTATTATCTTTTTTAGAGGTTATTTTGAAATCTAAGGGAGCTCTACCAAAAAATAATAAAAACAAAACTTTTGAAATAATATAAATGCATATATATATATTCATTGTTAGAATTATTCTATACTACATATTCATTTAGAGTTTTGGAAGTCCATGAGATCGGTTTGAATGCAACAAATTTAATTATTTGATTGTTTTGGTGAATTCAAGCATTATGATTGCAGTTAACATAAGTTAATTTATAAAATATAATTAAAATGACTGAACAATAGAACTTAAATGAAGATACTAATAGGAATCTGGGATAAGCTACTGCTAAAGTTGTTCCGAGAGGTTCAAAGGAGATCTCCAATATTTTTGGGGATCGAAGGTCTTCATATAATATTGAAGGTTACGATCGCGTTATTGCAGATGAGTAAATTTGAACATCCTATGAAAGAATTACTGATTAGCAACATCAGGGAATCCCTTTGATAGATAAGGCAGTAATTGCATTAGTTTTGATATTCACTCTACTGGTCTTCATCAATTTCTCATTCACATGTAAAATCTTGTTGAAAAAATAGCAAACGATGCTAAGGAGGATCCAGACATAGACAAGACATTATTTGTGACTAAAATTATAGAACTGGTCATACTAATTCTATTTGTTTTGGAAATATCAATCAGATGCTTTTAAAATGGTTTTATTGTATTATATTGTTCCGTGATCATAGACATATTTTTCAGATTGTTGGTCCTTTTTTGATGCCTTGATAATCGTTGCATCCATAGTCTTAATAGTTTTGGATCTGAATCTACAAGGCGATGCATTCACAACTATCAGTAAAGTGTTGAGAGGTATCTTCAGATTCTTGAGATTGTTTTTGGTGTTTAGAAAGGTAATAGTCTTAACTAACAAACAATAGTATAATCAAGTGAAAAAGATCAATAATTCTGGGTCAAGATACACTGTAAGATCGCCAGTTGAAAAAGTGATAGAGATAATGCGTGATCTGGCAGACTAGTTTGAAGATCCAGACATAATCAAGTAGTTAAATTGGGGAATCACTCATATTTCCAATAATACTGTTTATGAACCAATTATCGAGGGGAGGAAAAGTGAAGCACTGGGTTGGTTGAATCAGCCTCAAAATTAATAGATGATGGTATCTTAGGAATCAAAGAGATCAAGTTCAATAGAGATTATCTTTTCGAATGATACAAAGTTGCCGGAATAATTAAGACAAGACTTCGCATAGAACATCCTCAATTTGGATTATGATTACTTTTCTCTATTTGAAAAATATGATAGTGCCATCCTAACTCATTTGATGTGCTATTATTTTGAGAAGGAACATTTGTTTAGCACTCTAAAGATATCTCCAGATTCCTTTAAGAAATGTGTGGATCTATTGGGATCGAAATACCACAGAGAGAATCTCTACCACAACGTAATTCATGCTTTCGATGTCACACACACAGTGTATTTCTTTATTGAGAAATGCAATTTCAAAGAAATTGGCAAATTGACCAAGTTAGATTATTCAATACTGTTGCTCTCTGCAGCTGCCCATGATGTCGATCATCCAGGATTGAATAACATCTTTTTGAACAATACAAGACATGAATTGGCAATGACTTACAATGACAAATCCTCGCTTGAACAACATCATGCTGCTACTCTATTCAAGTATATACGAGAAACTGAACTGTTTACGAATTTCTCAATATCGGATTTCAAGTATTTCAGAGAAAAGTCTATAAGCATGATTTTGAGTACAGATAATGCAATGCATGGCAAAGGTATGTCTGAGAATGAGTTCTTTATTAGATTTCAATAAATTGAAGGCAAGATTGGCCTCGAATGACTTTGATCCAGGAAGCAAAGATAAAGGTATTTGCTTTGATACTTTGCTACATGCGGCAGATATCAGCAACCCCTTCAAACCTATGAAGAATTATGAGAAATGGACTTTCCGAGTGTTGGGAGAGTTTTGGCAGTAGGGAGACAGGGAGAAGGATATGGGACTTCCAGTGACTATGTTGTGTGATAGAAGAACAACCAATGTTGCAAAGAGCTAGATCGGATTTATAGATTTCATGGTATCTCTATTTAAGTGATCTAGGTATTACCTTACTATAATACTCTTCAATAGATTCTACCTGTGTTAGCTGAGTTTATGGAATAGATTTCAGAAAACAAAAGGTTTTGGGCTGAACAAATTGAACACTATTAAACCCTTCTAAACACATAATGATTGTTTATCATGAATTTATTTATTCTGTTTATTATAATTAATTATTAATGTCTGGTAGTGATTCAGAACTTGAGATGGTACCCTTTGAGGTAGCCAAACAAGCTGAGATTGAGAGGAAAAAGCAAGTGGCCGAGCAGAAAACCTAAGCACACCTAAAAAAACAATAATAGAAGGAATAAATTAAGCAGAAAATTAAAAAGGATAAGGAAATATAATTGAAAGCCAAGCAAACCAATTTATTTGAAGACGAACCTCCTGAGCAAAGTAGTAGCACTCAATCACATTTCACTAACAATAAAATTGATGAATCCTTCCAAAGGAATTTGAATGAAAAATTATCCGAGAAAGTTATTAAATCAATCAAAATGCCACAAATTTAATAGGCAACCACCATCCCCATTGAAATTAAATCCAAAAAAAGTAAGCTTTCCTTATCAATCCTCTTAGTCATCAAGAAATTCAATGAAAAAGTATCCATAGAGACCTTGGGAAGAGAAGTCAATCACAAGCTCAATTCTTAACAATCCTTAAGTTTCCTAAAGCAACATTTAGTTGACAAACAACAGAGAGTGCCTCTATCCAAAATCATTTCAAAAAAAAAATGAATTGTCCCTTTATTATGATTATTCTTTTTATCGATTATATTTTTTATATCATTAAAATGGCTGAACAGGAACAATTAGAGCAAAACTCAAATTACTTCTAGAATGCCAACATTATCGTATGAGCTCTTTATAACTAATTAAAATATAATTTGATTTCAATTCTAGAAAAAATTAAATTATATTATAATTCTATCTTTATTTCTTATATTAGAGTTTTATCAAATAACAATTAGACAAAATAAAAGTTAGTTCAAACTAAATAGTACTAGAATACAACATTTAACGTCTTAATTCATTTTCCCAAAGTATTGAAACGAAATAATTTATTTGTTATTTTATATAAAATAAAGTGATTTCGATAGTGGGGCTTATTACAATTGAATATCTAAAATATACAATGTTATGAATCAATTCGAAAAATAGTTACACAATTATTAAATTTCTGTTAAGCAATTTGCATCTATTTTGGATGTTAGTATGTCTTGAAGCAATTCAAAACTTGAAAAATATTTTAGGGTCAACTATTTTGCTTGTTGGTCATTCTTTAGGCTGAGTAGGGTGCTCTTGGTTTTCTTGTTTAGTAAGACTTTAAAATTTGCATTTTGCTTGAAGATACCCTTATGATGGATCTCTAGAGAAAGACAAATAAAATAGTTACTAAGGTGATTTATCAAGAGGTTCGAAATCTGGCGATATCTATGTCTTGTTGCGGTGGATTGGTCTGTATTAAATATTGTTGACATGATATATATTTATCATTTTTCAAACAAATATAATTAGTTGTTGACAAATTACACGTTATTATTCTATTTATGAACTTAATTAATAATCATTATATATGGATCAGAAATTTATCTAAGCAAAAAGTCTCCAAGAAAAATTGAATTTGATATGGTCTCAGGACAGGAGATTGGCTCCACTTGAACTGGAGAACTTATACAAGAGCATCCACGCAGAAACACAACATGGTTACTAAATATTGGATAAGGCATTGGATCGAAATTTTGGCGGTCTTCTTCCAGACAAGGCTTCTTATAGCATGGATTATAATGAGGGGGTTTTTAAGAGAATTACAGAATCTTTGGATAACTTGGAAATGGTTGGACTATATGCAAAGTATGTAATACAAAATTGTCGTGTTGAGTCACATAGGCCCTTGCTCAAGCAATTAGGATATGTGGCGGAGAGGTTAATCAGAAAGTTTAGATAATAGGGGACCATTGAGGAAAAATTGCACTTGAACAAAGAAATAGTAATTGATTTGGTGAGTAGATTATGTCCTAAAGACATGACCTACAACCCAGAGTTGCTGCAACTAATATTGAAGGCATATAAAGATTATAAGGACGAGGAGTTGCTGAAAAGACTAGCTGATTCTCTGATACAGCAATGCAAAGACAATGCGAATTAGAATAGCGACCATGATTGGTTGATGCTGATATCCACTATATTTGATTAAGCTCTTGAATAATAAGGAATCTGCCTATACATCTTATTAAAAAAGATTGGAAGCAACAAGTTGGGTCACATTATTGGGGAACATAGAAATTACTTTTTAATCAATTACTTTGATAATCCCGACAAATCGGTGAGAATATTTAAGGGGCTCATAAAATATAGTATTTTAAGTGAAAATCTCTAAATTTTGTAGGAAGTTACAGATATTTTGGAGGAGCAGATGAAGCAGAATAGTAATTAGAGCTGTCATCTAATATTAAGTGAAATATATGTTGAGGTCGTCTTACCATTATTATTGCCTTAATTGCATTAGAACACGAGCATTCTGGATCTCTTGTAAGTTTATATGATTGGGATGTCAAGATGTCAAGAATTATTAACTAATGATTGCATTATGATTATGTACGAGAGATTGAGACTAGTAATTGATTTGAGATAGAATGATAGATCGATTTTCGATAAAATATATGGATTTATGAATGCAATTTACAAAAAGTATTAAAATAAATTGGTTCACCACGATTAATTTTCTAAATTGCTCTACATTGCTAGAGATAAATGTTTCGACTAATTTAATCAGATAGATCATCCTGTGTGGGATTGTCAAAAGTTGAAGAATCTAAACTTTGATGACTCTTTGTATGATAGACCCAATCATGACAATTATGTGGGATTGGAGAACCTTACCAACACTTGTTTTATGAATAGTATACTGCAAGCTCTTTACATGACTGATAGATTTAGGTAATTCATTTTAATAAACTCAATACCTGAAGCCAAACAGTACAATGCTCTAAGAAAATTGTTTATGTTATTGAATTTTTAGAAGTCTGGATTTTGTTCACCATATGAATTAAAGAGATTGCTTCGAGCTCCATATTGCAATTCAAATGACCAACAAGATGTTGGAGAATTCGCACATCACTTTTTAGAAGATCTCCTTAAATACATTCCAAAAGAATTATAAGAAATACTGGAGAGAATCTTCTTTGGAACTCATAGATCAGTAATTGAATGTCCTAATTGTGATGTTTCATTTGGTCAGATTGAAAAGTTTTTGGGAGTTGATTTGCATCTAAATAAATATACTGAGTTGAAGGACATGATTGCATAGGTCTACGAAGAAGAGAAAATTGAATTCACTTGTGAGAAGTGTTAGCGAAAATCCAATGATATCAAAAAATCTATTTAATTGAATGATTTACCTCCTGTCTTGTTTATGACCATTTAAAGGTATGATTTCATATCTAACAAGATTTTAATATGATGCTCAATCGTAATAAATGACTAAGATCCTGGCCAAGGTACCTCTCAGATTTTTAATTGACATGAGAGAGGTATTCCAACAACAACATCTGGATGCCATGGATAGTTAATATATATTATATGCATTCATTGTTCATTTAGGAAAAAACAGTTACTCAGGTCACTATTCTTGTTATGCAAGATCTATGTCTAAACCAGAAACTTGGATTTGCTTTGATGATGCTCAGATTAATAAATATGAACTATCAAGTGAAGATCTAAATTCGTAATTGATGTAAAATTTAACCCATTCTATTATAGTGATGAGGAGACACCATATTTACTCTTTTACAAAAATAAATCTGGTCACTATTTAAGTATCAATAAATGAAAATATATATATCTAATTATAAGAGAATCTTCATTTTCATACATAATATCATTTAAATCTTTTATCTTGATATTTATATATAAGAATATTTTGATCCTAAAATTTGATATTAATTATTCACTAGGAGATAGTATTTTTATCCAAAATTCCTCTCTTCTCAGTTAATAATCGGATGCAAATAAAAAATCAAAATTATAGTAAGTGTATAATTAAATTTAATAATCATTATTATTTAACCACTTTCCTTAAGGCATAACAAATTTTGTGTTCTAAAGTGGTTTCAATGTCAACATCAACTTCAAACGTCTTTCCTTAGAGTGGGAATTTGATTCTATATTTAACTGTTAGTAATCTAAACAGGAACAGATAATCCTTATTTTTGTCATAAGCTTCCGCTTCCTTCTTTTAAACAGTAAAGGCCAAGGTCCCTTCTAACCATTTGTTAATATTATTTCTGAAATCCATGTCATGCTTAAGTAATTTACCCATAGCTAACTCTACCTTCTAGAGCAATCCACTTTGAACTTTTGCATCAATAAGGATGGGCACAGAATGACGTAAGGCCTTTCTCAATTTAGCATAAGTTTCTAAGGCCAACCACAATCCTTTGCTCGACTTTTGTTACATTTCCTTAAGAGATTCAAAGAATAGAACGAAAGAATTGAGTTTTTTATTATTCGCTTTATTAACACTTTTGACAAAGACATCGAAAACTACATTAGATATAGCATCTCTGGCAAAAGTAATGGCAGCCACAAAAGAGTCTATAAAATATGTGGTTACTCTCATATCGGTTCCTCCACCTACAACTACACTTTTGCCAAGATTTGAGTTTTCTTCAACCATGGCTTTGTTCTATTTGTTTCTTGCTTTTAATTCCATTTTTGTTTTCCAAAGATTAAGGCATAACTATTTCAGAGATTTAGCATGATTCCTTTCGAATAAATCAAGACAAGCATCTATTTTGATATGGAATTTTTCAGCCCAAGCTGGTGGCATTCTAGGTTCCATACCACCTGATTAGACAGTAATTTACTGTGGCATAGCAGGTTTCTAGAAATGATATGATATATTTACTGCATCTTCTCTGACTTTGGCTATTTCTTCTTATTTGAATCTATTGTCTCTCGCTAGCATACTCAACTCTTGGGCATAGCTTCTATTCAAATCTAAGATACGTCTGACTTCATGTTCGAGGATCCTGATCTTATCGAATGCATCGACTAATTCGTTATCTTTGAGATAGAGTGCTTCAGCAAATTGTTTGTCAAGTGCTTCTAATTTCAGTACTTTTTCTCTTAATTCAGCTTCCAACCTAGCAGTTTGGTGATCGAGTGTGAATCTCAAGGATGCAATTTCTTCATCAGCTTTTCTTTTCGATTCAGTTAACTCATTGATTCTTCTTCTCTAATCTTAGATCTCGGCATTCTTGTCATTTAGTTACTGAGTCAGACTTTGGACATCAAAATTGTATTGCTTATCGCCCAGTTCTAATTTATTCAGCAAGAGGTCTCTGTCCAATATGAGATTTTGCACATCATTTTTAATTTCAAATTGCTTTTCATATGTTTTTTCAGCGTTTAGATTTGATTCTTGGGTTTTCTTTTTAATAGTTTCAAATTGAGCAGTTTATTGTTGGTAGATGGTGTATAATTTCTTCAATTGATCCTTGTAGAGCTACAATTCATAGGCTGCCTTTTGGTAATCTGATTCAAAGCCCTGTTTGGCATGTTCGGATACATCCAAATCATGTTACAATTGCTAGGTTGATTAGGTTTAAATACTTGAATGTAATCATTCATTTTTTAGATTTGATAATTGTATTGCTCCTCTCTCTCCTCAAATTCACGATACCTTTCATCGTAATAATAATCTGGTTGATTGAGTTGTTGGGTGGATTGTTGGTATTGTTGGGGGATGGGATATTGTGGCTATTATTTTTTGGTGACATATGGAGAATTGTCATGACGGTGAACACCTGTGGGCGAGGTAGACATTTTAAATTCTGTCTGTTATTTAAATAAAATTCTAGAATAAATTAAAGTTAATGAAAGTCGTGTTGCTGGCAATTTTCTTGTTGCTCGTATTGGCTGGAGAGGATTATTACCAACTGCTAGGATTGAAGAGAGGGGCAAGTGACGCTGAAATCAAGAAGGCTTTCAAGAAATAGTCTCTGAAGTACCACCCAGACAAGAATAAGGGGAATGAGGAGAAGGTTGATCAATTATTCTTATTTTGTGTAGGCTCAGAAATAATTCTAAAAAATAGTGAATGCCTATGAGACCTTAAAAGACCCAGAGAAAAGACAGATTTACGATTAATATGGTGAGGAGGGTGTAAACAAGCATGAACAACAATAACAATAAGGTGGTGGAGGAGGAGGATTCCACAATTTTGGAGGTGGTTTTGAAGAAATGTTTTCATAATTCTTTAGGGGAGGCAGTGGAGGTGGCGGTGGTCATCAGCAATTCCATTTTAATTTTGGAGGGTCAGGATTTGGAAATCAAGGTGGTGGTGGTGGATTCGGGAATCAAGAGGATGAAGGTCAAAGAAAGAAAGACAATCTGTTTGAAAATACAGATGTGTATACTCTTGATATGAGTAACCTCTCTCGATTTTACAGAAGAGAAGAAGTTTGGGTAATATATTTCTATTTGCCCAATGGGGAAGGATAGAGGCACAAAAAACTAATTATAGAATTGGCTGAAAAATATGCTGGCATTTTTAGAGTCGCTGCTGTTGATTGTGAAGATGATGAAGCATTGTGTGAAGATGAATTCTCTGCTAAACGATATCCTTCTCTTTCCATTTATGCATCTCGTCTCTCTGCTGAACCTATTAAGTACAAAGGGAAGTGGGAAATAAATGAGATGGCAAAGGAGGCTGTTGATCTGATGGAGGATTTTGTCATTGTCTTGAGTGGATTCAACTTCTAGGAGTATATTGAAAAGTCAAAACCTAAGGTTATTCTATTTACCAATAAAAAATCGACTCCTCCTTTGTTCAAGGCTCTTTCAAAAGAATTCAAGGGGAAATTGGAATTTGCAATGATTCGATAATCTGAAAGGCAGTTATCTTCCATTTTCAAGATTACTGAATTCCCTAGTTTGATTGTTGCCAAAAATGATCAAGACTTCAAGGTGTTTGAATCAGAATTCAAGAAAGATCAGATTGTTAAATTCCTTAGATAATTTGCCTATGGATAGAGGAAGGAAGTCTAGGTGAAGGAAATTTAAAAATTGAATGGATAAAATTACGAATAATGTATAGTAAAGGGAAATGGGTTGTGTTTCTTATTGTTGATAGAAAATGAATTAGATTTAGAGTTGGTATCCAAAATCCCTCATAAATATTAAAATGAAAACATTTCCTTCTATTATGGATCTCTAAAGTATTTTATTTCATCACATTAGGTAATTGACATCGAAATTTGAAGCAAAGCAAACTCAACCTTATGCTGTGATTATAAAACCTAAGCGATAAACTTATGCTGTGTAGAATTCAATAGAACCAAATGAAATCATAACATTCATTGATGATGTACTTGGAGGAGGAAGAACATTCAAGAAAATGCATTCTACTTTTAGAAAAGAAGAGTTGTGAATTGTATTTTAATTTGCTTTTATTCGTTAATTTTAACAACTATTTTAATGGATAATATAGTACAACATGTAGATGACGAATTTAATGAAGGCAAACAGGATTCCTATCAGCAGCCTGAAAAATTATCAGACAATCTAGCAAGAACAGTCTTCTTCGATTCTAACAACCTTCCTTAAGTGGAATGCTACTACCATAAAGGTTATTATATATCTAACATGTGTCGAGCACCTCAATGTATAATACCTTTATGTCCTCTTTGCATACATCTTCATTCTAAGGAACATGTCAATGAAGGCACATATCCAGTGTTTGAATCATTGGAGGTCTTATTAAACCAAGCAAACGATCATGTCAATAATGAATGTAAATATTCGCATTTTCTATACTTTTAGTAAAGAAATTCACTAACTCATATTACGATATCAAAAAGCATGTGAATACCTTTGAGGTTCATGCAGATAAAACTATAAAAAAGATTAGAGAAATCAAGAAACGGATGTAAGATGTTGTTGAACAATTCTTCAATGGTTTAGAGAATGAAGTCTAGCACAAATAGAAGAAGAATGTGAATAATCAAGAGAGAGATGCTAAACATTTGCTATCAATGATTGAAGAGAGATGGAGATCAATGAAAGAGATGTTGAATACATTTTAGAGTTCAGATTGTTTAACAGCACTCATACCCTACTTCACAACAACCTTTTAAGAGGATAACCAGGTGTATTACAAGAAGATAGGGGAGTACATAAATGCATTTCCAACTGTCAGTAGCGAGGTCTAAATTGATTAACACAGAGCGTAAATAAATATGTAATAATCAAAAGATCTGAGTTGAGCGTGTTTCTGAGTTCAATAATACAAGTTCGACATACTTCAATCCCCGATTTCATTGGCATTCATTAATTGCCTACGACCAATGTTACTGAGAGCACTAAAATCAATTCTCTGTAAGGCAGCAGAATCAAGGAGCCGTTGCGTGTCACAATTCCAGAGAAGAAAACTTAATTTGAATCATTTGAACTTCGGAAATCACCTGTTTAGAGTATAAGAGCTTAAAGAAGTCCACCTCCAAATTCATAGAGTATGTATCCTTATCCTGTGCATCCTTCCGTGCATCAATATCCTCCTCCGCATTACTTACCACCACAATACCATAGATTTTGAAAGATATTATTACAAAATAATATAATTATATTTTAAGTTGATTAATTTTAGCATGATTTTAAAAACATAAAAAGGTGTCTTGAATCACTGAAAATGTAATTAAAATACATGTTTGAAGAAACCGAAAGATAATTACTAAAATTTCTTAGGAGTTTGGCCAAAGATTCAACTGAAGAGATAATCATTGAGGATGCTGAAATGGATTGTATTCCAGATTCTATCAAGGCCGAATTGGAGAAGTTTAGTCTACTGTCTCTTCAATTGAATAAGTGCAAATTAAAGAGTCTCTCCAATCTACCTGATTCGAAATCTATAATCAGAGTGTGTTTGGATCACAATCAATTGAGTGGGAAGGAATTGTCCAAATTAAATATCTACCCAAATCTTGTTGCCTTGTCGATCATGGATAATCAGTTCGATTCTATTGAGGACATCAAATAGCTGGCTTTGCTCAATCATCTTTCTCAATTAAATGTGTACAGAAACCCAGTGGCTGATCAACCCAAATTTAGATAGGAGACCTTCGAAGTCCTAAGCAAATTAGTGTTGTTAGATAATCTATCCAAGACTGGGGACGAGATTCAATTGAATGAGGAAGTGAAGATCAGCAAAAATTTGGAAACCATCGATCCTTCAGATTAGAGAAAAATAATAGGATGAGTTAAATTTTATATTATTTTAATAATTTATATAAATGCAGATGCAAGAAACGTAATTGTACAGGAAATCTGCTAATCATTTTAATGTTAGCAATTCTCTCCAATTACTCTATTGTTTTATCAAAATAAGCATTGGAACATACTTACTTTTACCTACCCAACAATGCAATTACAACTCATTTTCTGAATTCTACTATGAAAACCCATTGCATAAATGGATATCTTGGATAGTGATTCATTCCATATTAAATACTATCTTGTATTTCAATTAGATAGTGTACATGAATGTAGAGGAAAACCGACGTAATTTGGCGTAGAAGTTGGATTAAATAAGAGATTAAGAAGAACAATTCTAAGCCCATTTTATTGAGGATTCAAAATAAATAAGCATTTTGACAAGATAAATCAAATATGAAGTCTAAAAGTCAGTCTTATGTGGTAAATGGTACAGTCGTCTATTGGGCATTATATACTAATTGCTCTTCTTATCCGGATTGGCAATATTTCTATCGTAAGACACATCAAGAACAGGGTGTGAATATTATTAATACTATTTCCTGTGCACAATCCTTATACTCTCAATCTATTAATACATAGACTTATACATCATAGCAATATTTTGTGTTCTATTTTCACCATTTTTGATTTTGTTTTTGATATACTATTGTGTCTCACAGTAAGTTCTATACAAATGATTTTTAGTTGCACTAAAAGACAGCAAAAAAGAGAAGCTATGGAAAGATTGAACATTTAGAGTTACAAACCCAATTGTGTTGAAGGAGATCCAGAATGTACTATTTGCAGATGTGCATACGAGTTAGGAGAAAGCATCCTAACACTAACTTGCAGCAAGTTCCATCATTTCCACGAATCATGCATAATGGTATATTGGTTTGATATTAAACTGCTAGAGTTGGATGAATGTAAATTCAACATGCCCACTATGTAGAAAAGCCATATGAAAACATCTTATATATAATATATTTAGAATATTGAATAGACATTCATATAAAGCCAAATACGCAAAAAGCTGGATATTAATGTTGTTTGTTCTAAGACTTCTCTATTTCCTTGACTGGCAATTTAGCATATTTGAACTCCATCTTCTTTGGTTCATAGGTAATGAATTTGAACATGCCGTAACTAAAAACGACTAATAGTGTCATGGGCATTATTCCAGCCATGAAGATGACTCCTGGCACTGATCCAAATAGAGCATACTGACTGGCCAGTTTATTCTCTGTAATTGGTTGGAATAGTCTTGCAACACCATCTCTCAATGAACAAAACCAAGTATATAATCTTGGCTCTTGTTAATCATATACAGACATATCGGTTTATGCCTTCTCAAGTAAACTCAATGCTCCCTGTAAGGTATGTCTCTCTGTCTATGCATGAACACACAATCCGAAAAGTAGAATTGCCAAAATAATTTATTTCATTAATTAACAATCATAAAATCACACTAACCAAACACCCACAAACTAAAACACTCCCAATAATGCTTAAATTGTTGAGACTCTCATTCAACACCACGATATCGAAAAAGTAACTAAACAGAACCTATGACTGTCCCACGAGTGACATCTTATTCAATTTTCCCAATATGAAGCATCTATTCATGAAAAACTGAGCCAGTCCTCCAGACGCACTATTCAACAATAAAAATACCCATTCTTAATATGTGGGGAATACCAGCTATGATTAATTATACAACTCAAAAAGCATAGGCAATATGATTGTGTAAAAGGAGAAGTATTGGAGAATTGCAATTTAATGCACTGACTTTGCTAAGTGAGAGATAATCACTTAGACTATTGATTACGTAATTGAAGATGTCAATGCCAACATCACTCCTAACATGTGCATATCGTATTCTCTATTTGCATCCACAGTCCATCCCAGAGCCATAAGTAAAAAGGGAGGTCTGGCTATCAAAATCACTCCGATGATACACAATAAAATTATTATTAAAAGTTTTAATGTCAACTTATCTGTCTTTGTGATGTATGCAGCTATCAAAGCTGTCCACAATGGTGAGATCTTCGATAACACTATTACTTCTGAGGACTAAATCAAACGAACTGCCCAAAACCAAGCCACTGTCCCCAAGCCTCCACACAATCCTCTCCATTGCAATTTATTTATCTATTTTTATGGATAACTATCAATTTTGTCCTTGGCAATCCATTTTAACATCATTATTGTGAACAATGATCTAACATACAACACTTAAGTTGGAGCCACATTTGGCACTAATTTAATAGTCAAAGCAGTCAAGGCGAAGAAACAACTCGAAAGCAAACTATAAACAATCGGAATTGCTGTTGAATGGCGGCATTCTAATTCTTAAATTAATTAATTCATAAAAATTACTAAGTTAATTTTTCATAGCATTTATTATGCTACCCTTTGTATGCACTACTAATATTTTGCCATCTTATTCACAACTATTAATATACTTTTGAAATGACTTTCTCTTTCTGGAGGTTAATCTCAGTTTTGATGTAATTCATTCAAGTTATTTTATGTTTATTACTCGCTTTCAAAAATGTGTAATTGAATTAAATCAAATATGATGATGAATAGCCTCTTATTTTCACATTGGAACAATAAAAAATAAATCCTATAAATTAAGCAAATCTTTAATTAAACAAATTATTAAAATATTTATTCATTACAAATTAGGATATGAATTATATCAGATATAATAAAAATAACATTTAAAAATCAAGGTCTTCTATGAAGCAAAAGAATTAACCTTGTAAAAGCAGTGGCAATCCTTGCTAGAAACGCCCATCGAATTTTTTTGGGAAATTGTTAAAATTTAGCTAAAGCCTCTTTGTCTAAGAAGACTTTCAAGAGGATGTGTATCCAATTCAGCATCATCAAGGTCAAAATAGCCTTCAAGAGGGACAAAAAAAGAAAATACCTCTCCTGAATAAACCTTTAAAACATCTACTGACTATCTTGGAACATAAATCCAGTTATTCATCATAATTAGAGTAGCAATGAAAATTGTATATTTTAATATTTATGGATTTATGTTGAAAGCTTTTCTCATAACCAAATAAATATTATTGGCTTCTAGTACTTATAACAATAATTTATTTAATTATAAGCCTAATTATTTCTTATATATAATAATTTTAATAAAGAAATTAAAAATGGGATTTAAATTCACCGGCAAGTTTTCTATTTCTTATTAATTATTTTACTAAAAACTATGTATAGAGAAGAGAATAGATCATTGTTCAATAAAAAGGAAAAATACCTGATTAACAAAAGAATAAGAGCATTTAAATTATTGCTCTAAGAGAATTTGATTTAAAAAATAGTTAATGAAAAAGATTTTCTCGATCAAATGGAAAAGAAGAGCTAAATGAGCTAAGAGGAGAAAGTAGCTTTCAACATAAAATACGCTCCTTTATATAATAACATACACTAAGAATACAGAAAATACTTAGTTAATAAAAGATAAAAAAAAAATACGAATTAAAATAGAGAAAATAATCCCAAGCACAATCAATTACTGAAAGAGATGTATTGAAACTATCTATCATTATGATTGTATTTAAATATCTAATTATAATATTATAATTAAATTTATACCCAAAAGATGATTAACCAAAGATATAAAAACATAATCTCCGGCTATTTGGTTTGCATTTAAGTTAATAATTTGGTCTATTACACATTTATTGTTGGTATACCTTTCATCCTATTTAAGTGAGTTTCAAGTGAATAGCAGAGTCAAATGAGGATGAATATTAATTCGACTTTTGCAATTTTATAATAGAACCTTTATTTTAGATTTGATGATTACTGACAGGGATGGATCATTTATTTTTGAATATTTCAGATTTAATCAATAAAATTTTTATTGAATTAAAATGGCAAAGGAAGTAAACAGAGAAGAATATGCAAGGTAGAAGCACCATAAAGACAAATAAACAAAATTTGCCCTTGATTTACTTAAAAGTAGAGATCCAAGAAGTTTGGATGAGTACAACGACGCCATACAAAAAGGGTTGAAAGATTGTAACTGCTAGAAGGATCCTGATCCTAAGAAAGGCATTGCTCATAAAGAAGGATGTCCTCATAATGACTTTTAATCTCATTAGAAATAACAGAGGAGGCTTTTAAAAAACTATATTTACTACAAAACAGAATACAATTATAATAGGGACTATTCTCCTGAATATTACTTTGCAAGATAAATTTATTTGGAAAAGTAGGCCGGATAAGTGAAGGTTTAGGTAAAATAAAAGTTTTTGAAGGGAAAGAATTTTAATGATGATCATTTATATTGATGTTAGTGTTTATTTTAAATTTAATATTTATATAAAAATAAGAGATTTATATGTTTATGAAATCGAAATGGGGTTGGAAGTATGGAAATGATCTGTAATTGAAGGGAGAAAATAAAAATAGAATTTTAATTAATTAAAAAAGGGACTAAGAATTTAAGAATTTTTTAATAATATGCTATAATACATTACGACATTTGAATTCTCATGTGTTTTAATCAAATATATACAAATAAAGCTCATGATTTCCATCAGCATATTTATGGAAGTGAACTCTTACACAATGGACATGTAAGGTTTATTTACATCCATTATATCAAACATGAAGGATGAAATACATGGTTCTAGGAATATAATTAAAAAGTCTTACGCAGGGAGTGTTCATCAATAGTTGTTTTTGCGTGGCCATATTCAAAGTCTGTACAAGAACAGGCTCTTTGCAGTTTACGTTGTAGGATTCTGAGGTGTTTTTCAAATTGTCAAGACAAATTGAACAATCTAATTGGGAATGATCTTCTGTTGATTTGACGAAGTAATTAAATTTCGTAGTCTGCAGGATGAATAATCCGTATTGACATTAACAAAAGTACAAAATGGATTAAGTGATAGATATGAGTAAGACTATCCCAACAACAATTAAATTATATTTAAATAGTAAAATGTTATTCGAATAGGCTGTAATGTATAAGGAGAGTAGTACTCTTGGAAAAATGGTTCCAAGGTAGTTGAGGTTGAATTTCTATCGATTTCCTGTAAAAAAGGTGAATATTATTTGGGGCAATAAAAACAAATTCAGAAGGATCATCCCATACCAGTATTTAATTTGAAGGAATAGGAATGAAATGGATGACATTTCAATAATTAGTACAAGTATGTCTTTCTTACTGTAATTCTCAATTTGCTATAAATTATTAATAATATAATTACAGTTAATTTAGCTTTCATTTTGAGATCACATAAAATAGTAATGAGCTGAGAAACCAAGCAAGGAATGAAATAGTAAAATCTCGGTGTGTCAAACAACAAAGAGCTAAAAATGCAAATGTAAATGTCTTGAGTCAAGATAATGGAGAGTGTGAGTGAACCACCTTAGTTTGGCACACAATCAGAATTTAAATAGTAATGTGAATTGACTATTTGAAATAGTGAAATGCATATGATAAGAGCAGTGTAGGATTAAAGATCCAATGAATATTTCGAATTGTTAAACATCAATAGTTATAATCTTTCTTCACTCATCTAACAATCCTCTTCAAACTCACTATAAATATTAAGATTTTTGGAATTCTAGGATTTTTGGATTTCTAATTAAATAGTGGCATTGCACTAAATATGGTTATTTTCCTTATTACTTTGTAGAGTAACTTCAGTTAAGGCATTGTTCCAAGTCATTCGCCTAAAAGATAAGAGTCAACAAATACTTTTTGACTGAATCAAAGTGATAGGAGCTTTTGCTTAATGAATAACTCAATCTGAAATAGTGGGTGTCTCCGTATTCATTATTTTGTCTTGGGTAGACTTACAATAGTAAATTTTTGTTGTCAAAAACTATGTTTAAATAAACCAAGTGTTCTGAACTTGCTGTCCATTAACCAAGTATTAACTAGTCCTAGTTTTCAATCAGAAATTGATAAGCCTATTCAGTATTGTGGTAGGCAAAAGTATTATCGCTCGATACTTGGCATATTACGTAACCAAATATCAATAAATAAAAATTTACTTTCATTAAACTTATTTTAATTATTAATACTTGTTACAATTAGTTATAAAAATTTGAATTTTGCACTCAGAAATCAAGCGTTAACTTACCTTTTTTTGATTGCATCATTTTTCGATATTAAGATCATATTTTCAATGAAATAATTATATACATAAACATCATTTAAATATATCAATCAATTTGCCAATTCCAATAGCGACTCCGATCACTAGAATAAATGAATATAGGGAAATTCTAAAATTCTTAGGCATACGTTTTAGAAGGTCTGAATGGTCATTGCACTTCAAGTCCTCCTATTAATGATAAACACACAAAGGAAACCTCATCGTTGAGCGAGAATTTAGTGAAATCGACCTAATCTACCAAATATTCTGTTGACTCCACACTAGCTTGGACTTGATTATAATTGGGCTGATTCGGAGCTTAGGAACCCTTCTTCCCATACAAGCAACTCAAATGCAAAGTAATTGGGATGATGTATTCTTGAAACAATCCAATAACAGCTCTGTAAAAAACAAATCAAATAACATTACCCACATAAACTAATGATTAAGGACAAATCAACTTCAACACACTGAACCACTAAACAAGTTATTGCATAAGTCAATGAGAAAGCGTAGAATTGCCATTTTGGTTATCTTTCCAAATCATAGATGAGACCAAAAAATTAGGATCTTGTAATAAATTGCAATACTGGAAAGACAAGAGTCAATTATAGAAAGAGTAGAACCTATATAATAATGACCAAGGGATTGTCCGATGGATAATAATCTAAAAGAGTTGATCCACTCTTCCCCTCTTACTTCTGATTATTTGCCAAAGCTCCAGCGACTGCAAATGCTCCAAATGTACCAGCCATGCAATACACAAACCATGTCCATCCAAATCCAATAGCAATGTCTCGATTGTTATTTTATTAAATCATATTGTTCTTCATTATAGGTACAACCATAGATTATATCAATAAAGCCAATGCAAATGTACCAGCCATAGTAGATACATCCAAACTAAACCATTTCAAATTATCTACCACTCCTTGATGATCAGTTACTAACATATAGATTCCTTCATATATTGTGAATAAGATGAATGAAAATACTGAAATAATTCCATAGGGTAAGAGTTGCAAAATGATTCCCAGTTTCTTTTAGAAAAACATAGGCAGAATAAATAGAGTGTAACCAATTCCTATCCATTAGTATGATAGCTTGGAGAGAGTGATGTCAGTGAGTGGTGCGCTTTCTATGCCAATATTATCACATATTATTTAAATTAAGGGATAAAGTTGATTGCATATCAAGATCATATAGATAATCCCACTGGCCCACAGGAGGATTACATTACTAATGTTAAAAATGGTCTTCCACTTTGGACCCAGAACTCGTTGTAAGGTATCTGGCAAGTCCATCTATTAATTCATGAATTGTGTTATTATACCTCATCTGACTTATTATGTACAATCAATAATTGAGTGGTTCTGCATGAAATCAATCCAATTATTATGGCGATAACAATTCCCAATCCAATTCCTGATTGACAAAATAGCACTGGGAAGACCAAAGTGCTGGTGCCAACCATTGAGTTGGAGACGGAGATTATGGTTTGAAATGAGGAGGCCTTGCCAGTTTGAGCAATTGAGCTCTTTTTAATAGATTTGATCAGTGATTGCTTTTCCCTTTTGGATACCGATTGCTTAAGCACTTTTTGAATTTATTGGCTGACTTCAGCCTCTTATGCTAATTATGCCATAAAATTTATTAAACATTGAATTACATTACTTGAATTAAAAAATAAGATGTTAATTGTATTAAGTCTAAAATTATATGAATATGGCCTTGGGAGTTCGCTAGAAAAACTGTTTTTGAGTTCCACGAATTAATTGATATTTGATACGAATAAATTAAACAGCTCAAATTCTCTGATGTCACCAAGTGGGTTAGGAAGGCTCATCAAAGGAACGAATCCAAGACAACTTAGTCATGTAGAGAATTGAGAGAGAGAGAGGAGGGGGGGGGGCTATTATTAATTATCAAAAAATTAAAATATGGGAATAATTCATTTATTTAATAAATTTATGGGGATCACTTTTGCATGCCAGTCTTAAAAGAAGGAAAAGAAGAAAAATGCTCAATATCTCATTGTAATCAGCAAGTTTGTTAACGCATGTAATTATGTTGTCATTCTATTCATACAGTTGATAATTATGAATTACACATGTTGCTGATGATTTACAGAGACTTGGCAGGCCGTTCTTAAAATCACTTAATTTGTAGAGACATCTTCAATACTTATTTTAAAATTATAGTTTGTAGAATAGTGATGATTAATTTAGGGAATATGGGGCGAATAAATATTCAATAAATTTACACACAAATAAGAACACTATATGAGTTTTGAAGAATTTCTTACTGGATTGTAAATGTATATAAAATGTTCAGAAGATCAGCAAATCAAAAACCTATTCAAATTGTATGATCTACAAAATCAAAATGGAATTGCTAAAACTGACTTTTTACAAATGGTATTTTTTGCAATTTATATTTTTAGTTACATAATTATTCAAAAGAAGAACTTAAGATCATCTTGAATGATTAATTATTTTTAGAAGAATAAGAAATCATAAATGCCTATCATCGCACCAAGCGAGTCAAACCTCGAAAAGGAAGTGAAGACTTCCTCAAAATGTCACGTAAATTTTGCAATCCATTCTAGTGTAAATGTTAAGAAAGTACAGCAACCTTTCAGAAAATAAGGAGTCAAATTAAAATGAGCATTAAAACCTCTAATAGCCAGATGTCTTGCAAAGTCTGAATTCCAAACAATCGATTGATCAGATTTTCACATTGGACAGCAAAGCATAATTGAATGGCATTCCATTGAAAGGATTTGGTATAAACCTCACATTTCAAGTATGTTTATGGAATATATTCTATAGGTCAATGGATAGAAGATTGAAATGCAAGCCAATTTGAATCTGCTAATCAAGAAATACGTGGAGATGGTTTACAAGGCAAAGAAAGACTTACCGATAAATTTGGAAGATTTTACAACTTTTGTTAAACATCATCCAAATTTAATCATGCCATTGTATTGTGTATTCAATTTTGATGTTTGGGGATTGCAGAATAATTTACCTAAATACAAGAGTTTGTAAACTAATTTAACTCATTATAGACCATTAGATATTCAGGGAGAATTATATAGAATGTCAAAGAAGAACAAAATTAAGTCTAAGTTCTGTCAACTCTATCCGAATATCTTGATGGAATTCAAGAATAAAAACGACATCAAACCAACAAGTATGTGGAATTATTTAAACAATTAGAGATCATTTGTTTGAGTGGATTGATAATCAAAGAAAGAGTTGATCAAACCAATTAGAAATTTGGATTCGAAATCTTCCATAAGAATTAACACTATAAACATAAAGTCTATCATTGCTCTGATGAAATGTCATTTCGAGACTGGTAACGAGCTTTGTCCCTATATTTTAATGGAGAAGTTAATAAGAAATATTCTATTCTTAATAAGATAGGGGAGGGCAAATACTCCATTGTTTACAGATGTCAAGCCAAGATTGATCAGCAATTCTACGCTTTAAAAGTAATCAATAAGATGAATCTCCCCCAAGAAGAGTAGGATATAGTGAAACATGAAATAAGTATCACCAAATTATTAAATCATTCTTGTATAATTAATTTGATTGATTCTATTGAGAATAGGGATCAGATACACATTATTACAGAATTAATAGAAGATGGAGATCTGTTTGATTATGTTTAAAATAAACAATACTTAGACGAAAGTGAAGCAGCCATTATTTTTAATTAGTTACTAGATGCTCTGTAATACATTCATTCGATTGGAATAGTACACAGAGACATAAAGCCTGAGAACATTTTGATGGTCTTGGATTAAAATACTGTTAAGCAAATTAAATTGATTGATTTTGGTTTGGCTAATCATCTCTCAAAGATCCAAAAGAATAGTGAACATTTGAATTATCATTGTGGGACATGCAATTACTAAGCACCTGAAATGTTGCAATTTTAAGAAATCACATTTTCAGTTGATGTATTCGCACTTGGAGTGATATTGTATTATATGTTAAGTGGATACTTGCCATTTGATTCTGACATACCATACGAGATCATATAGAATACCATAAATGGCATATATAGTATGGATGATTATCATTGGCAATGCGTAAGTGAAGAAGCAAAAGACCTCATAGTGGGTTTGTTACAAAATTAGCCTAGTAAGAGACTCACTCTAAAAGAGGCCAAGGAACATAAGTGGATGAAAGAGTAATTGGTTAAGAATAATAAATGATGAATTATTTATTTCAAATCAAACGGCTGTCAATAGTTTTGTATTTCAGCTTCCTTTTTCAATTATTTCAATGAATTCTCCTCCTGTTTAAATTATTATAAAATTTATATTTATATTACATGAAAGTTTAGTTTATTCTATATAATTTACAAATGAGCAAGAATTTCAAGGAACGTTCTCTCTAAGTGAGGAGTGCCACTACTCCAACTAGATGGACAGAATTGGAATGACAGATCGACATACTAAGGTTGTTGAAAATCAGGGAATGTGGGAGTTGAAAATTGGGAGGCGGATAATAAAGGAGAGTGTTGGTGCGATCAAACAAATCCTGTAGTTGTTATTTATACTTGAAAATAATTTAGAATAAATTTAATATTATTTATGTCTGAATCAGAAAGTAAGTCAATAAAAAAAGCGCAAAAATTATAAGGCAAATTGTCAAGGAGCCAGATGCTGGAGGAGAAATTCAAATTGGAAGAACAATTAAAAGACATTAGAGAATAATATGGAAATTTGCCTGAAAAAAAGCAGGAGCCCAAGACCAATACTCAATATAGATGGAATTATATCCTAAATGAGATGGTATTATATTGAGTGATTGTAGAGTGAAATGCAACAATATATGACGAGGAGACTGGAATGTTTCAAATTTAAGACAAAGAAATTAGCAGAATAAGCAATTAATAAAAGGTTAAAATATTATGAGGCAATTAAGGAAAAAGAGAAGGTACAAGTGAAAATAATATAAAGAATGAAGAAAAGAACCAATTTAGACAATTACAAAAAGTAGCCAAAACTGTATAGAGAGAATTTTGGAAATACGTGTGGCAAATACGAAAGCAAGTGCAATAATTCAAGGATGACAAAATAAAATAAGAGACTCAAAAATAGAAGTTGGGAGACATAGTTACTAGATTAAAAGAAGTTACAGAAGAAATTGGATAGAAGTTATCCCAATATTAAAATGCGCAATAAGAAGATGAAACCAATTTGATACCAATTGAGAAATTCAAAACACTCTATTACGAATTAAAAAGAAGATAAAATGCGTGGCCAGGCTTCAAAAAATAAATACAGTCAGTTTAATCAAGTATTATCTAACTCATTTAAAATCAGACATTGTAATTGACCTCATAAAAGTGGGACAAGACAGATACGAAATAGCTAAGGTCGAATCTAAAGATGAAGAAGTAGATGAAAGTATATTGGATGCAGACAAATGCTTAAAGGTACTTAAAAAATCTAAATAATTCCCATTTCTATTTGAAGCCGAAGACAGTAAAACAATATAATTAATTTAGGTTTGTTGGAATAGTAGCCATTTTTATTGAATGGACAATTGAGAATATATCAATTGGTTGGAGTTCATTGGATGGCAAGTTTGCATCAATAATAGATGAATGGAATTTTGGCAGATGAGATGGGTTTAGGAAAGACAATATAGACCATCGCTTTGTTAGCATATCTAGCAGCAAATAAATAAATTTGGGGTCCACACTTAGTAATTGTTCCTACAAGTATTTTGATGAATTGGGAGATTGAATTCAAGAGATGGTGTCCTGCTTTTAAAATAATGACTTACTTTGGGTCACCTAAAGAGAGAAAATTAAAAAGATAGGGGTGGAGTTAATTGAATAGTTTCCATGTCTGTATAACGAGTTATAAGATTGTTATATAGGATAGCAAAGTGTTTAAAAGAAAGAAGTGGTATTACATGATATTAGATGAGGCTTAACATATTAAAAACTTCAAATCTCAAAGGTGGTAAGTCTTATTGAATTTTAATACAAGAAGTCGATTGCTACTAACAGGAACTCCTCTTTAGAATGATTTAGGTGAAATTTGGAGTTTACTTCATTTCTTAATGCCTTCAATCTTTGACAGTCATTAAGATTTTTTATAATGGTTTATGAGTATAGAGAAAGCAATCTCAGAAAATAAAACTATTTCAGAAGAAGTCTTAAGATAATTGCATGATATATTGAGACCCTTTGTTTTGAGAAGGTTGAAAAAGGATGTAGAGAAGTAATTGCCAGAGAAAAGGGAGATCATAGTGAAATGCGATTTGTCAAGAAGACAGAAATATTTATATGATGAATTCATCTAATCTTCTGGCAACTTCGAAATCTAAGGAACAGATTTTGTTACTATGATGAACAAAGTGTAATAATTAAGAAAAGTTTGTAATCATCCTGAACTTTTTGAATAAAGACCAGTGGAATAGCCATTCTTTTTCCCTGCTCTCAAATTTACATATCCAAAAAGAGTATAATTAAATTTAAGACAATCTCCAATCAAACTACACATTACATTTATTAAACAAAAATTCCCCTCATAGGAAGTGTTATAGTTCTATTCACACATAATTGAATAAAGAATCATGAATAAAAAGGCATCAAAATTTGGTAAAAGATGGGTGGAATTAGAAAATTCATAAGTTTAATCTAGATTCAAATCAAATATGTCAAATAGCTATAGAAAAATAGTATTCTACCATGCTTTATTGACATACAATCCTGAGATGCTTACTTGTTGTAAAGAACAGATTAATAGCTTCTTGATGCCAACTGTGGATTATTTATTAGAAAAAATGCAAGACACTCTTAATGAATTTAGTTGTGTCATCAGAAAAGTTGATGCATTGCCTTAACAACTTTATTATAGTCCTTATCAAGCATAATAGCAAGATGTTATACCCAAGGGTGTCGATTCTTTGTTTTCTATGATCCAAAAGTAAAGGATGCTTTTCCCAAATAAGAAACTATTGATATATGATTGTGGTAAAATGAATACTCTGGTTTCTTTAATTTATAAATTAAAATCACAGAATCATAAAATCATCATTTTCACATAGATGACTAAGATGCTCGATATTTTTGAAGCTGTACTCTCTTTAAGTAAGATTTCCTACTTGAGATTGGATGGATCTACTCCAGTTGAAATGAGATAAAAAATAGTAGAAAGTTTTAATCAATTGAATATTACTTGCTTTATCTCATCTACTAGAAGTGGTGGAATTGGATTAAATTTAACTGGAGCTGATACTGTTATATTCTATGATACTGATTGGAATCCAGCTATGGATAAACAGGCTCAAGATAGATGTCATAGAATTGGCTAAGTGAGACCTGTCACTATATATAGATTAATCACTAACTCTACTATTGAGGAGAATATCTTCTTAAAATCTTTACAGAAAAGATAATTAGATGATTTTGTGATGCAATCTGGTATGTTCAGTCCAGAATAAATATTAAAATCATTTTAACTCTTTGATGATGAGAAAATGGATTAAGCCATCAAACAGGTCGAAGATATTGATGACAGACAGGCTGCTTAAAAGGCCTTGATTGAAGAATAAAACTATTAAATGAATGGAGCTGAAGAAATTGAAGAGATTGAAAAAGGAGATAATATGGATTGGCTAATACCTAATTAATTACCTCCTATAGTAAAATATGGATTGAAAATGAGTGATTGTATAGTTAATGACAATGCTGAAATCTAGAAGTTACAAGATGAAATGGATGAAGGAGAAGAGGATGGAGAAGATGATGAAGTAGATCAAGAAGTAGAAGAAGAAGAACCAGAATAAGAATAAGAATAAGAATAAGATGATGAATAAGAATAAGAATAAGATGATGAATAAGAATAAGAAGGAGAATAAGATTAAGATTAAGAATAGTCAAAAAATGAAGAAGATTAATAATAAATTAATGAAAAAAAGAAAAAAAGTAATAGTAAAAGTGTGGATTATTCTGATTCTGGAAACCATGTTTTTTGTGTAGAAAATAAAAAATGAAATATTGATGATATTTTTCTAAGTATTTCATAATTACACTTATTTATAAAAAATCAAACACATTTTTGTTATTCTTATTTTTATACTCCTATATTTAATATTATCTAATTAATTTCATATTAAATTCACTTAAATAATGTATCCAAATTTACAAGATCAACTCAAAATAGCTTTCTTCTAGGTTGCCTTTTTTAATTTTATTGCTCATAATTATATAATGGTTTTCTAAAGGATTATATATAAGTATTAATTTTTACTTACTATTTATTTAAATAGTCTTCTAATTTAGAGATAATATCATTCTGCAAACTTAATATCCCAATTGATCTTTAACAAAATAATCTACTGATCAAATATTTAGGAAATAATAATTGTATCTATAAATTAACTTTATATTTATTAACCAGTTAATTAAAGTAAAAACGTTTATGAATTTTTAAGTAATAGATATGCAAACTTTAAGTGGTTATTTAATTACATGAATGATCCTCTGTTTCTAAATAAATTAGACAATATTTGAGTTGTTATTCATCCTCTTTTTTATCATATTTATATTTAATCACAATTAATATTAAATATATACAATATAATATATCACACTTTGCCTTCATGAACCTTTTTAAAGTAACTCTTAGAAGCAGTTCTTTCCTATTTAGCTTATTTTTAAGCAGGCTTATACCCTTTGACATAATGTTTCTAAGTCTTGGGTTTGGGTGATTGTTATTAAGATTGTGATTTGACTACCTTTTGTTTTGGTGAATCCTCCTTATTAGTTTTACTATAAGCTGACTCCTCAATCCTTATAGGTCGTTCACCTTCATTGGCTTTCCTTAACTCATCAATTACACTTTATTCGCTATTATGATACAAACTGTAAATGAATCCTTTCTTTCCAGCTCTCCCTGCCCTTCCTGCTCTATGTAAATAATCACTTGTTGAATTGGGAAAATCAAAATTGATTACAGCATCAACAAATGGGAAGTCCAGCCCTCTTGCACCCAAATCAGTAGTAATCAAAATCTTACATTGCTGACTTCGAAATTCCGCAACATTTTAGGATCTCATTCCTTTGGGTAAATCACCATGTAAGGAAACAGTCTTAATTCCATTCTTTTTACAAAAGAATTCTAGAAAATGGCAACTTGAAATTTCATTGCAAAATATAATGATAGAACCTTTAAATTTCGTTTAGCATTCCTTGTATAATGCTATAAAGGGTTCACTTTTATCAAGAGTAGTGCAGTGTACAAAATCATGAGACAGATTTTCAAGATGCATGTGAGATTGCTTTTCTATTAGGAGTGCTATGTCCTTCTTGTATTAACTCTATATAAAATTCTTAACCTTGGTACTATAGGTGGCTCCACAATATGTGGTCATGGCATCTTTATCCTTGAAATAAGTAGCCAATTTTTTTAAGTCCTCCTACATAGACGCATCCAATAGTGTGTCGATCTCATCAACCACATAATGTTATACTCTAGAGAGATATATTGATTAGGCACTTCGATGTCTCTACAATCTTTCTAATGTAGTGACAACCAAATCGACTCCTTCTTATAAATAACTTTATTCCCTTTTAAAAGTGCCCTTACCCAATGCTATCGTGCTCAGCTTCATTGCTTTAGTGAATTCTTAACTTACGTCTTCCACTTATTCTGCCAATTCTTTGGTTGATACGACCACAATTGCTCTTGGTTTATTTTACTCAGTCAATATTTTGTTTTATTCCTCCTCGTCTTGTTTCAATTTCCCCAAGATTGGTAGGAGATAAGCATAAGTTTTACCTGTTCCGGTGGGTCCAATCAATAATCTTGCTTTATCTTAACATGAGAACAACATATCTTGAACTGGTGTGGCTGTGTGCAGGCCTTTAGTATCCAAGATTTCCAATATTTTAGGATGCAAGGGATATTGCTTAAAGACTGGCAAATGGGTTTTTGTGAATCTATAACATAATTTAAACATGCTAAACTATTTTTAATAATTCAATATTTTTAATATTGTTAACCAACACTGTTTTATTAATTAACTTGGGCTTTCCATTGATTTAAGTACCAAAGGATTCCATCTTGGAACTCTTTGAAAGTGATTTCTTGGCTTCTGTCAACGTCAAATATCCAAAAGGCCTGACTAATATCTAGATCAGTCAATTGGCTATCGATTTTCCTATGGTAAAAGATTAGTTTTAATTGGGATACCTGAGCATCACTCCGAACTCTTTCATATCCAATGACTGTGAGTCAGTTTTATCATACTTTCTAAATAGTTCGTAGATGTTGATGTTGAATTTCTCAATTGCAATAACCAACTTTTAGATGGTTAACATAGCTCTCTCTTAAGCCAAATTTTGGGGTGGCTGAGGTTACTGATTAGGTATATAGGCGGGAGGTTGTTGATAATAGGCTTAATTGTATTGTTATGAATTATTCATTTGATTAAAGGGTTGAGATTACATTTAATAAAGTTATTAAGAGCTGGGCATACCTTATTATCCGGGAGAACATGCATATTAAAATTATTGTGGATATTATTATGGTGGATATTATTATGATTGCTATGGTTATTATGAGAATTATTATGATAATTAATTTGAATATTATTTTTAATATTATTATTGATTTCCTACTTATTATTATTATTATTATTATGGATATTATTATGATTATTACTATTATTATGGATATTATTATGATTATTAATTTGTATATTATTTCTAATTTTATTACTATTATTATTGATTTCCTATTTATTATTATTATTAAGTAATTATATTTTATACATTCTATGTATTATCAAAATCTGGGATTGCTTGTTCTGAATTATTAGGATAAACCTTTGGCATCTCTACAGTTCCTTTTCTTTAGATGAGTGGTTAAGACCGGTTTCTTATAGACATTTAGACTTGGTTCTCCTCTAACCATTTTTTGAATTCATTCAATTCAATAGAGTTACTGCCATCCAGATCTATTTTGTTGAAGATGTATTCGATCTCATCTCTATCCAATTTAGGGTCTATCTCATGCAATAACAGAGTTAATCTAATAAAATCACTCACATTACTCTTTCATATCAAGTGAGTTATCTCCTGATTTGTCATATTTGATAAACACCTTTTCCAAATCGATCTTATCTTTCATAACTTTAAATCTTAAATCTTACACCAAAAACATTGCCTTGTCCTCTAGCTATTTGGCTTGATTTGTATAGAATGAGAAGCTCTGTCCAAAACAAGCATGTCTATATAATTGATCCCAACCTAATCTGTCCTTTTCTTACAATTACAGACAGCCTCTTATCATATCTTAGATCTAAGGGTCTACATTTTTATCCTGTGGGAATTTCAATGGCAAAGATGTGATATTCTTCACTAATTCAGGGATCGATCTGGCTACCCACGGAGCTAGGAGAATAAAACTTAACTGATTTACTCTGGCCAAACAGAGTCTCATAAAAGATGAAGCCTAAAGACCAAATGTCACTTTTGGATGTGTATTTTTCTGCTTTCAACAATTGAAGAGATTGGTAAAGAGGTGTACCAACAACAGACTCAATCATTTGCTTACTAAAGTTATCAATGGCTTTCGAAAACCCAAAATCTTAAAGAGTATCGATTACATAATACCTGCTATTTTATAGATCCCCTTGTTAATGAGGATATTTGCTGGCTTCAAATCTCTGTGAATGATTCCCTTCTTAACCAATTAAATCATGCCCAAAAGAACATCAATGAATAGCTGTATTGCTTCTTTCTAAGGCAGGAACTTCTTCTTTTTCAATTGACTAACTTAGTCTAAGTTTTACTTTTGCAAGTCTCCACCGTCACAAAATTCTTAGACAATATAGTAATTATTGTTTGTTTCAAGCACATCGATAAACCTAACTACATTGTTACCCTATAAATCTTTCATTATTTTAATCTCATTCATCAATCCATCCCTTAAATATTCATCCTCATTAATGAGTGCTTTCGAAACCATCTTTATGGCTACCCATTCTTTAGTTTTTTCGTCTTAGCCTTTAAAGACCTGTGAATATGTAAGTAAAATACTTATCCATAAGATCCTTATCCAATCTTGTCATTCATTTTGAAAACGAATCTATCTACTTTCTTTTCTCCCATCTTTATTAATTATTATATATATAAATTGTTTCTCTAAAATTCATTAAATCCAAAAACTCAATCAGCATAAATGTGCCATGATAGCCTCTTTAGAGAAAAAACAAGAAGTTAACAACTATTAGAGCTATGCTGAACCATACGCTCAATAACCCGTAGCCATAGTTAAATATCTATGATTAAAAAAAGATGTGTAATTTTCAACAGATTAAATTAATAGTATTTTAATTGATTCCTTTATTATTGGATCATTTAATGCTCAATAATGACTTTAATCTTGAATTTACATCTCTAAAATCATTATAAATTATGATATCAGATAAAGTAAAACTGGATTCAGAGGAGGGATTAATTGTTATTCTTCTGGTCTATTCAGAATATGCATAAACTGTTATTCTTTTGGATAATTTAAGTTTATGTAAGAATGATACTTACTCATGCATCTAGCATTTAGTTGTATCATTGAATGAGAAATTAATTTATAAACTTTTAAATTATAACTAAGTTATTCAATCATTCTTCCTTGAAGCGTTTCCAAACAATAATTTTTTTGTTTGATTCATGTAAAATCTCCTTGATTATCTTGTACTTTCTACTAGACTTATTACCTTATTTGGAGACATTGTTGACTTCTGGGGTGTCTCAAATTCACTGAAGTCTTCCTATTAAAAGTTCTTCGTTGTCATTAATTCATTAAACTCCTTCAAGAGTCCTTACATGATTGTACGTAATTTCCGTAAGTATTTCTATTTTTTTTACTTTACCTTTTGTTTCTCATCAGAAAATATCTCAGAAGCTTTCGAATAATTCTGCTAGATTTTCGAAGATTCTTGATAGAACTTAACTAAGTCGTTTACTTCCTCTTGACTAATTGAATGTAAATCATTCACATTGTTTATTGAATCTATCTCTTAGTTTTTGCTCTATTGCAAAGCATTGTAGCTTTCGTACAGTTTTTCATTCTCCCTATCTAATGAGGTTTTCAAATCACTTTTTATGCTTGTGAATCTATAGGTGATACAAGAAAGACAATTTTCTAATTCTTTATCAATTTGCTACTCCAAATCTTATTAAATTGCATTTGTAATAGGTTAAAATTCAATCGAATTAAAAGTATCCAGTTGTTGTTTCACTTGATCATGAAATTGATCAACTGTCTTCCTCTAATGAGTAACATGGTCTTCCAGAAAGCAATCAGCACAACCTTGTCACATTAAGTAAAATACCAATCTTTTGCTATGCTTAACAGTTTGGATCTACACAAATATATTTGATTCTCTGTGAATCATGGTTTGGGTTTTGGCAGTTGATTTAATCCATTAATTTTATTAACAAGAAAAGCGCGAAAGAATTTGCGGTAATTATTAATTTTTTCACTCAATGCAATTTCATTTTAATATTGTATATAAATTTTGATTTGTCTATTCCTAATCAAAATAAGACGACATCGAATAATCCCCATTTATAATTTTTAAATTAATTAATGAGATATTATAAACTTTAATTCACTATTAAACAGCAAAAGATGTAACTAATCTCAAATTTCTCTTCGATTGATTTGACATGAAAACCTCCTCATGAGTCTCACTATCTTCAACTGAGGCTAGTTCCTCCTCGTTTGGACACTGACTTCCTCTTCTGGTATTCATTTTCTTCTTCATTAATTAATCTATATAAATACATTTATATTCTTAATTTTAGATAATGGAACTGTTATTTTCTTTTTATACACCATCTAATTCAGCAATTTCAGCTTCTACACAAATAGCAAAAATTCTTATAACAAACTATTCGACAACAAGCATTGCTCAGGCTATTATAATCCAATCTCTTTCCAAAACCTCTTCAATTATTCGTAATGCTTGTTGCTTTCACAAAATATCTCGTACAAACTCAATGTGTAACATCTTCCCAAAGTAGCATACGAATCTAATACCTAAGTTATCTCCTAACAAATGAAGGAATGAAATTTAAGCATATCCAAATAAATCACTTTCTAAATCTCAATATAGTCTCGATTATAAGCTAGTAACTGGATTGCATAGTTCATAATATTCTAAATCTTGTAAATCCAAGTGCACTTCAATCTGTGATCTATCTCATATCCAGCATTATATGGATAATTATTAAATGAGATGGCATAGTATAAATCTATGTTTTAGGAAAGCAATTATAAATAAAAATAGCACTGTTAAACGTACAAAAATTGAGAGCTCGGCTCTTGATATGGTATTTCATCCAATTGAATAATTGATGAACTTTACTAACATTTTTCCTTCTAATCCATTATTCCATTTAATGTTCCTATGTTTTATAGCCAAGGCATCTTTACAGTTCTTATTTTAATGGATATATTTTGACTTAATTCATCTTTCGATAATAATTAGTGAAGTATTGCTAATAATTGAATAATTTGCATTGGTTGAAAATCAAACGTAATGGTAGCTAAGAATTCAAATAAAGTGGATATATGCTCTTGTATATCATAATATAATTTACATTCACTTTTTATCAAATACTGGGCAAGAATGTCGGCGCATTCTTTTAAGTTAAATTGAATATTCGGTTTAAGCACATTATCTAAAATTTACATGAATTGCTCCTTTAAACCCAAACCTTGGGGCTATAATTTTTTCGTGAATTTCGAGAAAAAAGACATTTATTATACTAAATCAAAAAGCCAAATAACAATATAAAATTAATGGAATTTTTATTAACCATTAAATTATACTACTTGAAGGCATTCAGGATTGGTTATATTACTTAAAAGTACATAAACTGAGAGCTCATCAATAAATAATATTACTTTATTTTTTGTTTTAAATCAAAGCTCCTTTTAACCTACGCAATATTTGGACTGCTAACTCTGGATTGAAGAATTTTGAAATTTCTCTGATTTTAAGAAAATAAAAATATATATATGGAATTTATTTATTTTTAATGTATTGTTTTAATGTATCAATAGACATTGCCTTCAAAGGTTTATTTGAACCATTCCATGGCTTCCTTTTTGCTAACTCTTTAAGCAGTTCCGAGTCTGGCATTTCTTGACTTTCTTTGAGCAACTCTCAAACCTGGTCTGGACAAGACAACATAGAAGTCCATACCGAAAATACCTACGCATTTTTTATATTATTAATACCTGTGTATGGGTCGTATTTCAATCCCAAATCAATATGTTCTTGAATACCGAAACCAAAGTTTCCTGATTCGGAGAAATTTCTCTTTTTTAATTCCATTTCCTTAACTCTTAATCCTCTAAATAAGATGTCTTTTGCTTAGTCACCTCTAATTGTACAGAATACAGAGATCTTTTCGTTTCTTCTGATACCGAAAGATCTGACTGTGTATCGTGCCTTACCGAATACAGGCTTTTATCCTGTTAAATCCTCTAAAACCTTAGCAGCTTTAGTCAATTTATCACCGGACTCACCAGCACAAATATGAACCATCAATTTTTCAATTCTAATCTTTCTCATCACATTTTCTTTAGTTTCTTATGGTTTGGCAACTTTAGCTGGAGCTTAAGTCTTTGCTTCTGGCTTTGCTTATTATTACTTTCCACCTTTTGCTTATTGTTAAGACATCTCAAATTTAATTAAAAAAAATCTTTATTTTTAAAATCACACATTTAATATTTTTATGCTTGTTATTTTCTCTATCTACTCTAAAAAAAGGAATTAAAAAATTATCAAAAAAAAAAAATTTCTTCATTTAATATGTTTTCGTATAGATTTATAGCAGGAAAGTAATAGTGTATTCTTAACACTCTATATTCTATAATTTGTAATTCATATGTTGTTTTGTTTTAATTTAATGTTTGTGATTGAATAAATGAATAACATAATATACTAATTGATTGATTAAAATTAATACATTTTTACAATAATTCAAGTATTTCTTTTAGATAATTATTTATAATATGAATCTAGCACCACCATTTAAAAATTAATTAATACTTTATTTTTCAATTAATATGTAGAGGGGACTCTATAAACTATCTACAGACTTATCAATCCCTTCTGATTTCAAACTGATTGAATATTTTTCATTAACCATCAATTTTATTTCTTTGAGTGGTTTTTTGATTAGTAATAAAATATCTGATTCAACTCTATATAAGGTGATAGATAAAAATCTATATTCGAAATCCGAAGTTATTTCGATATCTAAGTTAAAACTTTCAATTTTAAAGTTCCCTTATTATAATGATTAATTTTTCAAACCTTTGATTTTTAGAAAATTTAAAGGAAAGAGATTTCTCATTCCCATAATTTGACATTTAGAGAGAGATCAATGTTTAGCACTTAATTTCTTTAATAAAAGGCAGAAAGTTTTATTTTATTTTTATGTTGAACAATTCAATCATACCAAAATCTTAGAATATATACTTCAAGGATATAATAAACTTAAATTTTTGAATTAAGATAAATTAAAAAAATTCCACTAAATCATGTGCTAGATTAAGATGCTGATGATTTATATCCAATTTTAAATTAGCTCTAACAAACCTATGTATTTTTAATACTTTAATATTAAGGGATTTCATATATAAATAATAAAAAGTAATAATTCTTTTAAATAATTGATATTGCTATTATTTTAATAATAGAAAGCGTGGGAAATAAAAATCCATTTTTATAGACTTAAGTGAAAAATTAAATAGCAAAAAATAAATTGTATTACTATTAGATGAGCCACAATCAACGGTGATCATCAAATACATGAATTCGAAACTTTAAAATGGAAGACCAATTTTACTCATAATAACTAAGTTGCTGAAAACAAATCATTTTGAAATCAAATTATAGCTTAGAAAATATTTTAATTTAGGATGATTTTAATTTAACAAATCCTCCTCTTATTGTATAACTAATAGAGATGGTACCTTTCTAAGAAGTATATTTTTTAATTTCAAAGGTTTTGGAAAGGTCATGAGATCTCAGATTTTACAAAAATTGTTTTTGGCTTTGAGATCATTTAGATTTTGGAATATGTTTTAGGAGGTTGAAATATAGGTTTTTTTGCAATCAAGGCATTGTTTCTTGAGTTAAAATTTTTGAAGCTTTTTTTTTCTTTGAAAATTTCCAATTAAAGTAAATTTTAACTTAAAATATATAATTTGAATTATTAAAATATAAACTTTATAAATACAAATAATTTTGATTTTCATTTAATTTTTCTTCAATTTGAAAGGGAATCATCTATGGTTAGTTTATGAGTAAACAACCTTTTCTACTCATATTGATCTCTGCCAATTAATACTGCTTCGAAATTTTAATAGCTTTGTGGTTTAGTGAGGATAGCATAGGATGATGAATAAATCAACATTTATTATATATTTTTTGAACGATACTGATTTCCTCAATCCTTATTAACATTAGGAGTAAATATTCTATAAAATCTAAAAATAGTACTAATACTATATTAAAAAAGAAATTAGTTTATTATTTCTATAATATATGAATAATATTTGTGCGAGCTCCTAGAAAATGGTAGTGTCATCATTTTATATTGAAATCCTTAGTTTAATGGGAGCATATATTATGAATAATTTAATTTCACCCGTAATCAAAATGAATTTTTAACATTTTAACAAGAAAACATAAATCTTAATTATATAAATTATATTTTGAACGCATGCAACAATACATTAAAGAAATATTTCATTTGAGACTCGCAGAGTTATTAGATCATTTATACTTTCATGACGCAAAACCTTCCGTAAATATAATGATAGTGGTTATATTTTTGATGCAAAAATTATATCTCTTGTTTTGGCCTTAAAATTCTCAGATAGAGCATTCAGACGTATGAATAGCAATATTGTTTAGGAAGTTTACTTAAATATCTGTGGATCACTATTTTCTTGGATTACATTTTAAAAGCCATTAGAAATGATCAACTCTGAAACAATAAATAATCTGATGAGCATTTTTTACACATTTTTGCATTTGGCCATGTTTGTAGTTTTCAGCTTTTCGCTCTACAATTGGTAAATTGTTTCAAAAATATTTACTTTCTATATATCATATTATCAGCTGATAATCATTTATCACACTGAAATACATCACTTAAAGCAATAGTATGATATAGTAATAATTTTTTTGTTGGGTATTCCACTTTACATAAACTATTTGATTATAGTTTATTGCTCTCGCAATTACTTTATTATATCATAGCAACACATGCTAAGAAGATACTCTGTGTATAATTATTTCATAGTCGTTATCGACTTTTTATATTTCATTACACATTCCCTCTGTTCTGATTACTGGTCCAAATATTTATTACTGTTATTAAGTGTTGTATATTTTATTGATGCAATCATTATGCAACCATATTGCATTAAAATAAATGTACTTATTGTTAATATTAAAGCTCATCTACATAGGTGCGACAGGAGTTTTGTTAGTATCAGTAACAGTTAGAATAATACTTTGGGATGAATCTCTATATGCTCAATTTTATGGAATCGCATTACTAGTCCCTCTCTTTTCCCATATTTTCATGCAAATTTACTAGATTATTTCTGCCAATGCGAAACAGTAAAGACTTTCAATCTCTCTCATCCTAAATTTGGGTGAGATTATTAATCACAACATTACAAATTCTGTTCAAAAAGGTGTTGGAGATTATTTGATAAAATAGTATATAAATGTAGAAGGATTGAATACCCAGAGCATTCTTTAATTGCTGGAGTATTATATAAAGAATTTAGAAAAAAGTGATTAATGGGAAGAAATTTAATTATATAGAATTCTTCTTAAACATGAAATATAGGGAACCTACTTATAGAGTCTGTTGGAGACCAAAAGGTACCAAATCACAAACAAAAATCATTCCTTATTCTTTAAAACAATAGGGTTCTTAATTAGTAAGAAGTACGATCAACAGATTTAAGATTTGTATTCAGGAGAAAGCAAAAGCAGTTAACATTATCATTATTAAATTATTAGAATTAAAGAAGCAGACAACTTATTTCATAACAGTCTAAATATATTCTCGGAATTACTTGATTAGAAAATATTAATATGGAATTAATTATAAAGAGGATATGATAAAATAGAACACACTGCAAACCATCTGATAAACATTTATAAGACTCTAAATAAATTGAAGATCAAAATGATGTCAATGATTTAATGTGCTGATATGGAATCAATACTCAAAGTCTAAACTTTAAAAAGATTTAATGTCGTAGAGTTACGCTTTTTATCGCTATACTTTTCTTTTGTTGCAAATGATTACCAGTACACTAAAATTGTTGAAATATACATTGAGGATTTGATAAAACAAGAAAATAATTCATCAAAATCCTCTATTTTGAACATAAATATTATGAACAATGATCTAATTGTTATTAGTTCTAGTATCTTAGAAAAAACTGGGCAAATTGTCAGAGCTAATGTTGAAGAGATTAGCAGATTCTTTGGGTTTGAAGATAAAAATAACAAGTAAGATTTACAATTTATTAATTTATATATGCCAAAATTTATTAGTCAAGATCATGATAGATATGTTTTTAAATTTATTAATAAAGGCAATTCATCCCTATACAATAAAGGAAAGCAAGTTTTTTGTAAAGATTATGAAGGTTTTATATTTCCAATCATGTTGAGTTTCTTGCATATAAATGAGAAATCTTAAGATTTTATCTTAACGACTGCTTTACAAAAGGTGAAATCTAATTTAGATTACATACTTTTTGATTAATATGGAAAAATCCTAGGGATTTCAAAATATGCCTACTCTATTTTAATGAACACTCACACGAATAATAGCTCTACCTAATCTATTTACTCCTCTATTGATCCATCTATTTATGAATGCTATATATAATTTTGGATTCCAAATATAGATTCGTTAATTCAGAATTCTAATTTTGATCATGACAACTATTAAATTAACAAAGTCATTGTTGAGATATCTACGCTTACTAATTTTATGCAATATTTATATTATTTTAAGTACTACCAAAGCATTAATCCTCAGTAATCCAAAAAGATTTCTTATTTTGAAGAATTTTTGCATTTTATTAAATAAGAATTGGGCAATTATTAAACTATGAGTAGTAAGCTTTAATTTGAAGTCTAATTTCAAGTTCATTAATTACCTACTGATCAATTCTATTATATTTGCAGCATATCCAGATAATATAAAGATATATAATCAATACCCAGCCTTGATAAAAAGTCATCAACTTAAAGTTAATTTTAAATAATCTAATAATAAGTTAAAAACGTAACTCATTAGACACATCCCAAATTTATAACAGAAATAGAAAAACTTACTGAAATCGGGCCTTAATCAAAGAGGACGGTTGAAAATCAATTGTTAATACAAGACTCAAATCATGATTAAAAATAAGAATTGCTTTTCTCTAATATTGAAAGTCAATAGGTTCTTAACCAATTAAATAGTAATTCTTTAATTGAAAAATAAAAAAAAAAACCAGGTATTTTAGAATTTGATGAATAAAAAATCTCTTAATCAAGCAGATATTCCAGAAATTCCAACTTTTAAGTTCTAGAATAAATTAGAGAATATTAAAAAAATAAAGAGTTTTGTCTTTCAATCAAAAAAATTTGGATTGTAACGACTTTCTTGTATTTTATTATTTACCTGTTGATGCTAGTAATTCTAATTATTATATCCCAACTCAATGATTTGTTGCAGTATGATATCTAACTAGTGAGAATCCCTGATAAATTCAATCGCCTTTATTGTTCCTTTGCAACAATCGGATAAATGGATTTAGAAAGATCTCTATTGGCGAAAGATTATGGTTAGTATCTCAATTATAGAATGATCTATTATGGTAGCAGTGTTAGAGATGAAATGGAAAACATGATGATAAATTTAAAAAACAGATTCTCAATTTTAGAAAACGATCAAAGACTGTCAAATCTTACTGTTAGAATACTGAATTAATTCAGTTATATGGAATACGAAGTAACAATGATACAATTTGATATGATCGCTGATACATATACTGAATAATTGTTTGAGCATATTAATCAAGCATTAAATTATTCAGTATCTACTCATCATTTCCTTATAGATGAGTATTACAAACTTCAATTTATCAAAGCAAATTTAATTAATTAAATTACTTCCTCTTAAAATTTGATAGATTAAATTATTCTCGAGCTTCAAATTTCACAAGAGAATACAAACTCTGTTCTCTATATTATTTTGAGCACCAAACTATGTTTTGTATTAGGTTGCATCATTTGCTTAACTTAATTATGGAAACAACCTTTCAGAATAGTTTAATTGTAAATTCAATTATTAAGTCATCTATCAGAATAATAAATTAGGACAAGCATTAGTGCTGCTAAATAAGCAAAATAAATAATTAATCATCCGTATAGATGGAAGAGAACCAACTACATGAATGAATGTTATCATAAAACTATTTAAAAGAGGGATTAAGACATTTTAAACAGGATATAAAATTTGGCTAATAAATAGACAAAATCAAGTTTACAACTCTTCGATTATCAGTTTAGTCATATCGGTATCTATCTCAAAAATTTCTTGTATCTTCTTCTTTTTCTTAGCTTTATATTATCAAGTTTTTTTTATATGAAGAATGGCATAGATTCAAGTCAATCAGAGATTTAATTAACTATCTAATATGTCTAATTCAAATAAGACTTAGACTCTTTGATGATTTTAACTTAATTATTGAAAACAAATTCAATTTTATCAGAAAGAGTTCGTGAACTAGGCTTTCTAAACTAAAATCCATATCTTATGGATTAAGAGAAATATTTTCATATTTTGGAATAAGAATTTTTGGACAAATTTTAATTAAAATATGAAAAGGCCTAAGAAGTTAACGAATATATTTTTTAGGACATTGTAAACTCAAAAAAAATATCTGCAACAGATAAAGAAATATTATAAATATTATATTAGGATGATTTGTGTTCTGTGATGAATGATTAACTTCCTTTCTGCAATTATACGAATGATCAATTTTTATATTTCCCAGATTACCCTAAACCCAGAGAAGAGGATAATAATAGGGAGATATTTAGGAATGGAATTAATGGAATATTTTCTAAGTAATTAAGTATAAATATAGTAGATTAATAGCCATTTTGAAATCCTATTACTAATTAGAATTACAAGGTAAAATAAATACGGATAAAACTGAAACCTCATATTATTTATCAACTTAAGAATTTAAGCAATATATTTAGGAATACTTTTTTGACATTAACAAGGCTGTTGTTAAATTTTATGTAACTATTTTGGAATCAACAACTAAGATACTACAAAGTGATTTTGAAAACACTGTATTTTATTATTTAATCTTTGGATTATCGGTTTTAATTGTGTAAGGAGCTTTGTAGGTTTCAAATTTGTCTAAAATACAACAATTAGTTTCTGCAAGTAAATTTACCTTCATCTTGATGCCATTAGAATGTTTAAATGAAACCTAATGTCTGGCTATTATCAAACAAATTGTAAAATAACAAAAACTATGACCAACTTTCAATATATGTTTTATTATCAATTTTATTTCATAATATACTTTTTAATTCCTATGTATTTATTGGTTCCAAGCAGTATCATTTATGAATGATAATATATAAATAAATTTTAATTTTAGCAAGTAAATATTCTTAACCTACAATTATCATTCTTAACTATCAATCAAATGTAAGAAGTACGGAAAAACTAGAGAGAGATATTTCAAAGAATTTAAATGAAAATGATGTATAGTAAAATAGAAGATTAGATTCAATTTTAGAAAGAATTCATTAATAATATTTAAATGAATACTAAAAATAAAGTATTACTGAGTGTTGAAATATATTGAAATAAATTTTAATATTTCATTTCAACCAGAAAATAGAGTAGCACTTCTTAATTTGTTACTAACCTTAAAAACTGGTTCGAAATGAGTTTAAGTTTTTTTATGTTTAATATCTAAATCTGTAATATCATTTTCTTATTTAACTACATTATCCTCACTTAGAGAATCCTCATCTACCGCTTACTGTTATATTTCTAATGTTTTTTAAGGATCTGCGAATAATGCCTCTCCAATATTTTTTTCATATGAATGAACATGTTGGATTATTGGTCTAAGGTCTTTTTTCTTTGATAAAAATTTAAGAAAAGGAATTAATCTTAATAGACAATAGTCATCATCAGAATCAAGATAGGAAGGTATTAATAGTCCATTGTCTTGGCATCTGTCAAAAGCATTAGGATTATTCTAAAACTAATTGCAAATTTACATCTATAAAAATAATATCTTCCATCGATCTATCCAGTAAAGACAAATCTTTAAAGCATACGCCATTAATGAATTGGCAACTTCCTCTTGCATAATAATCCGAAATTAATCTATCTTTGTCAATGTACTCTAGCAATTTTTCACAATAAGCTTCATAACCTGCAGTAAAGATTATGATTTCATAGTCCCGACTAGCTTCTAATAAGAATTTATGTAAATGTGGCCGGGTTCTTAAGTAAATTTTATATTCTTATTCTTTATGAATTACTTTTAATAGAGATTCATGCTAAAAATTATTATTCTCCTTAAATTCACAATGAACTAAGGTCTCGTCTAAATCTAAAACAAGCACTCTTTTTTTCGAATATGTTTTAGGAGTTTGAGCAGGAATATAATTTTTGGAAAATTTGCCTCGGAAGTGTTCAATGCAATTTTTAAAAATAGCCATAATACTCATTTAATAATAAAATTAGAATTAATAAAGTAATTATTACGTTATCTAAGTAAATCAGATATGGGATTTTCTCAGTAAATAGATTTTTAATTACATACTCATTACTCGGCAAAGCACTTTTCTTCTAATCTTTGAAAATATTAAGCTCTTTCTGCAGAATGGGATCTGTGGCTTCTATTTTTTTAAATCACTTAATTATTATTCTTTACGATCTCTTTTCTATTCTCTGGAGTGAATTAGTTATACGTCTAAATAATTTTATCATAGTTATAATTGGGAAAGAAAAGAGGAAACTTACACATCCTATCAATGTCAGTTTCTTCAGAAAATTAAACAAGTTGTCCTTTGACACTCATTTTGAAAGGATTATCATCCTCTTCTTCTGTGCCATTTGATCTGAACTTAATAATATACTTTACCGATTAGATTAAATTAATAAGTCATCTTCGCCTTCACGGATATGATTGTATACAAATTTGATTTCATCGGCTACAACATTGGTTAGTTAAGAATTCGCTCTTGAGTTGTACTTAACTCTTTTGCTTTACCTAATATATTATCTATTGAATATTTTTAAGCTATTTTCTTGATTGATTTGTTCTTCTTTAATTATTTCAAGTTTTTTTTCTTCATTTATAACATAATGAAGTTTAGGGCATTCATAAGCAAAGTGAGAGCTACTCATACAGGCAAAACAACATTATCCTAGAGGAGTGTAATCATTATTAATTTCTACGATATGTTTATTCATTAAGTATATTTGGTTTTAGCTACTATTGAGTTTGAGTTTTTCAAAAAACTATTTTTTGTTTAGAACCTATACATAGACGAAATTTAGTGTATAAGCAGAGGCACTTCTTGGTTTATCTGTAAAAAATGCCAATTCTCCAAAAGTAGCTCCTCCTTCAATTATTTTTAAACAAGTAATAGTCTTCTAAATACAAATAAGAACCTGCCCTTAATTTAGGAAATATAAATTTCTGTCCTGAATATTGTTGCCATTCTCTTTCTCAATTGGGTCTATTCCTTCCAAAAATATGCATTCTTCAGGTCCATATATTTGTTCCTCCAGAAGATAGGGTAATTAAGATAATATTTCTTTCTCAAATTTACCTGAATTAAAAAACGCTGACTATTTAATTAATGAAGTATTCACATTCTATAAAACTTCGTCCTTCAAAGTAGATGATAGAACTGATAATGCATCTTTCTCATTTACCTACGATGATTCTGTCTCATATTTATATTCCAAATATTTCCTCACTCTTGCTTATAAATCTTTGGGTATCTCATTGGATTTCAAAAATTAGTTTGCTTATCCAAGTTTTAACCTTATAGTTTTTTCATTTGTATCTAATTTTACAAAGATCCCTCCAATACTATTCATTATGTAAGCGAAAACACAACAAGCCAATAACATGACAATGATACCAAATAATTTCTCAACTGAAGTCACCGGGACAATATCACCATAGCCAACCGTAGTCATAGTCGCCGTAGCCCAATAAACCGATGCCACATATTTTATATACCAATATTGTTCTGTAAGTTCTGTAGCCTATAACCAACTATAACCACTAGAACTATTTTCTTATTCAGCTATAAAATGCCAAATGCAAGCTAGCCAATGGGCAACAAAAAGCATTATAAAAGTTAATTTAAGCAATTGGTAAATTGTGATAACTGAACCACTGATATCGATATAATCTTCTAATTTAGCAAATAACTGCTTAAGTTTTAATAGACGTAACAACCTTATAATTTTTATTAATCGAAAAAATTTTAGAATCCTTAACAATTTCATTGTTTATACAAGAGAATCCTTTTAAGACTTATTTTATTGTTAGTCTAATTCATCTTCTTCTACTTTCACTACACTTGATGTTGCAGCTTCGACAATTAAATCGAAAGGGAATGTAGAAACTATAATCAGTTTTTATAAATACCTACATCTATCCAGAACCACCATTTTAAATAATTTTACATGATCAATTTCCTGTCAAATACGTATTAACCTTTATGTTAAAAGGCTGTATTGAAGTTTATGAAAATATCGAGTGTAAACACTGATAAACTAAATATATTAAAATCATCTAAGAAAGAGGATTCAACATTAAAAGAAATTTCAACTGGTAGGATTAAGATAGCTAAAAAGATTACTAACATCGTAAAAACATCCCAAACTATTCGTATTTTATCTTCTTAAGTAAATACTTAAATATAAGAACAACTTGGTTATTTTTCTTCTTATTCTTTATTTTGAATCATAACACTCATTTTCCTAGAAATTGATGCTCTGCCTGCTTTTTCCTTAATTTTTGCTGTCTGCACAAAAGATAAATCGTTTATTATTTTTAACTATCTATCATCAAAGAGTAAATTGATGTCTTCAATTTGTTCATCATTATCTAATTATTAAGCTATACACTAATATTTTTTCTTTAGAAGTGATTGTTTATTGTTGTCCGTTCTAATGCTATATATTCTTTCATCTACAAGATCAGAGTTGTCGATATTTTAACTTCTCCAATGAGGAGAACTTGGATTCATTATACTATTTATAAAATAATTAAAAAATATCTCAGATTTATTGAACTTCATTGATAAACTTGAGAAAAACCAATCCTTAATAGCATTGCAACGAATTTCTTATTGTTAATGCTTTAATGAAGAATTGAAATACACGACAAAAAAAATATAAGATGATTAATTATAAAACGAATTTTCTTCTGAATTTCCTTATTATTTTTGTAATCCATTATTAAGGCAGTATAAATCTAAAGATGTTTAGTAAATAATGGTTTCATTTTTAGATTTATTGGTTTAGGACATTAAAATTCTATGTATGGTTTTTATTAATTTAAAAAATATGTCCTAACTCTGAAAATTAAAAACAGATCTAGGTCAAGATCAATCATATTATCTATTTCCTAAACTATTTGTTTATCAGGAAAATATAAAAGTGTATTTGATTTGTTGAAGTGGAATGAAAAAGAAAATTGATGTTGAAAGGAAGAATTCTTTTTAGTGCAAAAATAAAAATTGGTTTATAAGATGAAGGGTGTTGTTCATTTTTCAAAAAGATCTAGCAATGTAGAATTAAATCTGATCTTAATTCAAAACTATTGTAATTTAAGTATTTGCTTTGAAGAACCTGATCTGTATATGATTTTTAGTTTAAGTGGAGAAAAAATCTGAATTTTTCTTTTTTAATCATTTTTCTTATTGAAATCATATAGTAAATTGCTTAAAATTTTCAGCTTTAATTAGTCAAAAAAAGGTTATCCAAAACCCAAAAGTATGGAAATCGAGTCATAAGCTATTTAAATTAAAAAAAACACTCTCGGGATATAGATTAAGTTTGTATTTAAAAGGCAATATATATATATTAATTACTAAATTTACTTTAACTTTGAAAACGAAATTATATTGATTTGCTTGCTGAATGTCAATATTGTATTGAAATTTCTAATTATCATTCTCTAATGACCATATTTTAAAGTTTATCATCTAAAAAGTCTTTTCCATAATTGATAATTTTTTAAACTTAAAAGAATTATTGTTTGTTACAATAGACTACGAATTTCTGAATTATAAAATTTGATATTTGTTTGACCAGATTTGAATATAACAGATTAATCTCATTCAATAAATTGACAATGCAATTATTATGATTGATTTTTTCCATTATCAATAATTAATTAAAAAAAATTTATGATTTTGTGTGCTCTTAGTAAATTCTAAATTTTTCATTCAGTTCTTTAGTTTTGTTTTAAGACGTTTTTTGCATCCAACATCAAATATATGCTTTCTGTAAAAAAAAAAATTATTTCATTAAATAAATATATGTAATAAATATCAATCTAACATATAGACGAGGAAAAAGATTATTTATTTAATAATAGTGAGAATGAACATGTAACGTTTGAAGAAAGCTCTAAGGAAGAATACAGTTGTTTAATTCTAATTTTTGGATGTGGAAGTGTCATTAATGTGATTATAATAATTTACTTATTTTATGTATCAATATCACCATGAACTTTAATTATTTTAAATAGTTTCAATAAATTGGAACTTATTGTCTTTACATCTGATTGAAATGTTTTAATATTTTTATTTTTCTTAAGTTAGCTTGGACTAGAAAATTAAATTAAATAATAAATAAATAATTCGATTTCAATAAATACTAGGAATTAATCATTTTGAAAGTAATTCAAAGTGATGTTCGTTAATTTATGTTTCTTAATCGTGAAGGATGATCTTATATTATTTATTAAGACTTTATTAAATAATTACTTACAACTTTTGTTCTTTTATTCAGCCTTTTTGGAATGAGATTATGGAAATCTTAAAAAAATATTAATCCTGGAACCATTAGCATCATCAATTCAAATATATAAATATATAGGAAGAATAACCCGATTGTAATTATTTATGAAATTTTAACTCCATTTATTTTGAAGTGGAAAAAGTAATAATTATCCTTTTTATAAATATGCCATTGATAATAAGGAAAACCCTTAATATTCAAAATACTACTTATTTATTTATATTTTTAGATGGCCTACATCCTGTATTAAAATTAATTAGTATTCTTTCAGAAAAAGATATGGAAGTTGAGAAGAGTCTAACATTATAAATTAATATATTTTAGATTTTAATTAATGAAAATTTACTTATTATAGAATATTTTTGTAAATATAAACTAAATATTCAATTATCAATTTGTAACTGATATAGAGTTTATATTAATATGCTTTGACATTCTTAGATTATTCATCAATTCTAGTAAATTCAATCTTAAAGGTGTTTCAAGACATTCCATCTCATTTTTAGCATGTAATTTTTCATCATCAAAGTTGGGCTTGTTGAAGAATGTAACCTAAACACCTTCGGGAACTTTTATTGATTTCACTTTAAAATTTTTCATATCATTTGGAATAACAGGGTGAGCACCGCAAAGTTTTAATTCATCTCCAGTGAAATGACATTCTGAGTATAAAATAACGCAGGGTTCCTGTAAAATATATAATATTTTTACTTCTGGCTCCTAATTGTGATTTTCTTTTTCAGGTTGGGCTTTTGATTAAGCATCAGCTTTTCCTTCTGTTCCATCTGTTGTTCCCTCAGTTTCTTCTGCTTTATGGGTAGTTCCTTTTGCTTCATGAGTACCTTCAGCTTCATGAGTACCTTCAGCTTCATGGGTTCCTTCAGCTTCATGTGTTCCTTCAGCTTCATGAGTTCCTTCTGCTTCATGGGTTCCTTCAGCTTCATGGGTTCCTTCAGCTTCATGAGTACCTTCAGCCTCATGAGTTCCTTCTGCTTCATGTGTTCCTTCAGCTTCATGTGTTCCTTCAGCCTCATGTGTTCCTTCAGCTTCATGGGTTCCTTCAGCTTCATGAGTACCTTCAGCCTCATGAGTTCCTTCTGCTTCANAATAGTTTCAATAAATTGGAACTTATTGTCTTTACATCTGATTGAAATGTTTTAATATTTTTATTTTTCTTAAGTTAGCTTGGACTAGAAAATTAAATTAAATAATAAATAAATAATTCGATTTCAATAAATACTAGGAATTAATCATTTTGAAAGTAATTCAAAGTGATGTTCGTTAATTTATGTTTCTTAATCGTGAAGGATGATCTTATATTATTTATTAAGACTTTATTAAATAATTACTTACAACTTTTGTTCTTTTATTCAGCCTTTTTGGAATGAGATTATGGAAATCTTAAAAAAATATTAATCCTGGAACCATTAGCATCATCAATTCAAATATATAAATATATAGGAAGAATAACCCGATTGTAATTATTTATGAAATTTTAACTCCATTTATTTTGAAGTGGAAAAAGTAATAATTATCCTTTTTATAAATATGCCATTGATAATAAGGAAAACCCTTAATATTCAAAATACTACTTATTTATTTATATTTTTAGATGGCCTACATCCTGTATTAAAATTAATTAGTATTCTTTCAGAAAAAGATATGGAAGTTGAGAAGAGTCTAACATTATAAATTAATATATTTTAGATTTTAATTAATGAAAATTTACTTATTATAGAATATTTTTGTAAATATAAACTAAATATTCAATTATCAATTTGTAACTGATATAGAGTTTATATTAATATGCTTTGACATTCTTAGATTATTCATCAATTCTAGTAAATTCAATCTTAAAGGTGTTTCAAGACATTCCATCTCATTTTTAGCATGTAATTTTTCATCATCAAAGTTGGGCTTGTTGAAGAATGTAACCTAAACACCTTCGGGAACTTTTATTGATTTCACTTTAAAATTTTTCATATCATTTGGAATAACAGGGTGAGCACCGCAAAGTTTTAATTCATCTCCAGTGAAATGACATTCTGAGTATAAAATAACGCAGGGTTCCTGTAAAATATATAATATTTTTACTTCTGGCTCCTAATTGTGATTTTCTTTTTCAGGTTGGGCTTTTGATTAAGCATCAGCTTTTCCTTCTGTTCCATCTGTTGTTCCCTCAGTTTCTTCTGCTTTATGGGTAGTTCCTTTTGCTTCATGAGTACCTTCAGCTTCATGAGTACCTTCAGCTTCATGGGTTCCTTCAGCTTCATGTGTTCCTTCAGCTTCATGAGTTCCTTCTGCTTCATGGGTTCCTTCAGCTTCATGGGTTCCTTCAGCTTCATGAGTACCTTCAGCCTCATGAGTTCCTTCTGCTTCATGTGTTCCTTCAGCTTCATGTGTTCCTTCAGCCTCATGAGTTCCTTCAGCTTCATGGGTTCCTTCAGCTTCATGAGTACCTTCAGCCTCATGAGTTCCTTCTGCTTCATGTGTTCCTTCAGCTTCATGAGTTCCTTCAGCTTCATGTGTTCCTTCAGCTTCATGGGTTCCTTCAGCTTCATGAGTTCCTTCAGCCTCATGAGTTCCTTCTGCTTCATGTGTTCCTTCAGCTTCATGAGTTCCTTCAGCCTCATGAGTTCCTTCAGCTTCATGTGTTCCTTCAGCTTCATGTGTTCCTTCAGCCTCATGAGTTCCTTCAGCTTCATGAGTTCCTTCAGCTTCATGAGTTCCTTCAGCTTCATGAGTTCCTTCAGCTTCATGTGTTCCTTCAGCTTCATGAGTTCCTTCAGCTTCATGAGTTCCTTCAGCTTCATGAGTTCCTTCAGCTTCATGTGTTCCTTCAGCTTCATGAGTTCCTTCAGCTTCATGAGTTCCTTCAGCTTCATGAGTTCCTTCAGCTTCATGTGTTCCTTCAGCTTCATGAGTTCCTTCAGCTTCATGAGTTCCTTCAGCTTCATGAGTTCCTTCAGCTTCATGTGTTCCTTCAGCTTCATGAGTTCCTTCAGCTTCATGAGTTCCTTCAGCTTCATGAGTTCCTTCAGCTTCATGTGTTCCTTCAGCTTCATGAGTTCCTTCAGCTTCATGAGTTCCTTCAGCTTCATGAGTTCCTTCAGCTTCATGTGTTCCTTCAGCTTCATGAGTTCCTTCAGCTTCATGAGTTCCTTCAGCTTCATGAGTTCCTTCAGCTTCATGTGTTCCTTCAGCTTCATGAGTTCCTTCAGCTTCATGAGTTCCTTCAGCTTCATGAGTTCCTTCAGCTTCATGTGTTCCTTCAGCTTCATGAGTTCCTTCAGCTTCATGAGTTCCTTCAGCTTCATGAGTTCCTTCAGCTTCATGTGTTCCTTCAGCTTCATGAGTTCCTTCAGCTTCATGAGTTCCTTCAGCTTCATGAGTTCCTTCAGCTTCATGTGTTCCTTCAGCTTCATGAGTTCCTTCAGCTTCATGAGTTCCTTCAGCTTCATGAGTTCCTTCAGCTTCATGTGTTCCTTCAGCCTCATGGGTTCCTTCAGCCTCATGAGTTCCTTCAGCTTCATGAGTTCCTTCTGCTTCATGTGTTCCTTCAGCTTCATGAGTTCCTTCAGCCTCATGGGTTCCTTCAGCTTCATGGGTTCCTTCAGCTTCATGGGTTCCTTCAGCTTCATGTGTTCCTTCAGCTTCATGAGTTCCTTCTGCTTCATGTGTTCCTTCAGCCTCATGGGTTCCTTCAGCTTCATGAGTACCTTCAGTTTCATCTGTTGCTCCGTTGGTTCCTTCAGTAGCCTCAGCATTTCCTTCAGCTCCCTCAGTCTTTCCTTCAGATTCATCACCCTTTTCTTCTCCTTAAGTATTTCCTTATCCACCTGTCTACCCATCACCCTCACCTTCTTCTTCATGTATTGTGTCTTTAATGGTCACTTCTTTAGCCTAAAATACTCTCTCTTGTTTGGTCTCCAAGTTTTAGTTTAAATCTCTCTTATTTTTTACTGTATCCAACTCTTCTCCTGCACAATTCTAATATTCCTCAGAGGGAGGCTCAGGTTCACTATTTTCATCTTACTCTTAATTCTTTTTTGGTGGAGCATTAACCTCTTCATCTTCTTCTTCCTCTGATTCTTCAATTACTTCCACTTTTTCTTCTGAGTCACCACCATTTGTTTATATTTTGACATTCTTTGGATCATTTTAAGATGGCAATTGTGTAGTTGCATCAACATCAACTTTATTCTTAGCAGTATCATCTTCTTCACCTCCTGGACAGTCTTCTTCAGGTACTTCCTGATGTTCTTCTTATTCGTGTTCTTATTCTTCCTATTCTTAACCTTCTTAGCCTTCTTAGCCTTCTTCACCATCTCCTTCTTTTGTGGGTTTGTCTTATTTTTCTACGCCATTTGGATCAGATTCTTCTTCTCCATTATCTTAGGTAACTGGTTCTTCATCAGCATTAATATCATGTTCCTTTTCAAGATCGATGACGTTTTTAACAATGTAATTAAATAACTTCTCAATGTCACTGACTTCTGAATTTTGACTGTAAAGAATATAAAATAAGGATTAGCCTTCTGATAAATTTGATATTTGGATTGTTGACTTTCCATGTTCTTCATAAGAGGAAATAATTTCATTCATTTTTTCTACAATTAATAAACGATTCATAGTTCCTTCATTATTAGAATTGATTAAACTGACACCTTGGTAATTGTCTTAAGCAAACATATCAATTCTTTAAGTATCTTCATTGCCTTTCTTCATTTAGATCTTTATCCATTCCTTATCCTTTATTTATGTTCCCAAAAAAACAAAATTTTATGTAGTTTCTGTAAAGTACTCAGATTCTGGACCGAAAGCAGTTGTCTTCTTAATTTGTCCATCTGTCAATTCTATATGCTATTTATGATTAGTAGAAAATATCCAATTTTAAAAGCTAATTTAAGGATGGAGATTTACTTTTTGCCTTTATCATTTCTTTGAACGCCCAACAGAATATCGCTTGTCATATCGGTTTCTTATATATATTTCTCAAGAGATTGAATGTTCTTTGATACCCAATCATGAATTTTCGTAACATCCTTAGCAAATATGCCTAGAGTTGAGAAAATCAACAACAGAACTCCGAATTTCATAATAAATTAAAATATTAAAAACGAATTAAAAATAAAAACATTATTAGAGAAAAATAATTAATTCCTTCATAAATTATACTATTTATTGAGGCTTGTTAAAAGGGTCAGTATCACATAATAAATACAATTTGAAAATATGCTAATTATTATTAGTTTGTTTTATTATAATGTACTATTAATATTTTATGATCATCATTTTCCAACAAAACCCTTAAGATAAGTTTCCTTTTAAACTCTTATGACTTCTCTCTTGTCTGTTTTTCTTGACATATAAATCTTTGTTTTTTCTGCACCTCTGGTCTTCTTTAACTTTGATTTGACTTCTTTCCATCCCTTTCTGCTTCCATCTCTTTTAGGGATAATTCCTCTTCTTCTCAATCTGAATTTTGGTTCGAATTTAAGTAAATACCTCAATTATTAAATTATTGCTTATACTATTAAGTGTCATAAATGAGAGCAAATCCAGTAGTTCTGTTACCTCCGAATTATGTTCTAAGACCATAGACAACAACATTTCTCTCATCAGCTTTATACTTGCTAGCCAATTCCTTGACAATTGATTCTTATGATGGAGTTGGCTTATTTGGATGAAGCAATTCAACACTCTTTTAATTAATTAAATTGCCTTACTAATTATCTTCTATTCAAGAGTTTATTTAATAGAACTTTTCTTGTTTTCACGATGAATGTCATATGAACTTTATTTTAATTCAAAATAAATTAAATCTTTTTCTTTATTTTATGAAATGAAAAGAATATAATGTATTCTTCTACACATACAAAAATGAATAAAAATAAAAAAATATCAATAAAAAATGTAAATCAACTTCTTTGCTTATGAATATGATGTAAAAAGTAGGTCTTAATAATAATAATATTTATTTCAATATAATCTAATAATTTTTAATATATTAGGAATTTTTATTACTTGGGTTCAAATATACTTTAGATAAAATGCTTGTTTATTTAATAATGAAGAGATCAAATTCTCATTAAAATGAATAACATCACAAAAATCTGTAATTACAAAAATTATATAATTAAAAGAAAATAGTTAAAGAAGAAAAAAAAATATTAGCAAATCCATTAATGACAATGCTTCTTCCAAAGACTATAAAATATAGAGAAACTTTGTTCTATCTTAAAAATCATGAAACAAATTGCACATCAAATAAGTTGTGAATTGAGCATTTGAGGAATATTTTTAAAATATTTGTTATTTTAGTATAAGCAGTAAATAAAATAATACATGGATCAATTAAATAATTTTAGTAATACTTGCTTTAGCTAATTAATATTTAAAGGTTTCGTCAATACATCTCTCATACCAACCTCAAAGCATCTATTGATGTCTTCTGCTGAATTAAATGCAGTCAATCCTATTATTGGGATATCTGGAACCTTCTTATCTCTAATGAGATCCATGAGGACTTTTGTGGTTGTCCACCCATCCATAATGGGCATCTAGCAATCCATTAGAATAAAGTGAAACAACTTGCATGATTCAGAGCATTTTTCAGTGTTTTATATCAATTCAACAGCCTAATAACCATTATATGCCTAAAAATGAAATGAATAATACTATTAATAATCTAAATCCCATTTAGCCAATTATCACTTATAATGCCTTTTGATTGAAGAGATCATCATCCACTGATAAAATTCTAGCACATTAACAAGGGAATTATAAATTTTCAAACTTCTCTTCCATCTCTATTTCTTGTTCCTCCCTTTAAATAAGTCTTGAGATTAATGTATTTGGTCGTTTGCTTGATTATATATCAATTTCTGAAATGCTAAATGAAGACTTTTTTCTTCTTTTAATTGACTTCTCCCTTAATTCTTTATTATTGATAAAGGTATAGAATATTTTTGCAGAGCTATTCAACTTTATTACATTGCCCTAAAGATTCCCTCTTTAAGTGTCCTCATCTTAAAGAAGATCAGTTTCTGGTTACACATACTAATTAAGCAGTCCTGTAGATTATTAAGGTCGGAAATAATTAGCAATTGAGGAATGATGTCTAATTGGAATCTATTAAAGTTTCTTATCAATCATCAAATCATCTGTTTTAGGATTATTAATTATTAAGATCCCTTAAATACCCATACAGAGATCAGGCACTGTATATGCAGTTCTTAAACTCTACCTTTTGATAGTAGTTCCTAATATTTGTGTATTTGAAGATTAAGTTGTCCTAATTTTAAAGGTGACTTAAGTACCTTCGCCTAAGCCAGTAGAATTTATTTTCAAATAGGTTTTATTTAACGGGGCTAACTTGAACAAATTCATTTGACTGACAAGTAATCCCAGACCTTACCACTCATCATGACATGAAAAATCTCTGTTTTGATTAAAGGACTTTAAGAACTCTTAGATTTTTTGCAACTAATCACTTTCTATCCCAACACCTTAATCTTTAACACAAAAGGTTAAAGTTGATTCGTAGCATGATATTTCTAATGTAATCAATCCTCTCTCAGAAAATTTGATAGAATTTGAGATTAAATTGACTAAGATCTGCATGATTCTATCGAAATCTGAGTAGATTAATGGAGGGACTGTATTTTTTACAATGATGTGTAATCCAAGGTATTTCATTTACAGTATTGGTCTAAATAAATCATTTACTTCTTAGACAATATCTTCAAAATTAAATTCTTCAAACTTATATTTGATAATTTGTGAATGAAACTAAATAAAATCTATAATATCCCTAATTAAATAGGCTTATAACTTCAGAGCATTTGAAGCAGGATAGATAAAATTATATTTGTGATTCTCATTAATGCTTGGATCATTAATAAGGCCATCTAGAAATAATTTGGCGCTATTCAATGGAGTTCTCAATTCATGGGAGAATGAATCAATAATTCTGACTTAGAATTTCTCCCTAGTCTCCAACTTTTATAAGTAGCTTTGCAATGAGATATCATCCATAATGATCAAATATTCATGATCGTTCTAACCGCAGAATATCTTGCATTAGATCTATCTTGTATAGTCTTCCTCCTGAAAGGATGAATACTTGGACTTAGACAATTAAGCTAAAAGTTCTAGATTGTTTTCCTTTGAATAAAATTAATCCAGATTGCCATTTTATAATTCCACCAATATTTCATTTAAAGTGTTTGGAAGTCTCTAAACGCTGGGCATCTTGTTGCAACTAAAAAACTATGGAATACTGCTGTATTGTTTAGGAGATTGCTTCGGTAGTTTAATACTTGTCTCTTTAACTTATTTCCTCTTTCTTTTGATTTGAAGTTTGAATTGCAATTCATTCATTAAAAATTTGGGTATGTCTTTAATACCATCAAACATTTAAAGCAGAGACTGATTTTAGAACATGATTTAAAGATTATTTTTCTTTACTATCATTATGCCTACTGGTATATTTTGTAATCGAGTCAACCAAGAATTGCTTATTGAATCTTATATTAAGTTGATAATTTCAGAGTTTCTTTGTGTGGGTTTTGTCATTTATGCTGGCAATTCGAATTCTTAATTTTCTTAATTTATCGAAGAATACTTTATCTTAATTAGCAATATAGTACAATAAACAGTGACAACATACGAGATTGCATTTTCATTTTGGATTATGAATAAGGTAAATAATAAAATATTGTAAGCAAGATGCAAGAATAAGGATTTTATTATTGATTATTTTTTGACCATTTGTATTTCTAATGCTTTCAATAAAACATAAGTTATTCTAGCTAAATCCTTATCCAAAAAACAGCAATACGATATATGAACACTTAGAGTAAGATTCATAAATTGTTGAAAGTATTTTTTCGGAATCAACTTTTTTTGTTTTTGAATGATCAATATGCTGAGTAACAATACTATTCCATTCAAAATAAGTAGTACAAGTGAAAATATTAAACCAACGTCATATAAATATAAAAGCACTCCGATAGCAACATTGATAGTGTTTGTTGAATAGTACTAAATTAATTTCCAATTTAATTGCATTATATTTATAATAGTTTTAATGCATTAAATTTATAATATTAATAAAATTACCAATCTATGCTTTTGAGTACAGATCTTAAATAGCAACACATAAATCCACATATTTATTAAAAATAGTGATCTAACACTATAGCAATGGGGTTGATTCTAACATAATTTAAAATGCAGAGTAAAGAATTGCATTTAAAAATAAAGAATGCCTTAAATTGAATAAAAAGGAATGAGGTTTTGCTTCATATAATGAAGATTCCATTCTACTAATTGGTGACAAGATTAATGGTTAAATTTATATAATAATATTTTGTTCATGAGAACCACATATATACTTAAGCCCTCATTGTTCTTTCCTTTTACTTGACTTTAATTTCATCAACAAATTTTAATATATTTCGTTATCTTATCTGCTGCCTTTGCGGCAAATGGATGCCTATTATTCTGTAAATTGAGCCGATGTAAAGATAAATTCAGGTATAACTTACTTTCTTCCTAACTTAGAGCTTGAGCAAGCTACTGTATGACTTAATCTGGCAGAAGCATTATTTTATAAGCTTCTTGAATATTTTTGAGAATTTCTACATTATTCTCTTTTGGCATATATTTTTAAATGAAATTTTCAGCTCTTATTTGAGCTTATTTTGATACATCACTTTCTACCATCAGATATGCAAGTATGACTTTTTGGCTCTGGCAAATTTATTTATACTATTAGTCGTTTGATTATGAGGGGGAAGCTTGATTTGATGAAGACTATTGTTGTGATTATTATTCTAATGCATTATTATTAATATTTATTTGATTATTAAGATTCTGAATTTTTTTTTTATTGTTTTTTTCTAATTTTTTCCCTTTTTTGGTTGATATACCTATGGATCCTTGTCCACGCACGTGAATGGCAATGCCCTTGCCAGTTTAAGAATTGTTATTGTTAATATTTTCATTAAGTTCATCAACAATTTCTTAGGCAAAGTAGTCTTAGCCTCTCCCGAGAGCTTAAGTCGGATTAAACTTAGTAGAGAATTTTTTACTGCTTTCCTAGCTTTGAAGTGGCAGAAGGGACTAATAATTTAAATAGCATAGCATACACTATCCAACTAGAAAGAGGACACCTACAAATAATCTGAGTAGTCTTCTTGCAAAGATAAGTCATCATCTTAATAATGTTCACTTCTTTCTTCTTCAAAGAATGATGCATTTGAATGAATTTCAGTTGAATTATGTGTATACTCATATTGATTTCTTAATTACTAAATAGCTTTCTCAATTGTAGACATACTAGTTATGGTGATTATTTTAATTATTTATTGATTAATCAAGGCATCTATGTTATAATGCTAATGAAAAAGAATTAATATCGAAATTAAAATAAATGGATTAAAATAACCTCCATACATTGTTTTTTATAGATCACATTCTTAAAACTGAGCAAGCACAAAAGATATAACAACTTGCTAAACAATACAGTGCAGAGTATGCTCACATAAGGGACATGTCTAAAGAGCAGGCTGACCTCTTTTTATCATAACTCCCATCTTCGAGTTACGGTGAAGAGAAAGTCAAGAGGTTATATTTCGACGGATGTTTTGATCTAATGCACTCTGGACATTTCAACGCACTTCGTCAAGCCAAAGAATTATGTGAGACCTTGGTTGTTGGAGTGATCAAATCGGATGCAATAGCCAAAGCAAAAGGACCTCCAATTATGACTGATGAGGAACGATTGGCCTTAGCCAGTGCCTGCAAGTGGGTGGACGAAGTAGTTATCTAGGAAACATACGATCCAACAATAGAATAGATAGATAGACATTCTTGTTCCCACGTTGCCCATGGAGATGACTTAGTCCAAACTGCTGATGGCAAAGATGCGTATTAACCATTCAAGGATGCAAAAAGAATGAAGTAATTTTTGATCATTCCATATTTTTTAGAATCTTTAAAAGAACAGAAGGAATCAGTACAACAGACATAGTGGGCAGAATGTTATTGATGACCAAAGAGGTTATGTGGGAAGAGAAGGTAATATTTTGCATTCCATATTTTCAGAAAGTATTCTAAAAGTAAACTATCGTTGAAGCATCCAATATCAATTCTCTGGAAATAGACCAAGTTTCGATTGAACAAACATTAAATAACAAAATACTGAACACGACCAGGAGAATCATGCAATTTAGTAACAACAAGAAACCCAAGTCTGGTGATAAAATCGTATATATTGATGGATCATTCGACATTCTGCATCAGGGCCATGTTGATGTTTTAAGAAAAGCCAAGGAGTTGGGAGATTTCTTGTATGTTGGAGTGTATGACAATGAGGTAGATATCATAATTCCTATCTTCTTAGACAATTAACAAAATAAAAGGGAAAAACTATCCAATTTTAAATCTGTAAGAGAGAGTCTTAAATTTGTTGGCAATTAAATTCGTTGACGAAGTTATTATGGGAGTTCCATATAAGGTGAATGAACAATTAATCAAAAATTTCAAAATTGATTTGGTTGTTGAAGGTACTTGTTCTTAAAAGACCGTCGAAGATCCTTATGAATTACCAATTAAATTAGGAATCTATTAATAAATCTAAGCAGTCAACAAGCAGACTGCTGATGAACTTATTGAAAGAATCGTTAGCAACAGGTTAAGATTCTTGGAAAAGTATAATTCAAGAAAGAAGAAAGAAATCAACTTCTTCGAAAATCATGATTACAAAGTAGAAGAAATATGATATATTTATTTACATAACCACAAATAAATAGTAATGCATTCCATAATGTACTTATTATTAAATATCAAACTTCCAAACGTTTTTCTGAGACGTAAATTCCATCCAAGAATTATCTGATATCTTTATTTTTAACCGCACAGGCTTAATGAATTAATGCACATGTTAATGAAACATTATTAAGATCATTACCGCTTAAGGTCAAGACATCTAAAATTTGAATTATTTATTCTACTCTTTTCTTCAGCTTCATTTCTAGTGATCACAACACCTGGTAAGCATTTTATTGTTCTAATGATTTTCTCTCCCAAGAAATTCTTTATCTCAATTCCTGCTCCCTTATCTAATAAATTGATAATGATTGGAAAGTGAGCATATGCTAAAACCATTTTGAATTTATATCCAGAAGTAACACCTCTAATCATATTCTTTATTTAAGCAGCCACAGAGTTCACTTAGCATCTTTGTTTTCTTTGAGATTACCACATTCTAATACTAACTCTAGATTTCTCCTTTTTGCTTTATTTCTTTAATTTCTTTTGAACTTAGATATCCAAAGATGCATGTTTGAAATTTCTATTCAAAATTCCTCTTGGGCCTATAATTATTAATCATAATCAATACCTTTAACTTCCACTTTCTTTGATTTAACCTTAATTTCGATCTTCTCTGGAATCTCTACATGCTCTTCTGTAAGAATATATTTCATTTCTTTTTATTAAATTATAATAATAAAAAAATGTCAGAGATATGATAGTCGGGATTCTTACCTTATTCTCCATATTAACTCAATTTGAAATTCTCAGTAATCTAAGGATTGCAATTTTCACAGTTAACATTGTATTACCTAATTGTTGTTAAATTTATCAATATATCTTTCTCTATTTTTTATTTGTAAAAATCTAATAGGTATTGATTTTCAAATACCATTCATATATTTGTTGTTAATTTTTATTAATTCTAATTTAATGGCTCAAAGATATACTTTACCTTTAATTTTTAGAAATTTGTTGATAAAATATACTTCTGTTCTATTATTTTAGATAGCTTCATCATTGAGCAAATCTAAATAGATATATATTCTTTATGATTTTATCTCTATTTAAAAATGTGTTAATAAAAGTCTCTTTATTACTTTAGATTGGTCAATAATTTCATTAAGAATGAATTGTATTTTGAACTGATAATAATAATAAATTTCACAGAGTTATTAATAAATACATTTAATATGAAATACTTTATTGTAATTGCACTATTAGTGAGTTTGAATCAATGTATCAGCTTCTATGCTAAAGAAGGAGTAGAAAAGTGCTTCTCAGATGAAGTACCAAGTCAAACTGTAAATACATTCAATTAATACTCTAGATTGTAGTGATTTATCATGAATTGATGTCTGAAGGCGTGGCCAAAAATGAAAAAAGAGGTACTCTTTCATTCTATGCTTAGACATACCAAAAATGATTAAAGATGGAATCACTCTAAATGTGTATGGCCCTGATGGCAACATAGTGAAAACTGCTAAAACTGTGGAAGGAAAGAACAAATTGTCATTCACTGCAAAAACAAGTACTCATCTAATCTATTTGACATAGTGGGCAGATACAAGTTCTGTGTCATTAAGTCCAAGTAATTTTGGAGTGTTAATGAGTATAAATACTCCATCAAAATACAACAAGGAGTTGATCATAATCTACAAGATGCTGCAAATAAGACTCATGTTGAATCAATCAAAGGTATCACAAACATTTTACTATTTATTCAATAGACAGAATCTCAGCCTTAAAAAACAGAACAGATGATTTCATTTCCCTTTAATAATTAAATCGAGAATAAGAAGATAAATTGACAACTCAATCCATTGATATCAGTAGAAGAGTTACTCAAACTACAATTCTATAAATAGTCGTTCTTCTAGCATCTGGAGTCTATTAGATTTGGAGCCTTAAGAAGTTCTTTAAATAGAGATTTTTGATGTGATGTTTATTTTATTAAAAATTCAATGCTTCTGAATCAGTGATATATCCATCAATTTTTACTAATTGAATCAATAGTTACCTAATTCCCTCTCATTTCTTTAATAATATTATGCAAATAACAAATTGATTAATATATAAATCTAATTGTATATACAATTGTAGGTCTTAATTAATATTTGGATTTACTTAATTTCTCTCAAAATATTTTGCTATGATATTCCGAACAGAATATTTGCTTATATTAAATCTATATATCATAAATCTTTGATAATAATTTTGCAATTATTAAGGATATACATAAAGATGAATATTTTGATCAATAATTATGTTATCTTATTTGAGTTTTTCCTTATTCTATAAAATGATCATAATTTTAAGCATTTACTTAATTTAGCAATATTTTAAGATTTTTCATTTTAGTTAAAACAAAAATCAATGTTTTAAATTTACATTTCTGTTTTTTTCAGCATTAAGAAAATAATAGACTAAAATAATGCTTTATTCAGCTCAGATCATTCTTATTCTTACTAATGGAACCAGTATCATTTTGAACTAACATTTAGATTAGTTGATAATACAATTATCTATACCATTCATAAATTGAAAATTTAGTATTGGTCTTAAATATTCTATTAATATTTTTGTTTTTTTTTAAGAACGAAAATAATTAAACTAATTCTATTTAAGAATTATCATTCTGAATTTGAGTAGGCAAAATTAACATTAATGATAATAAAAAATTTCTATGAATAGTAATATTTATCAGATAATTCACTATCATTATTTTTCATATAAAATTGAATTAACCTTATGATGTCAAATATGGATAAATTGTTTCTTAGTTTATTGAAATGAATAGCCAATAGTTGAAGGTAAATTATGATAATAATGTAAGTTAATTGAAAAATAATTTTAATTATCAAATTATACTAATGCACTTTTAAAGTTTTTGTTATGAATCCTTACATTTAAAGCGTATTTATTTTTTTCAAACCTCAATAGACTAAATAATTAGAAAGGTTTTGAGAGATTGAAATTTACAGGTCAAAAGTTAATTTATATAGTTGATTAAAATAAGAAAATATTCGAATAAACTCGACCTAGTAAGTATAACCTATGGTTCTTCAAGGAATTGGAGATTAGCTAAAATTCACTTTAAAAATAGAAAAACATCAATATACATAGATTTTAGATTAATAATTTAATTAATCTATAAATAAAAATTACATTATATTTTTATGGGTACTTGTAAAAGTTGTGAAACCACTTAAGAGGAGATGATTTTGTTTGCTTTGCCAAGTGATTCGAAAAGGCCTAAGAGTTCTGAGATAATAACCCCTATGACTGGAGAGACTGATGTAACAAGAGACAAAAGAGGAACATTCACTTATTAAAATGGAGCAAAATATACTGGAGAATGGTACAACATTATTTTATATTTTGTTTTGGATTGGAATATGTCGTGATGGTTTTGGTACTCAGGTTTGGCCGGATGGGGCATCTTATGAAGGTTAATGGAAGGATGATAAGGCTCAAGGGAAAGGCATCTTTAAACATGCAGATGGTGACATATGTAATATATGAAATCTAACATTCAGATAATGGAGAATGGTAAAACGACAAGGCGAATGGCTAAGGGATTTATTTCCATGCTGATGGTTCCAAATATGAAGGATTGTGGAAGGATGACAAATAGCATGGTTATGGTACTGAAACTTGGACAGATGGAAGTAGATATGAAGGAACCTATAAATACGGAATGAAGGATGGATCAGGAACTTATTAATGGCCAGACGGGAAGGTTTATTAAGGTTAATGGTTGCAAAATAGAATGACGGGATAGGGAGTATGTCATTGGAAAGATGGGAGGTCTTATATTGGTGAATGGTAGGATAATAATATGCATGGTCATGGTAAATATACTTGCGTAGATGGGAAACAATATGAAGGAGATTATTATTTTGATAAAAAACATGGATGTGGTACATTCACATGGCCAGATGGTAAAAAGTAAATAATGAAACTTATTTGGTAGATATTCAGGAAATTGGAAAAAGGGCAAGTAACATGGGAAAGGTAAAATAATAATAGATAAAATTGAAAAGTGTGGAATATGGGAAAATGGCAAACGCATAAGATGGATTGAGGATGAAAATTGATTCTTTTTTGTGATTCATTCTTTTTTCATATTTATTTAAACTATTAACTTGTAAATCCTTGTTTAAGGGTGAAATATGAAAAATAAGTTTCCCTGACATTTTGAGATTCTTAGAAATGACTTAGAAATATTCTTAAGTTTATAATTTATATCTAACTTAAAAGATGTTATTTGCAATTAGGATAAATTATTTTATTTGCATTTTATAATATAAATTGTTTATAATTATAATATATAATAATGTCTAACAACCGCAGTTTGAAGGATTTATTCCCCTCAAAATTTAATTTTATAAAACCTAAAATTGTAAGAACACTGTATTAATATTGTTAGGAACAACCAAGTGAAACAACAAAATAAACTCACAAATCACCATTAGGTTTAAGTTAATTTACAAGTTTTTTTCAATTAGCACAATTGACCTCAAAAAATAATAGCAACTAATCACAATAGAGAAGTATTACACCTTAGAAAATAAAAGTTGTTCAATTAAATATGCAAAAATAGGATCAATCATAAATCTAAATACAATCTAAACATTCCAGAAATTAAAGTGCTTCCAATATTAATAGTAGCAGAAGTAGTTCATTTTTTAAAGAAAAACAAGATTACTTAAACTAGAATACAAGTTCACGTAGCCCAATTCAGACATTCAAGAAATAGGATCTAAAGTAATCAAAATTACTAATCAATTCTTTATTTCATAATTAATAATCTTCAAACCTAGACTTATAGAGCAAATTCAAAGATTAATCACCTATGAAACCAGCTTTTTATGATAATTTAGACATAATCAATAGAAATACAGGGAGAAACAATAATTCTCAATCTCCAAATACATCAATTTAAAAGATATCCTCTTTTATTAATCTTAAGTAATCCAGTACTCACAACATCAAATACCCAGACAATCAATTAAAATAATAGAGCAGTCTGGTGAAAGAAAACAAGCCTGCTGAAAAACCATACCAATTAATCAATCATGAAGTTCCATAAATCTAAATTAAAAAGCAGGAGTTTCAAGTCCCCAGCTAGTTTAAATCAAACAAAGGATTAGATAATATATTCAACTCTATGTTAAGTATTTAGCACTTATCACACATCTCAAAAAATGAAAGTTCAAAGAGTATCCTAAAATAACAAGAAAAGCATGAATCAAGTGAAGAGGATGAGGAAACCTTGATTGTAGATTGCAATATACAAATTAATAAGTACAGTTTTTAATTTCATTATGTGATTGGCAAAGGTGGTTTTGGTAAGGTTTGGAGGGTAGAAATGAAAAAAGGCAAATAATATTATGCTATGAAGGAGATGTCAAAAGCTAAAATAATAGCTAAACGAAGTGTTAATTCAGTAATGAATGAGCGTAATCTTTTGGCTTAATACAAACATCCCTTTTTGATTAATATGAATTACTGCTTTTAAGATAGGGAGAACCTTTACCTTGTTATGGACTTGTTGACTGGAGGCGACCTTAGATATCACATAGGGAAGATGAGGAGATTCAAAGAACATTAAACTAAGTTCTTTGTTGCTTGTGTCTTGCTTGCATTGGAGTTTTTGCATAATAATAATATTATTCATAGAGATCTTAAACCAGAGAATATAGTCTTAGATAAATAGGGGTATGCAAGATTGACTGATTTAGGAATTGCAAGAGTTTGGAAGTCTGAGAATTCTCAAGACACAAGTGGGACCCCTGGATATATGGGTATTATATCATTATTTATTGATTAGCACCTGAAGTTATGTGTAGATAGAATCATACAATAGCAGTTGATTACTTTGCATTAGGAATTATGGGCTATGAGTTTATGTTGGGAAGAAGACCTTATAATGGAAGGTCAAGATAAGAAATCCGTGATCAGATCCTGACCAGACAAGTTTAAATTAAAAGGTCTGAAATTCCTGATGATTGGTCAGTGGAAGCAGCAGATTTTATAAATAAGCTCATATAGAGAAAGCCAGCCAACAGACTTGGATTTAAAGGACCTGATGAGGTCAAAAATCATCCTTGGCTTCGCAATTTTCCATGGCAAAAATTGTTGAACAAAGAAATTGAGTCTCCTTACATTCCGAAAGTACAGTTTTATTACTAAAAAGTAAATTGATGATAATGTTGAATACCTGAATTAAATAAGTGAAGATGATGATAGTTAAGATGAATTGATTAAAGAAAATAAGCTTTTACTAAAGAAGAACTCAGTTCAAAATTTATTTAGTGGATATAGTTATGAATGCAATTCAAAATACACTAAGAGTACATCTAGCACTCTTTTTTTTGGATGACTTTATTATTTATATTAAATATATAGTATACTAAAAATTTGATTAGTTGAATGTTTAATAACCTTATCGAAATTAGCAATGAAGAACAGAATCTATATAAAGCATAATTAGTTTAACATGATTCTAGTTCGAAAATTGAAATGTTAGAAAAGGCCTAAGAACAATTAACCATCTTTGAGAGTGTACAAAAGGTTATTAACAAACAAAGAAAATGGTTGTAATTTTATTCAAAACATTTTAGTAGAAGATAAGCAAAAAATTCTTAATTAATTCAAATTTTTAATTTATTGAATTATTAAGCATAAAAGTGGATAAATATCTGTTGGATAATTAGTAAATTTATGAAGATTCAGTTGTTATGATAACAATATTTAAATTTTCATTAAAAATTCAAACAATAAGGTGATTCTTCATATTTGTATTTTTTCATTCCCAATTCTCATGATCTTCTCTTTAATCTTAGCAGTATGTTTCATGATAAGAACTACAGACATCTTCAAGGTTAGATTTAGCGTGAGTGAATTCCTACTCCTCGATTCCTTCTTATATATATTTATATAGATAACTTTTTCGAACGTACATTTTATTAAATTTTTCAATTAGGCTCTCTAGAGATTGAGTAATGCTAGTTGAATTAATAATTGAACTTCCAAAATATTCATAATTTTAAAATTATTTCTTGCAAATATTAGTTAAAAACATATCAATGTACTTTATTTTTTTTGCCTCTTATCGTCTATAATGTTGTTTATTTAGATAATTTTAAAATAGGGAGCATGATTTGTCAACCTCTTTATTTGATATATTTCCTCTAAAACTAAGTGCAGCAGTAATAAATCGACCTTCAGTGTAATTATTGCTAGCTTGATTGTGATTTGAGGACATTAATTCTTTAAAAAGTTGGTTTTCGTCCATCTTCAAATATTGATTAAAGTAATCACTGAATTGATTATTGGACTAACTGCAAGTTAGAAAATTTTATCGAGGGAAGGGAATCAAATTTGTGCTTAGTTTTCTCAAACTAGAATTAATATCCCCATACGTTCGAAACGGTGAAGAATTACAACATATTGTTTAAGCAACATGATGATTGGCATCATCATAATTAAATTCGATTCCCAATCTAGTCAAATTTTGCTTAAGCCCTTAGTTATCAAAACATATTAATTATGCTTCAAAGGACATCGTCTCTTCTAAGGCTAATATAGAGTTATAAGGAGAAACAACACATATATCGTCTTATTTAATAGAAGGAATTAATAAGTTAAATTATTGTGTTAAATCATGGTCTCCTCGACTGCTCAAAGCTGCTGTTAAACCAGATCCAGTACCACCAATTATGGAAGAAAAATATTGGACTCCTTAAAGTGAGTCACATCGTTCAGTTTCTTATCGGATACTATCATCAATTATGCCCATTATTTCATTCGAACAATGATTCCTTACAAATCCATAATTATTGCCAGATGAGTAGTTGAATGAGAACTGAGAAGATGGATTAAAGTCCAAATTAGTGCAAGGTAAATCCTGTCCCAAATCAATCTAAATACATCTAGGAACTGGTTTGCTCTAATGCAAGTTATAATACACAATATTGTTTGAATTAAGTAAAGGATTTTCACTTTAAGGATCTTATCCATTCTGGTTACCGAAATCACTATCTTTTAGCATTTCCTCCCAAAACTTTACTCCTACTTTGTTCCCAAAACCTCCCAATTATATTACTAAAATTTCCCTCATTGTTTTTCAAGTAATTTAATTAATACAATATTTTCTAATTTTTTATAATTTAAATGTCATTTGGTTGTAAGACTAATAAATCCTATCTTTTAGTATACGATATAAACTTTAATCATTAAACTAGGATGGCTAATTCTAAATTTAGCTTAAGTGCTATATTTCATATATATATTTGAATATATAATTATTCTTCTAAATACATGAATTTATGTTAAATTGAGTTCTTTAAGTATTTGATATTGTAGGCAATGTGATAATAACTTAAAAGGAATGAAAATTGAATCTCAAAAGAGTTTTTATATTTAAGTGATTTTGAAAATTAGGAAACAAGAAATAAGATGTAGTTTACAAATATTATTAACATTATAGAAGATTAATTCTATTAGCATAATAGAATAATAGTTATAAAACAGGTCTATAAATTCCATATAATTAGTAAAAGTAAAAGTAATATTTATATGATCTAAAATTCTATTGATAATACTTCCGTTGCTATTTAACACCTTGAGGATTAGTCTCCAGATCTTCAAAATTAATAATCGGATGAATAAGTACACTAAAGTTCAGAATATAATGCCATCAATTAGCCAATAGATTAATTAGATCAAAATAGCGGACAACAAGTAGAAGCTCTCTAATAAGTTGAATATTTCGATCCGCTTGATTATGAAATAGTATACTGTCCATATTGCGATTATGGCATGATTAGAAAGGCTTATTGGATTCATGTTAATTTGTGTGAAGAATAATTAAGCCATCCTAATTTAGTAGAATAAGAATGTCAATAATGTCGAGAGATGATTGTAAGGCAATACTTAAACGATCACTTAGAGGTTTGCCCATTTAACTTTCATGCCGAAGTGAATTGTCCTTATTGCAATACTCTAATAATAAAAGCATGGCTATAGGAACATCTTGCTGAATGCAATGGTTTTTAAGTGTAGCAATTAAGAGAAATTCAGGGAATAGCAAATTGCTAAATATGTCAAGAGGATATTATACAGGACTAGTCAGTTCTAAATTGCTCTCATAGTTTCCATGAAGATTGCCTCTAAAAATGGTTAAAAATAAAAAAAACGTGTCCAGTTTGTAAAAGTATTTAAGTCTGAAGCTAAATAAATTTGTTTTAATTGTGTAGATATTAATATAATTTTGTCTAGAATTCATGTTTTTTCTAATGAAGATTATTATAATTATTGTCAATAGAATTTAATTTATATTGAATAAGGAGGTTAATGAGAGGAGAGATTGAGATAAAAATTGAAATAAAAGGAGAGAAATTAAAATAAATTTAATGAATAGTGAAAATTATAAGACAGAAATTCATTCTATGATTGAAAATGGTAAAGATCCAAAGGACATGGTTATTTAAATGTGCCGACCATAATGTAAATGGTATGATGATAAGTACGACAGATGTGTGAAGGCCTTCCTTTCTTTGAAAAATGCTGATCCTGAAAAAAATTGTGTATTATTTAGATTAATAGTAAGATGTACCCTTACAGAGATTTGGTGACTTGTGTTGAAGCTTGTGTATAGCCTAAAATATAGCATGCTCTGAGAGGAAATGAGCAGGGTTCAATATTCGCATGAAATATATAAATATATATATTTGATAATTAAAATGTAATAAATATAGATAGAAATTAAAGTAAATATTTTCATATAAATTGTTTAAAATAATTGACATTGCTCATTTCTTTAAAAAGGATGCTTCTTATAAGATATGCTTTCTGGATGAAGGAGGAGTGAGTTGTCTGGCTTTTTTAATGTTGTCAATGACAAAGTTTTTGGATATATCCATAAGAGATGACTGTTGAATGAGAGATTAACTTAGATGAGTGTCAATAGATGAATGCTTGATATTAGGAGGCACATATCTTGGGAGGATTCCTTTGATGACATATGACCTAGGAGATATGAAGTAAGTAGTACCAGTACATCTCTTCAGTCTAGATGATTAATTTGCCTTTTCTTATTTTGCCATATTCGATTGGAGTAAATGATATGACAAAGGTTGTCCCTTCTCTGCCGTAAGGTTCAAGATCGCCAACTTTGGGTATGATGGAAAATTCCGCATCTGAATCTGGAGTGAACCCTGCATAGAATTTGGCATAGTTTTTGGTTTTGTTTGTGAGTTTGAAGGAGACACTGGTGGTTTTATTTAGAGGAGAACTAATGATAATGACATCATCTTCGTCAGGAGGCGTGGCTTCTAATATTATTTTATATCTATATATATATGAGATGAGATAATACTTCCATCTGCCTCCACTTTATCTCAAAACTATGAATTCGAGACTGGCTTTGAATGGTTTCATAGGTTGAAATCGTACTGCATAATGTAGATTCTCATGGGGGTTGCTTAGATAGTTCTTAGTACATTTAACACTAAAGCATTTTTGAATCATTTGTTGTAGATCCACTGGTACATTACCTAACTCGAATTCAAATTTATCATCCGCCTACAAGGTTTGAGCAATGCCTTGTAAACCTATTTTAATCTCGTCTTCCCACTTATCTCTGCATTTGGCTTTGAAGTGGAACAAGGTCTAAGTGGAAACACTTTCAGTGACTCCCTTAATGGGGAAAACCCAAGAAATCTTTTCATTCATCTGAACAATGACTTCCGCATAATAGCTTGTGATTTCTCTGGGTACAAATGAGTAGGGAATTTGCAAGACATTCATTCCTGGGACTAAAACTTTATCGTTTTTGCTTGTCAACAATCTAAAGATGTCTTTATTGTGACCTTGTGCATCCAAATCAATTTTGACTGTAATGGGATCTTTGAAGGGATTCTTAAAATGAACCACTGAACTGAAATCCTTGTTCAATCCTATACTAACAGTGGCAGCCGAAAATTTAGTTGGAGGAAGTCCATTTCCAAAAGCTAAATAATGCCATTTGCCTATGGATGATGTAAATACTATTTCTGATTGTTCTATTTGATCTAAAGAGGAAGGTGTATATCTGATGCTGACTTTGAGATAATCAAAAGGTTATATGACTAATTCATCAGGTAGTACATCAAAATTGGTGGGGTTGCTCACTCTGGATTATAAGGTTACTTTTTGATCAGATGGATTTTCAAGTAAAACTACTTGTTATTCCACCTTTCCCAAGGATGCCTTCAACAGATTTAATTTAATCACAGGCTATTCCTCACATGTCAATATGAATTCATACCATACTTCTCCAAGTTACCTATTAACAAATGCAACACTTCCTCTCCATCTACCCACTTTAAGCGGAGCGAAGGTCAACTCATAAGGACCTTCTTTGTTAGCTCCAATAGCAAACTAATCTTCGCCTATCAATCCATCGCCACTGATGATTGCTTCATAGATAGCAGTTTCCGGGAGTGGATTTTGCAATGTCAATTAAATCACAGTGGCCTATCTGATTAAACAAGATAATTCTAATGTCTGTACTGATTTAGGCGATTCTGTATTCATGAAAACTGTGTACCATAGATACCTCCCATTCTCTTCTGTGAATGTTATGGATCCAGTGTATTATCCAGATAAAATTGGTTGGACTGTCAATGAATAAATGGCCTTCTTCCCTGCTCCCACTGTAATCGAAGATTAACCTGTTGCATAGATCAAATCAGTCTCAACTTTGTAGACTATTTACTTATCGGTCTAATTCCTCAACTCTATATCCCTTTTTAGCATCTTCCTTGGAGTGCAATTCAATATGATATGTTCCTCAGCCACTGGCTCTTCTCCAATCCCGATCAAATCATACTCAAACATGTCATTCGTAATTGGATTGCTCAAAATCAATTTGGCTTCACTCTAAGCTATCCATTGAGGATGAAATGTAATTGGAAATTATCCAGTAGTTTTCTTTTTTATCATAAACTCCTTGTTCGGACATTAAAATAAGTTATCTCCAGATTGAGTCAATTGCACCTTAATAACCCAATCTTTATCTGATCCATTTACTATTGGTACTTCTTAAATCACTTATTGTCTTGCTGGTATTCTAAACTCTAAGATAGCCTTGACTACCTTTGGTAACACTTGAGCAGTTAACTTATACCTTCTGATATCAAATTTACTTTTTAGAGTTAAGATTACATTAAAATCTTTGGTGGCATTTTTAAAGGCATAAGTTATAGGTAATTTACCGTCATTGTTTCTATCAGTTGATCTTTTAGTACTATCTGCAACAATAAGAACATTGGGCACTTAGACGTATTGCGTAGCTGGGAATACCTCTAATTCAAAGGCAATTTAGTCCAAATTGCCTCCAGGGAAATTGGGATTGTTCAAGAAATTGTTAGATGAACTAGTTTTATCTGCGATGTTTTATTATTATTTAATCTTTTACTTATATTACAGTATTTGTAATATCTACTATCTTGCTCGCAATATCTATTCATTCTTAAACGGAATTTAATAGGGAATCTGAATTGTCTAATCAACATATAATAGCTTTTCAGGTTTGAATTCTCCAGATAGATTGGGCAACTCCACTGTTCCTTATAAATCATGTTAGAATTCTCCCACTTGAGGATCTGTGAATACTATCTAACATTTATGTGTCTCCATAATTAATGGGATGTACTATAAAATGAGATTTATTGTTTAATTCTTCCTTATTCTAATCCTATCCTATTGACAGAAGAATGCAGGGAACTCCTCTTCTTACGTTTATTGTGCTTATTATATAACTTGCTTGCCTTTCCTCTTCAATTAATCTTATTGCTTCTTCTCGTGAGTGATAATAATTTAAAAGTCCCCATCAAACAAAAATTTGTTGGTGATCTAAATTTGAAAATCGAAAATTTCGTATAAAATAGAACTCACATTCCATTACTTTTCGGATTTCCTTCCAGTTATGCTTGATTTCAACTCAAAAACCAAGGCAGCTGCTTAAACATTAGACTCTTTTTTATTTGTGAATATCACTCTACCAGTAACAGGCTGAGAGATACGAGATGTGAATTTAATTTTGTATTAATAGGGCACGTCTGGGTCTATTTTAATGCTCTCGTCTCCATCTAGTTGAAAATCTGGATGTCCTTCATACTTAACCCAATAACTAATTGGTTTTTGAGTGGGGTTTTTGAGTTCGATACTCTTGATGACTTCTTCTCCCAAGACACAAGAGAAATAGATGGGATCCTTTTATGGCACATAATAAGGCAAAGCGAAGAAGAATTACACTAGCATCATGACCATTTCTCTACAATTGGGGTGATAAACATCTTGAGGCAACAAGTGAGATTATAATCCGAAATCTTGTAAAGCTGGGAACAATTTCTCAGTGTTATGTTTATAATCATCTTCACTATTGCAGACATTCCTCAAATTAACAAAAAATTTAGACATCGATGTTCCGATAAATGTGGTTAAGGCATCCGAGATGAAGATTGAATCTCTAAAATCTAAATCAAAATTCTTGATTCTTTTATATGCAGAATGCTAGATCTCATAGCATATTTCATAGAAGTATAATAGAATACCTTCAGGCTGAGAAATCACATTGGATCCCTCTAAGTAATACTCAGGAATAGCTAGTTTATTTTGAGGAATTCCTGGCAGACTCTTAAACGATTTGGCTGTGATTCTATTCAGATAATAGATCTTGAGGATTTGATAAAATAGTGAGATCCAAGAGTCATATTGAATATATGTGTACTTAGTGACATTCAATCTTAGTAGATTTTCTGGGACATTTTCATATTTGGAAGGAGGTTAATTTTTAAGCCAAGCCAAATAATCTTGATAGCCTAGTAAGTACTCAGATCTAATGTGATTGAGCAGAGCTCCCTCAATTTTCAGTTATCTTATTAGTTCATCATATTGTTTGTAGAGGACATCAGCCTTTTGAGACTTCTTCCAATTCGGGTCTATGTTCTATTTATAAGGAAATGTGGTTTTTCCAGTTAGAAAAGAAATTAGCTCAAAGATTTGTTATCCATTAGAATTGATCACATCTTCTGGGTATGTACTGATGCTTGTGGTAAGGACATGATAATTAAGCCATCTTACAATGTATTCGTTAGCTTAGTCTAACAAGTCCCTTCTAATTGGTGTGTAACCCAGGTTGGCAGTTCCTTTGGATGACGTGGATTTGACAGAGAAATTGTGTTTGGGATTCTTTTCGTTGTCTGAATCTAAGTTCTCATCTTCTACATACATGATGGGTTTCTTGTCTTCAACTTCAAATTGATATCTGCCCATCCTCCATAGAAAACTCTGATTCGTAAATATGCAATTATCAGTAGTCCCTGATATGTAGATGATATACACTCTGGCTTCATCAATGAATTCCACTCTGGTTGTAAAACTTAATGGTTTTTTATTGCTAAACACTACTTCGACGGTTAATTTATTCTTGGCAACACCCAAAGTCGAGCCTTCAGGAAATTTGAGTTCCAAATTATAATTGCTAATCTCCTGAGCCCAATTGTATTTGAGATTCAAATTCTCATATCCATCATTGATGATTCTAAAATAACATCTCGACTGCACGTTGAGAGGTACAACAGGCAATATCACTTCTTTTTTATCAAATAGCAATCTTGGATAAGCACCTGATCCACTCATTGTGATTTCGACATAGGGCAGAGTCTATGGGATCTCTGGATCCTCAAGTATGTATAGTTGTACTGCTCCATTGAATTACCCAGGTCCATAGGGATTGAATTTGACTTTGATTTTTATTTATTGTCCACTTGGCACAACACCTTCACTAGGTTCAATGGCAAAGATCTTTTCAGATTTCAGTGAAGAACAATCTATCTTCCAATGGACTTCTTTTCTATCTGGATTCGATAGTTTGATTTCTTCTATAGTAGGGAAACACTTATCTGGAGATGTGATGATCTTCTTTTTGAATTCTATTTATTGTGGTTCTACCAGAAACTTAGGTTTGAGTCCTCGACAAGTCACCTTCCTCATTAATGTGGGTAATGGACCATATCTAGCCAAAGTAATAGGGATCTCGAAGGAATACTATTTGACTTCCTTGGGCGAGAATCTCATATTAAATTGGAGAGTCTTGCCTCCTCCAATGGTGATAGTATACTGTTTGTACTACTTCTATTCGATTTCTATTGGTTCTGACTTCTCTGAGACATCATCCAATGGGTCCTCTTCTTTTGGTTCATCTTCCTCTTAATCGGGATGAATTGAATGCATAACTTGTTCCTCTTCATCTTGCGGTTTAATTTCCAAACACTCGATTCCATCCGGAGCTCTTGGATTATCATTTTGTGTTCTCAAATCCAAGATTAATTCCACACTCACTGGAGAGGAATTGATAAATGTCAATGGAATCGAGTTGCTGGTTCCAAGAGTGGTAACATTCCCAAATTCAAAGATGTCCTGCTCGATTTCCACTTTTGGGATTATTGATGTAGCAGAAAAGGGGATATTCATGATCTTACCTCCTCTTATTTGGATGACGATATCCCCTTTAATGGATCTCTCCTCTTTGCTGAAGAATTTGACCTGAATATCTTTGGTTTCTTCTGAGAGTATCTTCCCTTTCATAGGCATTATTTCTAAACATTCTATCTATGATTTAATAGCAAAAACTGCAGTAGATTTAGAATGATTTTTAATGCTAATCAATTTGGACTCTGGCTTACACAAGATCACATCTTTGAAGTCCAATTGACCTTATTTAATGGAACACTTCGGTTCAGTAACTATGCCAATACATTTGATAGTCTGATCAATGCCTTCGTCTGTTTTGAGTACTATTTTGTCTTCCTCTGTTTTCGTTGTGGCTGCAGTATATTGTTGCTACTACCCTGTTGATTGCTGGATATATTGGATACTACCTCCAAATGAGGGTCGATAGAACACCTAACATTCTAGATGTTTGCCTGAAGCAACCACTCCCTCCTCAGGTTTAACGTAGAAGAGTCTCTTGTCTGAGGTAATCCATTTGAATTTAGCTTCAGCATTGCCATTATTGGTCAATCTCAGGATTTCAGAAGTCTCCATCTCTGCGTTGTCTTCTGTGAATGACAACTTCAATTGCTACCTACTCATTTCGAGGAAGACCTTCTCCACCATTGCTTAAACCTATAATTCGAAAATGTGTTTCTCATTGATTATGTATTTTAAATGTGATTTGAACATTCCTAATTGCTTAGAACAAATGCAAACGTCAAATCCAGCAGTCTAGCCACTCGGGATGATCTAAGGTTTCATGTATGAATTAGCCAAGTCCTCCTTGTCAGAATAGATCCTCGCAGATATTGAACTACGCAACTCGTTTCTAACATAAAAGTACTTGACAGCCATCGATTTCACAAAGATATTACCAAACTCCATCTTAACTGGTCCAGCACAAATCTTGAGTAACTATTGAGCATTTAATTCAGTCGTGGTGTCTCTAATTTCACCATGAGTTTTTGGTTCACTTGGAAACTTCTTTTTAGGAACAGTCTTGGGATCAGGATCGAATGGTTTAATAACATTCCCCTCCTTAACTCTTGTTTAAGGTTCATAATGATAGATGGGTTTGGTCACAAATAACGACTCATTCGCATCTGGCAGATTTAAGTCTTGCTCGTAAACATCGTCATGCATTCCTACCGCAAACTCGTAATCAATAGGTGGATCAAGTTTGTCCTCCACTGTAGTTTGTTATTTCTTTTTCTTCAGTACCAAAGATTCGTTCTTCATTTGATCCATCCTTTCAGTCATCTACTTGAATTTTAGTTTTATTTGTGAGTCCTTATCCTTCTTAATTCGCTTTTCTCTGTGCTACTTCAAATACTCATTATATTTCTCTTTATTATGCTTTTTCATCTCTTCAATCTTGTCCATACTCAATTAAGACAATGTAACTAGAGATTGAGACATTTCAAAAGATTGTACTACTTGATCTGTTGATGTTTTAATAATTCCAGAGATGGATCTGTCTTTAGAAATTTCTAAGGTAGCTCTTTCAGATTCAGCTCCCCTTTTAAACTATGGTTTTGGCAACATCTGTTAGCATACTCCTGTCACTTTAATAGGAATCTTGAAGACTCCACCAAGAAGTTCAGCATTGAGAACATTTGAAAATTAACCAATATGCTTAGGTCTAAAACTAACCCAGAAATTGACCTTCTCATTCACAGCCAATGATTTTAATTGTGGATTCACAGTGAAGTAAGGAATTGTTGGGAATCCAACGAGTATAGATTATTCCTTAGACATATTTTACACTTCAAACACAATATCCTTGGTCTAATTAGCTTCGCACTGTCCGAATTGCAAGGTTTACGTTGGGGGAAATTTAACCTATGGACAAATGCAATTAACGGAGAGATGACTCATCAGTGGTTCATCATCGTTAAAGTCAAAGATAGCCGAATAATCATACTTCTCCTATTCCATTTTCTTGTCTTAATTTAATGCATATTAACGAGTTCTGACTTACAATTCCTCACTGACTTTGGGTTTACACTTAAATATTATTGTCACTTAGGAATATTACTCAATCATTCCTTCGTCTGGCCAACACTCCATTATTCTCTCGGTTTATTCAAGACCTAGTTCCGCTGGTGTCTGTAGTTTGAGGGTCTCTTCTTTTTCATGCAATCCTTTTTTCAATTTAGCCTTGAATCTCTATTGCCTCGGTGTATTGTTAATCAAGTAGGCCTCGATTTATTTTTATTATCCATAGAACAGGGTGCCAAAATTGAAGTGATTGCTTTGGGTTCCATTCTGATCGATGAGGAATCTTGTAAATTCAATTGATGTTGCATTAATATCAATTGGATTTTTGAGACTCAATCCAGTTTGTTAGCCATCGGCTATGACTTCGATGATGCCTCTGAATATGCCTGCCTCTCTTGGCCTGTAGAATACGTTGACAGCAAATTCCTGTCCTGGAGTAAGGGTGAATGAATTGGGTTCTATTCGGAATTCAACGATTTTATCCAATTTCAATTCGACTCTTCCTGCTGCCTTCCCTTCGTTTTTAAAATGGACTTTGTCGACCTTCTCCTTGCCCACTCTCACAAATCCCAGATTTATGAATGGCTCATAAATAATCCTTATTTATTATTATATTGGAATACGCTGCTTGTGCTGGAAAGGCATGCAATGGAATATTTATGCTATACTGACTATCAGTGACGATCTTTAAGGAATCTGCAAATGTATCCAGAGTGGCTGTTTCAAAAGTGACAATTAACTTCATAGAAAGTCCAGCTGCAATTGCACTACATTAAATATCGAGACCTTGTCATACCCTTGCATTTCATAATCGCATCTAAAATGCGAATGAGGTTGAAACACTCGAATCCTACGGGCAGTCTGTGTCAAGTTGCGCACATACACAGCAATTTCATAAGTCTGGTTTATCTGAATATCCTTGAAAATGATCTCGTTCGGAACAACTTCTATTGGTGCACCTGAAGACAACAGTTTGATTTTCGATGAACTCAGGCTGCTTTTATTCATTAATATATAAAATTTTAATATATAGCCATAATACTACCTTTTTTGTTTAATTTAGTATGTCATACATAAATCTATTCATAATTTCATTTTTACATATCCCAACACCACATGAGCCTTCTGAAACCAATCCAAAATGTCTTCCTTAGACAAGATTACAATATCGGGAAAATAAACCTGGTAGTCCTTCATGGATTAATGGGTTCCAAGACCAATTTCAAGAACTTAGTTAATAGTACTCAAATAAGCAAACATCTCAAGTCGGCCTACTTGCTAGATGCTCGGTAAGACATTCGCAGATATGGAAGCAATCACGGAGACTCCCCATAGACTCAGACCATGAGTTACGAGGAGATGGCATGCGATTTAAGACACTTTATTGCGAATCATCATCTAGACAATGTGGTTCTGCTGGGACACTCAATGGGAGGCAGAATTATATTTTCGTATCTGGAGAGTTTTCCCAATGACAGACCTCTTGGCAATGTAATAGTAGATGTTGGGCCAGGAGAAGGAGAGGGGAAGAATTATGTTAAGAAATTATAAGAAATTGATCTTAAAAACAAAAGTCTTAAGGACATTCAGGATAATATTCTTGAAGTTCTGAGGAACAAGGAAATGACTCAATTGATTATGACTAATCTTGTGGCTACAAACAAAGAGGCGACGAATGTTAATTATGTATGGAGATTGAACATTGAGTCAATATCGGAATTCTAGAGATAGGGACACAAGGAATTTAGAAGTACTTACGATGGTCCTGTCTGTGTAATATGTGGAGAAAGATCAGACTATGTGAATTAAAATGATAGAGCCAGCTTTCTATAAGTGTTTCCGAAAATAGACATCAATAAAGATATCCATTTTATTGCAGGAGCAGGACACTGGGTTTAAGTAGAGAAACCTCGAGAGTTTATTAATTTGACTAGTCAATATTTATCATAATTTTGAAAATTATAAAATTTCATTCCTAATTATCATAGTTAATCTAGTAATCATAAGTAGAATTCCTTAATTATTCAAAACTAAGTTATAAGTTTCTGATCTCTTCATATTCTTTAGACATTTAGTTAGATCTCTGAAATTACTCAAATGTAACTACCCTTCAATCGATCTGTCCTTTTTGGAATTCTGATTCATTCGAAGATAGACCTTAACCTTCGCCGTAGATATAATTAATCGATAATAAAGAGAAGAGAGATGAGTAGGATGAATTGTATTATGTAATTATTGTTATTCTGTGAATAATAACATAATTATAATTGTTAATATAAATGTAAGAAAATTTAATTCAAATCGACTTTTCATAAATCGAAAGCTTAGATCCTTGTGTACAAGGAGGCTATAAGATAATTTACAATCAGGAGATCCCCTTCATGATTAAATTCCCAGATCAAGAAGATCAAAGTATTCTGGAAACCATCAGAGTCAGAATAATGATATTGGTATGGAATTTAAAATTATCAAAAACAGGGGAATGGAAAAGACTTATAACAATTGACTTTGGAGTTGTCGAGTGAGAATGATCTATTTTTCTATTATTTTCACACAGTTGATAAAGACAATTTTCAAGTTGTAAAAGCAAATTAAAAACTCAACACAGACTTCTTTGGTTATCCTGAAGTTTGTGTGAAAACATTCAGGAGATGTCAATTGGAGTAAAAACAGTAAACACATTGATAATATATCTCAAGGTTTGCACCCATTTTGTACATTCAACAGAATGCGAGAGCATAAGTGAGTATAGTTTAAACATTGGAGTACAAGGAATTGGCTCTAATAGCTTTTGAGATGATTGCTGGAGATGAGGAAATCATCAAATAGCATGTCTATTACAAACACGGGGCAGTGAAATCTAAGTTTTAGATATTAAATGCAAAAATAAAAGATGTATTTGATTCTTCATTCATTATCAGATACATGAATTAGTCAAAGTGAAGAATCCCTAGTTGTTGCTTCATTTGTAAAAGTACCTTCCTAATTGATGATATAATAATATTTATGTAATTTGTAATTCATATTTGCATTGTACAAATGATTAATTGCATATACATAATCCCATCATGATAAACAATAAATTAATTTAATATGGATAACAATATAGTGATTAAAAAATAATGGTTCATAAAATCCTCAGCAACTAAAATTGAAGATGCCTATGAATTTGATCACAAGAAGGTATTTACTTGAACTCATTCTGAAGCTCCTTGGCTAAGGGACTTATGGGTAGGTTGTAAAAGCCAAGTTGAAAGGATCGAAATATTACAGAGCTATTAAAATCATTCCGAAGAGCAAAGTCAGAAACCCGGATCGTTTCAGACGAGAGATAGAGATTATGCGAAATTTAGTAGGACTTTTCGAATATTTAAATAGGATCACCCAAACATCATTAAACTATTTGAGACTTTCGAGGATGCCAGAAATGTGTATTTGGTGATGGAGTAAGGAATCATAATCATCTTAGACTTTGTGAGGGAGGCGAACTCTTTGACAGGATTATTGATAAAGGTCATTTTTCAGAAAATGAAGCTCGGATCACAATTTTGTAAATTATGCAAGCTGTAAACTATTGCCATTAAAACGGAATTTGTCATCGTGATTTAAAACCAGAAAACTTTTTGTTGTTGACCAAAGCTGATGATTCACCCCTAAAAGTCATTGATTTCGGATTGTCAGTTATATTCCACGATAATCACGTGGAGAAACTGAGCCAAGGAAAAGTAAGTATGACAACCAGAGCAGGAACACCCTATTATATTTCCCCTGAGATTTTGGATGGCAAATATGACGAATCCTGCGATATATGGTCAGCAGGAGTCATACTCTACATCCTCTTGTCAGGAGTGCCTCCCTTCTATGGAAACACCGATCCAGAGATTTTGGATGCAGTGAAAAAAGGCATCTTTACATTCAACAGTATTTTACAAGCCTATGTCTCCCTCTAGTTCCCGAATTCAAGAAGGTGTCTGAAGGTGCCAAGGATTTGATTTCAAAAATGATCTGCAAACCAGAGAAACGTCTGAAGTCTCATGAGGTTCTCTAACACCCATGGATGAAGTAATAACAACCAGGGGGTTCATTTTTAAGTGTTAATTATCAATCTTTGAAGAATTTTACAAATTTCAATAAGTTAAAAAAGGTTTGAATCTCCAAAATTATCCTTAGGTTACATTAACTTATATAGCTTCGTAATTGTCAGAATAAGAAATCTCAGAATTAGGCAAATTGTTCAAATAATTGGATAAGAATGGAGATGGCGTTTTGACTATGGATGAATTAACTCATGGATTGACTGGTCTCAAGAAGGAGTCCCAAAATGAAATCATGAGTGTGATCAAAAGCATTGACACTGACGGTTCAGGAACCATTAATTATACAGGTATTTATCACTCAAATTATTAATCCCCAAGAGTTCTTGGCAGCCACCATAGAGAAAAGTGTCTACATGAAGTAAGAGAGACTGTTCTAAGCATTCAAGATGTTTGATTTGGATGGAAGTGGGAAGATATCAAGGGATGAGTTGAGATAAGTCTTGGGAAGTAAGTAAATGAAATGATCTTCTAGAAACTGGGTCTGGGTTTGATGATAACACCTTCAAGGCTTTGATTGCAGATGCTGACAAAGACGGAGATGGGGAAATTGATTACAATGAGTTTATAGAAATGATGGACAAAATGAAATCGTGAGTCAATATATATATTATATAATAAAATTTATGTTTGTTTAATTCGCAACTCCGAAAAGTACTTAAAAATGACTATTTATAACTGCTTATTATTATTATACACATTTCTTATATATTTTTAGGAATGTCATAAATAGTACGCTGCCTTCATCACCAATTATTTGGTGACCAACTTCGCCTTGCTGTTCTCCTTGCATAATTACTCAATCTGTGCTCTGTAATCTCCAACTTCTCTGAAGGACAATAGAATAATCAAACTAAATAAGGCAGCTCCCTTGATGTTGTGTTCTGGACTCTTACAAAACTCAATCAATGCTTTGATATATGTCTAATTAACATCATTGTAATTAATACATTTAAGTGTTCTTGCTCTAAGTTTATACTCATTATCATGATGATCTTTTCATTTTCTTCCAAATGACTCATCTCAAGTTCACTCTAGATTTCGTTGTTCGATAATTGTCTATAATATGTAAACAAATTGATATACTAAAGCAATGGTATTTGAAGTAGATTTCCTATTGGTTCCAAAGCTAACTTGCACACTTGTCTAACCTAAACACTATCATCTAACAAATGAAGCATCAAAGACACTAATGCCTATCTCAAATAGGACATAATTTGTTCGTTCATTATTTTCTCTACAAAACAAGTATTGCATAATTTTGAGAATAGAGAAAATGCTGAAATTCTAATCTTGGTCATAGTTTTCTCAAAATTAGAAGTTGTTGTCAAAATTAACTATGGAATGTATGCCACAAAATCAGTTTTTGAATCGACTAGATTTTACAAACTAATCATGGCACTCCTCACGCAAATCTCCTATTAATCATCCAGCAAACTTATAAGACATTCGATGATCTCTTGTAATAGGTCTTTTTCAATGGTCTCTTCAGCCTTTAGATAATATGATAGTCCTCCCAATCCAAATGCCACTTAGGCTCTAACGTTATCACTGTCATCCTCAGCTGATTCCAATAGGGTTCTCAAGAGATTCTCATAAACGCTCTGTTATTCATATTCTTTCTTATAACTTCTGATGAATTAACTAATGACAACAATCGCACCCAATCTATATGAGGCTTGTTCTTTTTTGGCAAATCCTTCTATGAAATTAAAGAGTTTCTGTTAATCTTGAAAAGATGCCCCTTTGCAATATATCATAACGATCTCCTAGACTCCATCCTCCACTTCCTCTTCGATCAACAACTTCTTAAAAACGTGTTAGGATATTCCTTCAATATTGCATATGGTCAACAAATTTTGGAATGCCCAAATAGCAGTCTAAACCGATTAAGAGGATCCAGATAACTTAGGATCATGACATGTCATGAATCTCAATAGGAAAGTTCCCAAAATACTGGCCATTGATTTTGGCAGCATTTCAGCTAGAATTTTATTTTCGTCAATCAACAATTATCCAATAAATAAGGAGGCATTAACTAAATAGTTTCCAATATCCCCAGCAATAACTACAAATTACGATGATAACTTACTTCCTTCTGGATTGTTTAAGACATCAGTTAAAAACTTAAAGCTCTACACCATGTAGGTCTTCTTCTAGCTTATGCAATTAAGGAACAGTTTAGGGAACATACCCACTGGAAATTCTGAATGGTTTTCCAGAAGGATTTCCAAAGAATCGCTCAAATTATTTTGAGCCAATAAATCCATAGCTTTGCTTAAATTAGAATTACTATAATAATTAGTATAATAACAAAATTACATCAATTCTTCAGATGACGATCCTGCTCCTTATTGACAAATTAATTAGAACAGAGTTAGCACCCTGTTTAAATCAGCATATTCACTTTGATAAACACATTGAATAAGCGAAACAAATCCATGGAGTGATTCAACGATTGGCTCGTTGATCAAATTCTGCAATTCTTAAAGCAATGTAGTCAGTTCATTGTGGTGCAATTTCTCTCTCAATGATTAAATTAATTAAGAGTTGAATTCTTCATCAGTTTTTTGATAAATATCCAAGTACACTCCCAAACTCAACATGACTTTCTCTAAGATCAAAACCACTGATCTTTTGGCATTAGTATTACGGTATAAGATTGAAAGCAAGGTCAGAATCACCTTAAAGTAGTTCTTATGGTTTTATTCCATCTTCAACTTTACTCTCTAAATGCTCTTCTGCAAAATCTCAATGAGTTAATCATTGTCCTTGATTGATTTGATCAAATACAATAGAGATTGCCAAACCGAAATAGTTTAAGAGTCTTCATCCAATTTGATTGTTCCCAAAAACAACAAGAAACAATTCTAAAATGTGATATTGACCTACTCAATTGATAGATCATACTTCTATTCTAAGTGTTAACTCAATAATTGTTTAACTTTGTTGTACTCAATTGGTGCCAATCTAAATTATAAATTAATAGTATTGAGATTTCTGAATACATTCCCCCTTGCAATATTCTTCTAACAGTGAGTCAACACTTGATCCCTATATTTTTGGTAACTCAACAAAAATGAGGATGCTGCTGCCTCATCAGTGTTCTCAACTGACCTCTCTATGGCTTTGCTAATGGATTCCAAAGATATTTGGAGTGAGTTGAACAATTGCTCATGTCCAATGAACGGCATCACATTAGGTAAGATGTTTTTCTCCAATATTTCTAACGAGACTTATTTGGCTAAACATCCATAGGCAATTAGCAGTGTGGCTCTAAAAGAAGCCAAGTATTCATCACTTCCACTTTTTTAAAAGATAGACAAAACACTCTCCTTAAAGGAACCTGTATTTTTCTTCTGAATGACTTCGCAATTCAAAATCGACTTGACTTTGTCTAAAACTAATTGGGTGTGTCTTTCTCCTATGTAGCCAAAGCATTCAGCTACACACAATCTAAGATTAAAGTCTGGTTCTAAGATGGGAACATTTAGATTCAGTGCTTGATTTGTGTATTCCTGATGACAAAAACTAAACAACTTATCTAGATTGTATTTGATTGTTTCCTAGTTGGTGAGGAAACTCATCAAGGTGGCTTGCATTTTCATAATTGGCAACTTCAAAGCTTGTGAGTTTAAATACATGCTAAGTTACACTTAGAAATCCTCCTCTATTTAAGAGAGTTCTTTGTTTTATATGAACAATGACAGACAAACCTTCCAAATCTATTACACCTTCTCTTCGTAGAATTCATCCAAAGGTCTCTTGTTTATCAGGTATTGTTTCAAAGCCTCAACATTTTAATGAAAACTACTTGGCACCTTCAAATCGAAAGTCTTTATTAAATGTGGCAAGAAGTTCACTGCCTCAAAACCTAAATTCGGAAAGAAGTAAGGAATCTGTATGAGGAGCAACATCCTGACAACGATGACATGTTAAGCAACCGGGGAGTTATGTGTAATGGTATTTAATTTTTGTAAGATCGAAGTGTAACATTTGAAGATATGAGACAATCCAGGGGAAAACTTTTGGTTGTTGATGATTTCCAATCCCATAGGCCATAATAGATCATAAAAGTATTGATCTTGCGAAAGGGTTGTCAATATTTTTTAAGCTCTACTCTTCAATAGCTTTCAAAATTTAAATTTAAAACTTACTTCTAGTGTGGTTTCAAATGGAGCAGCCCTTTGCTTGCCATATTCTTCCAATTCCTTGTCGTGTATTGAAACTTAATTGAAGAGATAAAAGAGCAAAGCCTTCACATCCAAGTTGGTTTGATTGATTGGTTGTTCTTCGTCCTTGAGTTTGTATTGTATTTGGAGAATGATTTCACAAATGGCATATCTCACTTCGCAATCCTGTTCGAATTACAAATTCAATAATTGTAACACCAATTGTCTTTTGAATGGTTCAGAGATCTGTTTGAAATTCCTGGACAGAATGAAATTGCAAATCCAGAGACAAGAGACTCTCTCGATTGAATCCTTACTCTAAACAATAATGTATGTGTATTTACATTGATTCTTCCTATGAACAAGTCCAAACAATTATCAATGTTGAACTTTGATACTGTCTGCAGAAGAGTCAATAAATCATTCTTGTACTTTAAGGCATTTGGATCAAATGGATAATTCGGAGAGAAGATGGGGTTTTTGTAAAACTCATAGAGAGACACCATGATAGATTTTATGATTCCCTCATACCCGATTCTATCCAATTGGTAGAGTCTCTCCAAGAATTTATTGAACCCTTCGAACAATGGCCTTAATTGATTATTCTTCTGTTTCAACACACTCAAGTAGATGGAGGTCAATCTTTCAAGACTGCGTTCCAATCTCTCTCTAGAGATGAATTGACTCATGAATCCCACCAATGACAACACTTGCAATTGGATTGTGGTCTGCATCCAATCCTTAATGATTTAGTCGAAGATAAGCCAACTCACATTTTACACCTGCTCCTGATTAATCTACACCTAATTCTCCTCGAAATGATTGAGGGTCTTATAAATAGATTGCAACAATGAACAGTAGTCTAATCTACATTGATCAGTCTTCACAAGAGAGAGAGATGACAGAATCTTCTATAAGATTTCATACGAAAATTGTCGGAAGTATTCTTTGCCTAAACAAATTTAGCTAATACTGTACTTTGAGATTCAAAAATCTGCTGAATGATCTTCAAAATAACTAATTCAGGAACACGTCCTGATTCAAAAAAGTCAGAGATGTGATTGATTATCAACTCATCGAAAACATCCATTAATTTAATGTGGATATCACTCAGCAACTAGTTCAACTCCTCTGAAATTTGAGTCTGACTTAGTATTCGATTTATTATTCGTTTTAACACTTGAGTGTATTGTATGACTGCTAATTTGGCATCCTCCGTTTTGGTTAACAATCCAGCAACTTGAAGAGTCAACTTAAGCACTCTGATGTATTCACCATTAATTTCAGCCATCTAAACATACATTCAATACATACTTCATCCAAAATCTCAGAACACTTACACAAGTAGATCACTGGATGCTTCTACATCACTTAACGACTTATTTGTTCACTCTGCTTCTCGTCTCCATCCCGTATGAACTGTTAAATCAAACCTAGTCTAGCATGAACAACTTACATTCCAGCAGCTAACTCATTTTAATTATTAATAAAATAATATCAATGACATGTGAAAAAACTTATTTATTTCATTTGCAAACTCAATCTCAATCTCGCATCATTAAATTCAGTTATGACATCCCCATATTAACTTGATCATATGACGACTTTCTCTATAAACATAATGTAGAGACATTATATTTAATTAAACAGACTTTTTTTAATTTAACTAATTTTAAACTGAATGCAACGAGTACCACAATATGCACAAAGACCTCTAGTTTAAGACTCCTTCCGTTAGTCCTTCAAATAAACTCCTGACAAAGAGAACACATATGCATAATTACAAAAACGAAAACCCATACAAGCCTATCCTTAATATCAATCCACTCAGACCCTCCAAAAACAAGAAATGCGTCCCAATTCCTCACAACCCAGACAACCCTCAGTTCAAGCAGTTCCAAGACCATCCTCAGCATCCAATGACAAAATTGCCTTCTCCAATCAAAAGCAACCATCCAGATGCTCATTCAAAGAATTAAAGAACTCAACATACATTCAACCATAATAAGCAACACCTTAATCGAGATATTATTCATTAAAATAGGTTCCAGACAATACTCTTGTGAAATCATAATCTAATTAACAGTTGGCAAACAAATAAATTGATTAATCAGAATATAAAAAATTACACGAAAAATTGTTATTTTTGGAAAACAAGATCAACAAAATTAAATCCAATATTGAAATAAGCAATTCCTAATTACAGAAATAATCTGAAAGAGCCAAACAAAAACCAGTTGGATTAGCTGCTAAATTTTTTCAAAAAAAAGACCAAGAAAACTATGAATCCAAAGAATCAAGCACCCCCAAAGAATTAACCAAATGTGCAACTGCACTCAATCTACAACTCAACAAAGCCTTAAAATAAAGTCAAATAGGCAAAGAAAAACAATCTGCTGTCAATCTAGATCAGTTCGTTACTCAAGTCAAGCAAATTAAAAAGCCAACTCAACCACAACAATCCCAACTCAGCAGACACCAATCCTTAGAAATTAGTTAAACCACCATCCCAATCACCAAAGCCATTGTCTATGACAAATCCTATTCCTCATAAAAACCTAAAAAAGATGACACTGTAATTATTCTATCTCATCTCTAGTTCCTGTACTATATCTCAAGCGTAGTGAAAGCTCTAGTCCAAGAACAGGCTAATAAAAACGATGAAGTCGTTAGAGATCATATTGTATAAACTATACAGGTAAATGCATTCCTTATCATAAATTAGGGATTAGAGTATGCTAAGAACCTGCAATTGCAATTCTAAGAGGAAAAGGTTGTTAATCTACCAAAATCGAATCATCTTAAGACTTTAGTTTTTGATTTAGATGAAACCTTGATTCATTGTAATGAAAGCGTGGCTGTTCCTGGAGATGTCGTATTACCAATCACTTTCCCTACTGGAGAAACCATTCAAGCTTCAATCAACATCAGGCCTTTTGCTTAACAAATACTTTAAACTCTATCTCGACATTTCGAAATTATTGTTTTTACAGCTTCGCATTCCTGCTATGCCAATATAGTCTTGGATTACTTGGACCCAAAAAAACAATGGATTAGTCATAGACTTTTCAGAGATCATTGCTTATAGAGTGAAGATGGAGCGTATATCAAGGATTTAAGGTATTGCAGTTTACTTATCTCTCTCTAGAGTCTTAGGCAATAGGAAGTTATCTAACATTCTCTTGGTTGATAATGCTAGTTACTCATTTGGGTAATAGATAGATAATGGAGTACCAATTATTGCATATTATGATAATAAATATGATTAAGTAATCAATTTGTTCAAATCTAGGAATTATTATATTTACAAAATTATTTAATGAAATTTAGAATGATCACTGATGTTAGAGAACTGAATTCATAACTATTAAAAATGAACTCTTACACAAATTATTAAGATCCCTTGCATTTGGTCCAAGATTTATTCCCTGATTACTTAACAAAATGATTAGTTGTACTTTCATTTATAAACAATATAATATTATATAAATCAATTCAATTTTCTATTTAACTTAATGTACAATTCTGGATATGCCCAACTCACAACCAGGGCTGATAATTTTATTACAGCAAACCCTCCCAAAGTCATTATGACCGGCATTACTGTTATAAAAGCGAATAAGTCCTAATATATCCAAAAAACATCAAACAATGAAAACAAAAATGCGCTTTTTCCAGTGATAGTCTTAAGCACTTTTTTTTGGACCCATAAAGTCATCTCTGTTTTTACATCGACTCGCTTCTTATATTATTCAATATTTTTCTCATTTTTCTTGTTCATTATTGCCAGATGTATTTTTATTGCAAGAACTGCTTAAATAATAAGGACAACGCTCCTGTATTCATCAAAAAGTTGAACTAATTGGGAAAATTTTATAATGGCAGTCAAAATCCAAAAATAACCAAAAAAGGGTATGCTTTTTCTCCAGCACCATCTATAATCGAAATGCATCAACCATATTAACAACATAAAAATTAATTAATTTTAATATACGAATATTATATTGATTAACCCTAGAATTCTCTTAGAATTATGAGCTGCCAATGAATTATTATATTATCAACTAAAAAGAATATTCTATACTAAAACCTTAATTCACTTATTGCTAAAGTTTATTAACTTTGTTTTATAATATTTACTAATTAATACATCCTTCTTAAGAAAAATTTAGAGTGCCCTTAATTTGTTTGAAAAATTGTTTATTAAATTTTCATAGCCAAGATATCAAGGTATTGTACAATAGCTTAAGAGTTTATAAATTTAGCTCTTTTAGAAATTAAACTTGGTTATATAAATAGGATATTAAATTTTTTGCGCTTTGACTACTTTTCGCCTACTCATTATTATCCTATAACATTTGATTAAACTATTTTTAATATGAAATAATCATTTCCTAATTTGCTAGGATAGCAATTTATTAATTAAAACTCTTACTTCTATAACTAATTAATTTTATCCCGACCATTTTTTTTCTTAATATTTTTTGATAAACTTGTATCTATTGAGTCAGTATCCTAAAGAAATGTGTTAATAAAAATAGACTGAAAATTGTTTAATCTAAATAACTTATATATATATAAATTCATGGACACGTTGATTCTACATAGTTGTAAACTCTCTAGCCTATTCTATTATAATCAATTAAAATTTGAAATGAATCATCATGTTTTTAATCCAATGCTTTATCTTTTGTTAATTCTTGTAGAGCTATGAAAAGGCTCTCCTACATCCTAAAATTTTTCAATTTTTTTTTAATCAGATTTCTTATGTTGTTGTATTTGGTCATCACCATTCTCTTATCCATTTCATAAGCATCCTTAAGGACCTTCGGATGAATGACATTATTGTTTATTTAAGAAACTTTTAAAACTCCATTGTATTACTGAAAATCTACTTGGATTAATTAAGAACGCTTAAAATTCACAGGAAAATTATGAGACTCTATTACTTGAATCCAAAACTGTCTCAGTTTATAATCTAATTATGAATTGCCCAATTGATTTTATACATCGTTGATCTGCATAAGATATTAGTCATTTACAACCAATCTACTGTAAAAGTAAACTATCAAAGGTTCAGTTGAGGCTACAAATAAAAAGGAAGCCAATCTGATATTAGGCATATCGAAATTTATTCCATGTTTGATATGACAATTGTCAGATAATAGATAATAAGGGATTTGAGCAAATTTTTGAAAAATACATATGTTTTTATTATAGGCTATCGTTTGATCAGGCACATAGTATATTGATGATTAAATTTTCGGTTTAGAATCAGAATATTGAGGTATGAACTCTTCCATTGTTTCTGGATGAAAATATTTATGTGTGTCTGAAATTGCGCAAAACTCAATTTCTTATTGAGATGCAGTTAAATAAATGATATGATTAAAGTGTTTCATTAAGGTTAACACTGTTGAATAATTTTTGTACACCACGAAATTTTGAAATAGAAACTTAGTTGCTATTAAAATGATTGTACTAAAAAAATAACAAATTATGTTATAAAAATTCATAAAATACATTTTGTCTAAATCAAATGATTATAAGCCTAAGAATCTTCTAGATCTTTATCAATAATTTCTCTAAATACCTTTGAACAAGCTCTTGATTTTCCTTATAAGCTTCACTAAATTGTCTCCCCCAGTATCAACTTTTTAAAGGATCGTTTTGTGCCAATGATATAAATTTACACATATCCCTTGACTTGTATTTCTATCAAATCATTTAACTAAGAATTTAATTTATCCATTCTTTTAAGAGTAGTTTTCAATAATTAAGGATTTTAATTAATTTCTAATACATATATAGATAATCAATTATTATCATAAAGTCTTAGTCTAATCAAAAAAACTGTTAAGTGTTCATATTTAGACTAAATTGACATGGGTATATTGGGATAATAATAATCATCATTTTAGAATTTTTGTTCTTTATTTTCTTGAAATGCAAGAGCGATTTTTTGTTTCTTAATTTGATCCAAAACAATTCATTTTATCTGAGAGTTTATGCAACATGATTGCGTTATTTTTAGAGATTCTCTAAGAGCCTCTGCTATAAACAAGATAAATAAAAAATGCAAAAAAAAATATTTATTAAATCATTCTGTTAAAATATTAACAGGGTCATTAGTATAACGGTAGTATGGAAGTTTCGGGTACGTCAGGCATGGGTTCAACTCCCGTATGGCCCCGCTTTTTCATAGATTCTTTGATTTAAAATATAAAATAATGCTAAATTTTCTTGTTTTTATAAAGCGTTTAAAATTGTTGTTTAATTACAGTAATTTTTTCAATACCAATTTCAAAGGAGCATATTAAACAAAAGCCAATTTTTAGGGGTTGATAAGTAAGCAATTAAAAGTAATACTTTTCAATGCCATTATTTAATCAGATGCATAGATTAATTTTGATTTGAACGCTAGAATAATAAATTTGAGCTAATATTTTATTACATCGGATTTCCATTCTTTATTTATTATTCATTATAAAATTATTTAGCTTCACTGATAATAAATTAAGATGCAAATTAAATAAAATTGAATACTTTTATGAATGGAAAACTGCAATAAATGAAATAAATAGGCAAAATTTTTATTTGAGTTTTTCTCATTTTTTTAATTAATTTAACTAGATAATGTTATGCAGGAAATTCAGCATCGGGAATAGATATATATCTGAACATTTCTTGGGTAGCCATTATGCTTCAAGGTCTCTTAGTTGATCAAAATCTGAATAATGCCAAAATGACATTAATTTAAATGTAACATATACAATAGTATTATTAAAATCTAAAGTCAGAAAATGAATATCTTATCTTCTTATCTCCTTTTATAACTTAATCAAAGTAATGATTAAGCAGAAAAAAATGTTAATTATGAAGAACCCTTAAGATATATTTCGTGATTTTCAATTTTCCTCTAAAAGAGTGTTTTCTATAATATCAAGGAAACAGCCTATAATTCTTTAATATCCAATTGCTCAATGATAGAGTCATTAAAAATAAATACTTAATTCTGCTATTTTCTATGCGTTAGCTTATTACTTTAATTCAATATCAGAATAATATAAATATGCCATTGAGTCAAGAAGTTAATGAATAATTCTTACTCTATTGGAAATACACATGAAGAGAACCAAAAAAAGTGAATAATCAAACAAATAATACAATTATTAAAACTATTTATTTTGTATTAAATTCTACTTATTAGAAATAAAATCTATAATAATAGTTTTAGTAATAAGTATATGATAATTCAACTATAGTATTTCAGCATTATTTATGTATTAAAAAATAATTGTAATTGATCAAATTAAACATTAAAAAACTTTACTACAATAATGAGATTATTATTTTCAGAAAATAAAATAATCATTATTAAATCGCAAAAAGAGAGATTTGAGATTTTCCATAAAAAAAAAATTAAAAAAATTGAAATTCATAATATTTCCTCAACATTATTAAAACTCTGCAACCCTAAATTAAAAAATCTATTTAACTATTCCAAATCAATAGTAGCTTCTCAGGTTTATTGAATGAATTAGTTTTTAAATATTATTTTATTTATGCAATCTCTAAATCCCAGAAAGAGGCATCCCTCTAAAACAATAGTTATCAATAACAACACTACATTTTTTTCATCTGAGGATAATTCACAAAGGAGATAAAAATCATTAAGGATGAGCAAATAATGCAGAAGAGGTAATATATTAGATAGACAGAAACTTTAAATTAATAAATTTCCTGTCAATATTAAACACATATCTGAGTCAGAATCTGATAGTGATGTTTCTATCTAAAAGTCAATATAATCTGGAAGTTCAGATTCAAGTGTGAAGTCTCCGAAAACAATAAAATCAAGTTCTTCTCCAAGAATGAGAAAGGATATAAGCCAACACACGCAAGACTTATTTAAAAATGCAATAAGAAAGACTAAAAGCCAAAAGGATTCTGAAAAGTAGTAATGTAACCTATGATTTTAGGGAGGAAATTTAGTAAAAGTTATTTGACAAAATGGTTGATAAGGCTACGCTTAATAACTACTTGATCCAATAGAAAATAGAATAGTTTGACTCTACTATTAAAAGGATCAACTAATTTTAAAAAATTAGCTAGAATTCAGAATTATCTGAAATATTTTCTAACCTTTCAAAAGAAGATAATTAATCAAATGCAAGTTTTTAATAGTAGGAGAAATAGGATCTGTAAAGAGCTTAATAGCAAAAAGACAACTTTTGTTATAGTCCAAAGATTTCCATGTAGACTTCGATGGCTGAAATTAGTGTAAACTAATAATTAAAATAAGTCAACCTATTTATACCCCAGAGTCTCGAATTTACGTCTTACACTCGATGGTTTTGGTCCATTGTCAATTAATGAGCTAACTTAAACATCTATTGATGTAATAAAATAATCATTCATTAAAAGGCTTTTGATTAATTATAAAACTTGCCGAACTAATACGAGAAAATTTGTTAAAAAATAAATTGTAATGATGGCTCAGAATTTATCAAATATAGAAAACTCGAAAGTTTTAGAAAATATCATTTGATATATGTAATAATAAGAAATAATAGAGAGCTCTTATTTGGATAATTACAGAATGTTGAAATTGAGAAAAACCTTAATTTATATATATTTTGTTACAAGGAGGGTCTCTAAAATCATAGTGAGATCAAGATTATATTAATATATCTTGACTTTAGTAACATTGGGGAACATCGTAATTTTTGTATTAGAGCATATGTACGATAAAGATGATAGATTTGCAGAATTTGATATTAGTAATTATTATAAATTAGAATGTAGCTTTTTTATGGTTCTACGTAGTTGATGTAGTATTATAATTTTTGGCATTTGGAGTGTTTCTTACAAAATTCATCTTTATTTCAAGAGTAATTGATGCAATTTTAATCATTCTATATTACTATCATCTAACCTATTCTTCGGCTGTATTAGATATCACTCCACTAAGAATGACAAGATTGCTGAGACATCTAGGATTCATATTTACAGGTAGATTATATTTAATTATATCAAGGATTATAGAAAATGATAGATGCATTAATAGAATCATTAAAATTTATTTTCGAATCTACAGCAATTGTTATATTATTTGTCCTCTTTTTTGCATCTTTAGGAACATCATTGTTTATGGGTTTGTTTAATGAAAGATGTTTGCCGTCAGATGAATCAGAATGGATACAATGTAGAGAAGGTTATTGTCCTGATGGAACTACTTGTCAAGCTACAAATAAATCATATAACATTCCAACAAACTTTAATAACATTATCTATTCATTTGGTCTTATTTTAAAAACTGTAACAATGGATGATTGGAGTTGGGTTATGCAATATACAATTAGAGCATTCCATCCTATCATTTGGATTTATTATGTGTTAATAATATTTGTTGGAGGCTTTTTCGGATTTAATCTTCCGATTGCTGTATTCAAGATTCATTTTAGTGAGATGTAATTTAGAGAGATAGAAAAAGTAGATGAAAAAGAGAATGTTATTAGCTAATCAACTTTGAAGAGAATAGGATTTTATGATTACATAAATTAGATGAATGCCTTCTTATTTTCAAACTCAAATGATATCTTGAAGAAGGAACCTCTGATTAATGAAGTACAATAATCAAATGATGGAGAGCCTCGACTCTTATTGGGAAGCATGATCGATGAGAATAGAATAGACAAAAGTAATTTTACACTCATCATGAATAAAATTATGAACTTTACATTCAAATTCGTCCTTCTACCAAAATTAGAAATTCTAGAAAAATATTTTCAGAATTTGGATACTTAGAAATTTACTTCAGATCCTAAACTTTTAGAAACAATTAAGAAATTTAGTAAATCCTCATTTTTACTGGAAAAATATATAGATTATAAGTATAATTATGTATAGACAAGCAAAATGGATGTTTTAAGGAAATCTCTTTTTCAAATTTTAAGAAAAACAAAAGTTAAAAATTCTAAAAGATTGAAAAAGAAGCCCTTTTACTACAAATCAATTTAAAAGAAAAAATATATAGTTTAAAGTTAATAAAGAAAATCTAATAAATCGGAATAAATAGATGCTTCTCCTTCAAATATCTAGAAATCTCTAGTATATTTGCCAATAAAGACATCAAATAGAATAATAAAGGAGAATGAAAACACCCCTGAGATTCATGGCAGAAAGTCTAGTTCAGACTCCTGCTCTTCAAACAATAGAGAAGTTCGTATCAAAGAAGATGTTAAAAAATAAAGAAGAAAGTTTCATTATTTAACTGGGTAGTTAATTATTCCTGAGTATTCTTTAAGCAAGCCATTTACAATATATCATTGTGGCTAGTTAAAAGTGCTAATAAATGGAACATATTTAGACTATGCTGAGGCAAAGAAAAGAATCAATGCGAATTTTAATTTTAGACAGTAAGATGAGCCCAGATGTTAAGAGGAATACAAGAAATTAGTGAGAAAAGAGGTTAATAAAAAATACATAAAATCAAGAATTTGGTCTGGCAAAAATGTTTTGACAAAAAATTAAATTTTAATTAAAAAATTTGATGATATCTTTTAACAATTAAATGAAAGAAGCATTCAAATTTGGTAGACATCCTTGGGTGGAATACTAATAACTTTACAGAAATTTTCATTTAGAATAATGCACTTCAAACTAACCAAATTATTTTTTGATTTAACAATTCTTATTAATACATTTTTTTTAGCCTCATAGGGGATTATCAAAAGAAAGATAATTAGTTAAGTAGAAGATATTGCTACTATATTATTATCTACTGAAATTATTTTTTAATTGATACTACATAAACCAAGTAAATTATTATAGTGATAATAGGAAGAATAGCTAGGAATAAATATCTTGTAATAGAATTACTTATTGTAATATTAGGTTTGATTGAATTTGGATTTAGTGACTACTTGAATCTAAGTGAACAATACTTAAAGTTGATGAGATCTACAAAGTGTCTATTATTCTATCGATGCATATCCTATATCTATATGGCTAGAATAATTGGGGCAATTGCATCAATTACTTACAAAGCCTATATTTACTTGGCATTTTTGATGTTCTTTATGATCTTGACATTTGGGTTGATTGGAATGGAGTTGTATGGTCACAAATTCGATGAGTATCATGAAACTGGTTACATGCATTCATTCGATGATCCAATAAAAGCATTTATGACGGTATTTAATATAATGACAAATGATGATTGGTTTGGAGTTTATAAAGTTGGGACAGAAGTGCAGACAGAATTATCGATCACTTACTCTATTGTGTTAGTGTTTACACTTAACTACTTTACATTTGGTATTATGATGGCGATATTATTGGATGGATTTAGTCAGTATTTAGAACGGGAATCTACAAATGAACATAATGAATTTATGAAAGAAAAGATCAAATAAAAAAATAAACTTAATAAATAATTAGATTCAGAATTTTCTGAAAATGATTCAGAATCTGACTCAAATTCCTCTTCCTCCTCTGCTAAATAATATTAAGATTAACCTCAAGTTCACAATAAGAGATAATAGGAAAGCGAATCCAATGACAATATTCAATCATCTGCTAAAAATATCATAGTGTAAAAGAAAAGAGATAGCAATTTTGCTGATTAATTATTTCATTCTCTTCAATTTCCAATAGTCATTACTAAAAGATTGGATCCATTAGATGAGGAGAGAAGGAAAATCAAAGAGGATTTTAATAGGCTAAAGAGCAAAACTAATATGATTAGATTGAAAAGTTCGGAATCAAAAACTATAAAATATCTACAAGAGAAGATTGAACAAATCTCCAAAAAGATGTTTAAACATAATTTAAAGATGTATCAAGGAGTTGATTGTGTGTAATCCTTCTATTGTTTTAGTAAATCAAATTCTTTGAGACAGTTCTTCTTTAGAATTAGTTTAAGCATTTATACAAAATATTTTATTGATTTGACATTATTCCTCACCACTATTTATTTAGCACTACCATAAGATATCTAGCAATAACCATTGTTTGTTACTGCATTATTTATTTTGAATTCAGTAGTTTTTATTGAATTCGTAATCAAATCAATCGCTTTGGGAGCATTCTTAGATGAGGGATCATATCTAAACGTATTTATATATTGTTATCTAATAGCATACTTGGAAGGTGGTTGATTTAGTGTACATATTGGTTTATTATTTAGAATTTTTCAAGATTGTTCATCTTCCAATTTTTATGGTGATAGAGACTTTTCTATTTTTTAGACCTTTGAAATTACTATATCGAATAAAATGGGTGGTTAGAGTAAGGGCTGCTTTAACTTAATCATTATTCGATATCATAAATGTATTCGTAGTGTTACTTCTTGTCTGGTTGATGTTTGCAGTATTTTCGATGATGTTATTTGCAGATAAAATGGGATTTTGTGAGGAATAAACAAATTATGATGTTGGATATGAAGAGTGCACGAGATTAGGCAAAGAATGGAGAGTTTATAAACATAATTTTGATAATATTACTACTGCAATGCCTACTTTGTTTATTATTTCAACTTTTGATGGATGGGGTTCAATTCTCTGGGTTTCTCAGAATAGCAGAATGGCTTCAGATGGTCCACATCCGTATTTCAGCTAAATCCCTGCATATCTTTTTTTTTTAGCATTTTGTACTATTGGAGCTATGTTTTTCCTACAGTTATTTACGGGTGTATTGTTTATCAATCTAAAGGCAAACTCAAAGCAAATTGAAAATCAATAATTAACTTAGACTCAATTAGATTATATATAGGTGTCAGAAATCATTCTGCGGGATCATCCTATAAGAGCATCATTTCCTAAATCTTAATTTAGAAAGTTATTAAATACTTTCATCATCAACAAATTATTTGATGCATGCATATTTTCTATTCTGCTCGTGAATTGTGTTGCGATAATGATGATTCATCATTCAGGTGAGGATCATTATAATGATTACATAAACACAATTCATCATATTTGTACCTTAATTTTTGCTGGTTGGTTGTTGCTTCAATTTTTGATTTTGGGGATCAATAGATTCAAAGACAATCTATGGAGACTTTATACTTCCTTCGTAATTATTTTGGGGATTATTGATTTGATTCTTGACTATGAATACAATTGGTTTCAATTGTATTGCAATTCCACTCAATTGACTTAGCACTATTAATTGTTAAGAGCCTTGTACACTCTTAGAAATTTAAGAGTTATCATTATATTTCAAAAATTGTAGAATCTCTAAAGATTGGTAAGAGTCATGTACTTTGCATTTCCATTTATGTTGAAGATTCTTTTCATTCTTCTGATAATAATGGTTGTATATGCATTTTATGGAATTATGTTGTTTGGGAATATAGACAAGGGAGAGGTAATAAATGATTTGATCAACTTTTCAAATTTTTGGTCTGCTATGTTGACCCTTTTCAAGTGTGTTAGTGGTGATGATCTTCGTTCCATAATGAATGATTGTATGCATCACAATCCCTATTGTTCAGAAGATCCTAAATATTGTGGTTCACCCTATGCTTAAATCTATTTTATCTCTTTCATGCTGATATCTAATTATACGTTTTTGAATTTATTTATTTTGTCCATGATTGAACAATTTGAATTCTTTTTCAACAATCAGGACTCCATCCTTTAAACATACGTTGAAAATATTGATTCCTTTAGAAAGGCATGGTTCAAGTTTTCAAGTTAAAATGGACAGGTGTTGAGTCTTAGATATTTGCCTCATTTGTTGATTGAAATTAAAGAACCTCTAGGGTGTAAACCATATGATAATTTGTGGGATGCTGCCAAACTTAGTTTGCAATACAATCTGTTTTGCGACATGCAAGATAACATTTCCTACAATTAATTATTATATGAGATCTTCTATCATAGATATGAGCAACAAATCTTTGAGTAATGCTCTCAAATGTCTGCAAGAAAGATGTCTTAATTTCATAAGACAGTTCTATTTAGATTAGCCTATTATAGAAGAAAAGGAGTAAAGCAAAGAAGGACTAACATTGGACCATAGCTTAAATTGGATGGAAATGCTAACATTTTGAATATTCTATTGATATCATTAACTGCTTTCAAAGTGTGGAAGTCTTACACTCATTAAATAATTGGCAACATCATTACTTAATAACAATATTTTTCACTTCAAACTGTTAGGGATACTGATCTAATCAAACATTAAGTAACACAGAAAAGCATCGAGAGTTAAGAATATAAAATAAAAATGAATGACTATCCTATATATTAAAAAAGAGGGTTGGGCAGAAATAAGAGTGTCCAATTATAAGGTGAGGAAAATGATTATTTACCAGGAGATTAAATTAATGTATTTTATACCTTTCTATTATTAGCCTAAACCTGTATTGAATAGAACAAATAGTTTTGGAATTGAAGAGGGCAATGTTTAAAAGATTTATCATTCGCATGGAATTTAAAAGATGAATTGAATTAATTATTATTTAATACTATAGTATAAATTTGATTTGATTTGAATTGAGATCCATTTAATTTATCATCATCAAATTTTCATACTTCCCCCTAAGATCTAGAATTGTTTTAATAACTTTTAATAGTAACATTTTTTGAGGGTTTGATTCTTTCAAATAAGTTTCTGCTAGATTTACTCCGTTTGTACATTTTCTTTTCTACTCCTTTCACAAATAAATAATAGTATTCGATTTTCTTTAGAATTACCTCAATGTTAAAATCAGGGAAATACATAAGGGTAGGTTTACAACAATCCACTTGATAATTTTCATTAGAATGAACTATGTCTAAAATCTTCTGTTACAATGAATCGTCTTATATATTTTCAGCAAATTCGCCATCTACTTCAATTTTACCAACACTCGTGATCTAATTAGTTTACATTAATTTCCTAGATTCTCCGAAACTTTATCTTTTTAATTTCTGGTCCAAAACTGCTACCAATTATTACTTCTACAATTATTATTAGAGACCTGGACTTAAGTTTGATTATTAATTTTAATAGGATTTACGTTATGGCTTCTATCCCATTTGAATCGTCGTTTTCCTTTTCTTCCTTCTCTGTTCCCCTCCCCCTTACTATCTCCTTTCTTGGCTTTCAATTTATTTTCGTATCAAAGACTCTTGCATTTCGCTTGATTCACTATTTTTGCTAATTTATTTTATGAGCAATTTGTTTTATTCTTATTCTAATTGACTGGTAAAATTCCCTGACTTTTGAGATAATTGAAGACTGGCAAATTCATCAAAATTTGAAGATCTCCGAGGAGTACCTTAAAATTACTTTTAATAGTATTTAGTATTAGTCGAATTTGGAAGAACAAGCAACTATGATTGTTCTAATACTTCAATTCCATTTTCATGTTATTCCTTCTTTAGAGCTTAGAATCCTTTTTATTTTTCCTTTCCGAATTGAATTCTCTGGAAATTTATTATACTTTTTTTCAAATCATGATTTTCTTTGATATCTTTAAAATCCACAGTAGCACCTCCAGCCATTGTTTTTGCACATTTCTTCTAAAATAGCTTTTGCTTTTCACTAATTGTGGGTGATTGAGAATCATTTAAATCTTTGAATGTTTCATCTACATTTTATGAATCAATTTCCAAATTCTAAGTCAATTGAAATCCTAAAGATACTAAATATTCGTCTGTATAATCTCTATTATAACTTAAATGATTTACTATTCGGATAAATTGGCGACAATTATTTTTAGTGCTCCCTCTTATATACTATTCAAACATTCTCTCGTTCTTGATTTCATTGTATTACGATATGGAAATTTGATTCTATTATTTAATCTAACTGAAGTGAAACGACTGGATATTTTATTGATGTTAGGTTACAAGAATACAAATGGACATCTAATTCAATTAATTATTGATATAATTACTAAATGAAGTTGTGAGTCCATTCACAAATTTCACACACATTTCCAGATCCTTTAAATTAAGGATTAAACAACAATCTATCTCTCTTCATACAAAATATTTCATATTCTGAATCATTTTCACTAATTACATTAATGAAATCCTCATAACTATTGAAAACTTCGAATAAATAAGTACTCAATATATGCCATTTATGTGAATTTTAAAGCCCTTACTTTGTATTCATATGGCTGCTGTGTGATGAATTCCCTCTCTCCTAATACTGCTCTAAAATTAGATCCATATGCATTACCCAGAACTGACCTTCTTGAGAAAAGTCTCAGTGGCTTCATAATAGTCGTTTTCATCTAGTTAAATTCATACATTTAAATTACTCTTGTGATCAGCTACAAATTCCAAGGCTCCTGAAAGTACAAACCAAACTTTTCTAGGTTGATCGAATCGAGAATACAGAACCTCCTCAGGCAACACTTTCTTCTCCTTGACGAATTAACATAAATTATTGATGGTTAATTCTTTAAAGTTTTCTCTGAGGAATCTTGACTTCTTAAGCGTATTGCAATATAAATCAGTCAGCACTTCCTCTCTTAAATGCTTGGTTAATTGACTGATGAATATTTCTGCGTGGCTGTCCTCTTCTTGTTCCAGTTGGAAAAAGTATTCAAAATACTTCTTGACCTAGGACATTAAGGGAACTCTTACTTTTAATGATAGATTTAGATTGAGACCTCTTTTTCTAATATGCGAATGAATTTGGCGTAGTTTAAATTTATAGATAGTCTTCTTGTCAGACATCTGTTTAAATATATTGCCAATATTTGAAATCGAATAACCAAACACTCCACAAAGCAACAACGTTACAATAATTACGAATATCCTTTCAAACGTTGTGACAGGTACAATATCTCCATAGCCAACTGTAACTGTTGTGATTACACTCCAATAAAGAGATATGACATATCTGTCAAACCAATGATAATCAAAGGCCTATCGGTCATAATGAGTAAGCCAATTGTCTGTAATACCAAAGGATTCATATTCTGTTAAGGCAACAAAATGCCATGCACATCCACAGAAGTGACCTGTCAAAACAAGAAAAAAGATAAGTTTTAAAAGATCAACAACAATTTGTATATTTTCCTCATCATATTTATTTATTGTTACCTCCAAATTCAGCATTTCTTCAATGCTTTCCATCAATGGTGCCAACCTCGTCAATCTAAGTAACAAGGTATATCTAACGAATGGTATATCCAAATTAGACATTAAAAATGGTATTACTACAATTAAATCCCAAAAGAAATTGTCTTTTAGATAATGTTTCACTATTGACTTTCTATCCTCATGCATCAATCCCTTATCATAATAGGCTGTGTTAAAATTAATAATGATTTCAGCCACAAAAATCCATGATGGCAGCAAATCAAATAAGTATTCAAACACACCTGAAGTCGAAATATTGAAACTGATGTTTATGGGGATGTAAAATATGTTCATCACTATGAAGAGCAATAACAAAATATCCCAAATTATTTTAAATTTGCTATCTGGTCGTATAACAATGATATTCCTGCTCAAGAAATCTTAACAATTTTCCAAACAATGTAGTAGTCTCGTCGCTCTTTTCTGAAAATTATATTTCAAAATTAAAAACTAATTATTAAGATTTTTAATACTAAACTAGGCTATTACTTAATTTAACGAGAAATTAAGATAAATTCAAAATTACTAGACACATCTCCTATAACAGAAAATATTTTCCTTGTTAACAGTCTAAACTTTATGGTTTCAGTTTTTGTCTTTAGCTATTAGATAAATCTGGATACTAATCGTATTATTATAAATCCCTTCACTGCCCATACATCATTAAATCTGAAAATCACATTAATTTTTACCCAATTTTCCCTTTATTTATTCCGCTATTCCTTTTGGATGAAAGCTCGTTAGTTTGATTACTCCTTTGCTGAATTAATTCCTTGTTCTTTCTCATTTTATCTTCCTCCAATTCAAATTATTGCACAAAACTCTAGTATTTATCAATTTTGGAACTTGATTTTACTCCTTAAACTTATAAATTGTATGTCGAATCAATTATTAATCCAGTATTCACTTTTTTCAAAGGGCTTAAAGTTCCCTTTTGATTTTTCTAAATACTAACACTTCTCTAGTGGCGAATTAACGAATTCGTTCTTGACTTTACAGATTCTTAATCATATCTGTTATCACTTAAATGATCTGATTAATAATTTACCTGACGCTACTCAAATATGGATCATCGTCTGAACCTTCTTCTTTTTGCCCATCTTTCAATGCCCTAAAATTATTTCTTTCGAAAATATTTCTCTTATCTTTCAATGCCTCATCCATCGGCTGCTCATGCCCATTATCATTAGAGTAAATTGGTAGTAGTTCCTCAGATCGAGGAGACGAGATATTCTAACTATAGAGAGGATTATCTATGCCAAAGAACGGACTCTCCTTTTTTTTCATTATTTAATTTTATATACATAATTTCTATATAGGCAAATCTTTAGATATGAATTATCACTAAATGAAAATGCTTATTCAAAAGAAATGAAAATTAAATATTATCAAATTTCACTTCTGCCTAATCGAAACTTATTATTATAATATATTTATGCCTCCAATAAATCAAAGATAAATAAATTACACCATTCTCGATCTGTTAATCCATATCAAGTCGACTGAATAATTACATTTAAATCACCTTTAAATTAATATTAATAAATAATATTTACAAAGCTATTGGTAATTAAATATTGTATTTTATTTATTGAATCAATATACGAAAAGCATTTATGATACCAAATTTATTGCCAGGTTTTTAGGCGCATTTCAACAAATCTTATATTTTTTTAGATTTAATTCTTAACACAAATTTCAAATTTAGGACTACGGTTCTATATAGAAATATAATGTTATTGTTATTAAAAAGGGAGATTGTTAAAATTAATCAGTTCGATTAATTTTAGAACTATCCAGACTTTACTAAGTACTGTAATTTAATTAAAGTAAACAACTTAAATAATTTTCAAAATATTTAAATAAATATCTTTAATTATAGCAACATCCACATGGTATTTAGGTCTTTGCATCCTGTGTATAGTGTAATACTTAAATTATGTAACACATTACCCTCACGAATCACATAATATAAAGTTAACTAATTACTTAAGATGAATGAAATGAAATCAAATATTGAAATAAATTATAATTATTCATTCTTTATAAAATACATAACAGAATTGCAAACTTCATTAATAGATGCAATACTACTATTGGTTTTCTGTTAAGCACATTGGTGAATTTCAATGCAGCAACTAGTAAATAGCGTAATTACCCTGCCCATATTAATACTTATTTAAAAATTATTATTCTTTTTGCATTAAGACAATATAGTTCTAATTAGTCTTTACAGGATTATTGATCTTGATATTTAATTTAAATAGAGAATTCATAAATTACCTGTTCATTTTCACATTAGAAAATAGTTAACATTGTTAATCAAATATTATTTTACATGATCAGTAGGGACATTCTTAGATTTTACCCCAAAATACATGATACTTTACAAATTACATTAATTTTAATAATTTGTAATGTCTACTCCATCGTATTTAGTCTTTATCGGACTTATCCATTTTGAGAAGAAGGATTAAGAGAGAAAAATATTAAAGAAGGTAAGCTTAGCTTAAGTAGATGATAATGACATAATGGAGTATTTGAGAAATGAATAGGAATACGAGAGAAAGAGGAACAAAGCTCAATCTCCCTTTTTGCATAGATTAGAGTAAAGTCCTGAGTATATATTGGTATTGTAGCCATCAGCAATGAATCAAGCGAGTTAAACATTAAGAGGACTAGAGGATCACATATCGTTGCACTTGCTTACTGAATTGCCTGAAGANCACTAAATGAAAATGCTTATTCAAAAGAAATGAAAATTAAATATTATCAAATTTCACTTCTGCCTAATCGAAACTTATTATTATAATATATTTATGCCTCCAATAAATCAAAGATAAATAAATTACACCATTCTCGATCTGTTAATCCATATCAAGTCGACTGAATAATTACATTTAAATCACCTTTAAATTAATATTAATAAATAATATTTACAAAGCTATTGGTAATTAAATATTGTATTTTATTTATTGAATCAATATACGAAAAGCATTTATGATACCAAATTTATTGCCAGGTTTTTAGGCGCATTTCAACAAATCTTATATTTTTTTAGATTTAATTCTTAACACAAATTTCAAATTTAGGACTACGGTTCTATATAGAAATATAATGTTATTGTTATTAAAAAGGGAGATTGTTAAAATTAATCAGTTCGATTAATTTTAGAACTATCCAGACTTTACTAAGTACTGTAATTTAATTAAAGTAAACAACTTAAATAATTTTCAAAATATTTAAATAAATATCTTTAATTATAGCAACATCCACATGGTATTTAGGTCTTTGCATCCTGTGTATAGTGTAATACTTAAATTATGTAACACATTACCCTCACGAATCACATAATATAAAGTTAACTAATTACTTAAGATGAATGAAATGAAATCAAATATTGAAATAAATTATAATTATTCATTCTTTATAAAATACATAACAGAATTGCAAACTTCATTAATAGATGCAATACTACTATTGGTTTTCTGTTAAGCACATTGGTGAATTTCAATGCAGCAACTAGTAAATAGCGTAATTACCCTGCCCATATTAATACTTATTTAAAAATTATTATTCTTTTTGCATTAAGACAATATAGTTCTAATTAGTCTTTACAGGATTATTGATCTTGATATTTAATTTAAATAGAGAATTCATAAATTACCTGTTCATTTTCACATTAGAAAATAGTTAACATTGTTAATCAAATATTATTTTACATGATCAGTAGGGACATTCTTAGATTTTACCCCAAAATACATGATACTTTACAAATTACATTAATTTTAATAATTTGTAATGTCTACTCCATCGTATTTAGTCTTTATCGGACTTATCCATTTTGAGAAGAAGGATTAAGAGAGAAAAATATTAAAGAAGGTAAGCTTAGCTTAAGTAGATGATAATGACATAATGGAGTATTTGAGAAATGAATAGGAATACGAGAGAAAGAGGAACAAAGCTCAATCTCCCTTTTTGCATAGATTAGAGTAAAGTCCTGAGTATATATTGGTATTGTAGCCATCAGCAATGAATCAAGCGAGTTAAACATTAAGAGGACTAGAGGATCACATATCGTTGCACTTGCTTACTGAATTGCCTGAAGAGGAATGGAAATAGAGAGCAATAAAAATACTGTTGACTTGGAATCTGTCAGAAAGGAAGGAATTAGAGGAATTTGTCAAAGGCAGTGAGCAAGTTGAGAAACACTTTATGGAATTTGGAGTTTTCTTTTTAGTATCTGCGGTTATTGGATATGTGATGATATTGGTGATGAAACATATGATTTGAGGAAGAATAGACATTTATAATTTTAGAACAATATTGAATTCAACAGCATCCTCCTTCTTTTTTCTTTTTTTTATTTTAGTCTTCTACAGTAACTTTGACACTAGGATTTTAGGGCCTTTCTGCTTTCTTACCTTCAACTAATTTGTTTTGTTCTTCATATAAAATCTGCTCAGCAATCGAGACAAACAATTCCTGGATTCCCTTGTTCTCCTTGCAACTGGTGAGCTTGAGAGAAGCCCCAATTTGCTAGAATAAGCATTTCTAATTACTTAGGCATAATTGTTTGCTTCATCATATGACACTTTCTCGTCTTCGATCAAATCATTTTTATTTCCCACTAGAACTTAGACTAAAAGTGTAATAGGAGATCATACTTATCTTTTTAGGGCCATGAGCTTTTAATTCGTTAACCCATGATTTCAGCACATCAAAGGAATCCTTATGTGTAATATCGTAAACTATCAATGCAACTTGAGCCTCTAAAAATAAATGAGCACAAAACCTCTATAGTACAAGGGAGTGAGTGACTTGTACTTTTCTTGTCCAGCAGTGTCCCAAATCTGAAATTTAAAATTGATTCCATTGACTTCTATTGTTCTAGCCATAAAAGCTGCTCCCAAAGTGGATTCGTGAGTGACTTTAAATATATCTGAACAGAATCTAAGCACAATCGAACTCTTGCCTACTCCTGAATCTCCTAACAATACGACCTTAACTTCACGATTCATTATTTAATTAATTGAACAATGTTATAGAATATAAAAATAAAAGTCCTCATAAAAAAATGTGGAATAGCCGTAAATTACATCAAAACCAAGAATTGTTGAGTTCATGAATGATCATTCCATTATTACTAACTATTTTAATCACAAAAAAGATTTTAAACTTAAATGATTTATAAGTAATTATAAATTTGAATATTCCTAGAAATTAATATTGGCATGCCATTTAGAACATTTCATATTGATGATTACTAAAGATACAGTGTAAAAATTAAATTCTAATGATTTGATTATAAAATATCTAATAAATTAACTTATGATATTATATAGAGAATATAATTGATTTGAAGAATCAATTCATGGATGATAATTTGAATCTGATTCTATGAATTAAGATGATCTCTTTAATTATGAAATGATAATTAAGTATTAGATTTTTCTTTTATCACTTAAATTTTTCACAATTTCATGATGATAGAAAAATAATTAATCTATTGAATTCTTACAAATATTATTTAAATTAATTAATATATATTTATATATTCAAATAGTCTTAAATAATTAAATAAGTTCTTGTTGATTATTTAGATAATAATTCGCATATGATGGCATAAGTCCCTGGGAAACTGAAAATAGACTAGCATTCTATTAGATACAACAAAAAATATACTTCACTAAAATACTTTCTACTCTAAGTAATAACTTTAAAGTGAGAGAAGATATCCTCGTTTTGTATTCCCCTTGCTATAATAAGTGCGAAATCCAATTTGCCTCTTTATAAATTCTCCTTCTGCATAATGATTTCCAAAATCATTCCTTTATTTAGATTTTTAGGACTTACTTCTACTGAATGAGATCCTACAATTAATTAGAATGTTGGGTATCTATCCACTATGATTTAGACATTTTCAACTAAATCCTAGATCAGCTACTAAACGTATTCATCTGAATTCATAAGCTTCAAGCATATGGAACTTTCTTTGGACTCAATCAAAGCTCCTTCTGTTTTCATGGCATATTAATTGAATATCTTTCTTACTTGAATTAGACATTAGTAATCTAAATTAAATAGGGCATTCCACTGCAATTAGTCTGATCTATACAAAAACCCATTTTCTGCAAATAGACTTAAATTGTAGCCACTAAAAATAGAGGACAATTCATTAAATAATCCACCTGAAACAATATACACTTTATTCATCTTTGACAATTCCTTAATTCTGTTTAATAGCTCTTATTCAACTTATCTAATCATAACTGCCTCCTCATTCCCTTTCAAATGAGGACTCTGCTGAAGGAAATGCTTGGGCTTGTAATCAATAAAATATTAATCTGTAACAATTGTTTCAAACTCTATTATAATGATTGGCTTAGTCGATTACTAATAAGCTTTTGCCACAGAGGAGATATCCAGATGCTGAAATTTCAAATTATGTGCCACTTTAATCATCAATCCATCTTGAATACGTAGACTAATCTAAGCAAATTTGAGCATTGAAACAGCCTTCTTGGCATCAATAAAAATATTTTCAATCCATTAAGATGTTTAGTTTTGTCGAATTATCAATTAATCTTTATCGACTTTAAGTTTGTGCAATTAAGTAAATTAATATTATTTGTTTATTACTTTTATTAATAAATCTGTGAACTTCTCTTTAAAATCAATATGTGAAAATACATTGAATGTTACTATCGATTGAAAGCCACGATGATAACAACTTGAATCACTAATCAAAGCAATGGGCATTTTGTTTAAATGAATATACTCCGATAAATAAAAGTCATGTCTACCACTATATTTACATTGCAGATAAATCTTAGCCTTTGCAAATACTTTGAAACGATGTTTAGAATCCATTTCCTCTTCGATCAATTTGACAAAGTAGTTGTCTCTATTGGGGTATAGATATGAATTGATTTGTTCAATCTGATTTAACAATGAGACCCTTTGCTCATTAATATCGTGATCTTCAAAGGCCTTCAAGAGAATCTGTATGTATTTGATATGAGGATTCTTCTAGATGATATCAGTTTCCTTAATGAATTTGAAAAGATGCCTAAATTTCAATTCAACTCCTGATTGATGTCCATATGTATCGACTCCCACTATTTTTATTTCGTTATTATTTTCTACCTTATCATAATGAAGTTCAGCAATTTCATATCGTTTTTCTCCACAAGCTGTGAGTTCTATGCCTGGATTTTGTAGTTTCACCAAGATTTCTCTTCCATAGTAGTGGAATGCCAAATTACCTTTAAATGAGTGATACTCAACCTTATAGATATCCTTCATAACAGATAAGAATTCATTAGCAATTTTATAATTACTAAAACAAATGACATTGGCATGTAGAAATGAGTTGATGATTTCATGGAAGAATGGAATCAATTTCAAATTGTCTAGATGAGGGAACAATCTATTGTAAAAGATCACCAAAGGCAATCTAGTAAATTTGTGATTCACAAAGATTTGACTCAAATATAATAATCTATAATCTGCTATCAATGCAATTGAATGTTGATTGATGTGAGGTTTGATTTCCTGAAAGAATTCATCATTGAGCTTTTTAAAGCATTCTTGCATGTAATCTGAATACTCAAGGGCTGCTAGTTTTGTAATACTGACATCATTGTTCATAATGGGTTGATATAATTTGCTACAGAATTCTTTGTTGAAATAATCCAAGCATTCCTGATTGACAAACACAGGAACAAATCCAAATTGTTTTAAAAAATTCTTTAATTCCACACTTTAGTCAGTAATCTTCTCTCCTCCTTCATTCAATACTATGGGCAATCCAAACCAAATTCTTTTAAATTGTTGAACTCCGAATAACAAATGCAAACTAAATGAGTGCTGGAAATTACTCCTTTAGTAAGATCCATCAGTTTATTTAATTACAACTATAGGTAGATAATATGTTGATATCAATAATGAATCCTCGTCACTAAGTCCAATCAAGGGGTCATCATTTATTTCATATAAAATGTCATTTTAACTAAAATTCTTCAGTTGTCTGAATTTGGGATTCTCCGTATACAATTAATAAAGTGATGAAAATTCGCTATCCTTATTTAGCTCCACAGTTGGTTTCTTTTTGTCCTCCTCCGATTCCGAGCTGTCTGAATCGTTTCTGTTTGCTATCTCCTTGGCAAAACTATCAAACCCATCCACAGAGTCCTCTGAATCGTCATTGGCCTAATTGAATGGATCGAATTGATCACTCAATCTTGGCTTAGTATATTAACTCAATATTTCCTGATCCAAACACACACTCGACTTAAACCTCTTTTCAATGTATTCCTTCCCTTCGTAATTATTCCATTCGGCTGTCAATATTACTTTCCAGTATCTGCACCTGTACTTTCGATTCTAAGGTAATTCTTCCCAAATTGCTGTTCCATTATCTAAAATCACAAATTTAAACTCCAACTTAGTCCCTGAATCAATCACAACACCTTACCTTGCTTAAATGCTATAGGTTTTTCAGCCACCCATTTCGGAAATATTTAAGGATCTGTTTTTAGAATGCACGTGCATTTCTCATTCCAACTACCCAATTCAGCTTGGTTGCCAATTACTCCAACAACCTAAGAAAGAGTTGTTCTTACAGACACATGAAATAATACTGAACATTCTGTATTCATTTTATTATTTATTAATGATATCATATTTCTGTTACAAAGTCAATCTCATACATATTTATATTCAATTAGCTAATTTTATATATGTTTATTTCAATTAATCAGCTAACAAAATCTTTGAAACCCTTTTGTATAACAAAGATGATTGAATCTCAAAATTATTGAATTATCCAATTGGAATCATTACTTTTTCAGATTTTCACATTTTTTAAAATAATTAAAATTTCTAATAAGATTTTGGGAGTGAGATAAAATTAGACAAGAATTTATTGTTCACTTTATTTAATTATAGAACTTTCTTTTTACTAGCTTTACTTCATTTTTTAATGTTTAAAATGTTAATAAATATTTATGTTAATTTTTTCATCAACATCCATTAATAATTGCTTAAAATAAAAGAAGTAAAAAGAATTAATGATTTTAATAGTAGAAAGAATTCTATTATTTTATTTTCTCCATTATTATCCTTTCTAAATTAAATTTTGCTTATTAAACTATTTTGTCTTGCAATTCAACTTATCGTAATTTATTTAATGTTCATAAAACTTACATCCATTTTACCCAATATAATTAAATACACACCTATTTTTTATAATATGGGCCAAGTGCTTTGGGTCCATTTTCTCTATAAAATTATCAATAAACATGAACATGCTATTATCAATAAAAAATACACAAATAAAGAATCACAAAATGGGCTACTTTTCACCCACTGCAGAGAGGATTATTTTGACATCTTCTTCTTGAATGGAGAATGGCGAAGCACCTTGATAGATTGGCAATTCAATATTTGATTAATTTTAACTTTCATTTGTGTGATGATGCTTTTTGTTATCAAAATTATAATTGAAAGTCGCCTCTTCACATGATGGCTCCAACATTTCTGGTTCCATAAGGTCATTAACATTGTTCTTATCACTAATAATAAAAAAGGGGAATAGTTACTTCTATTCTAGTTCAGTATGTCTAGATATAGCATCGTCTGAAAATTGATTCTATTTGTTTGATAGCTTTCTTATGAGGATCCTGCTATATGATTGCCAAGATTTGAAGAGAATCAACACAGTAAGATAATCATGGAGAATATTGAAATTAGCCTTTAATTAAAGTGCCGAACTGATGTTCGATCTTTCAATATGTCTATTTTTCCTGTAATACATTAGACGTAATTGCATTTCTTTGTTGAACTACTTAATTTATTTGATAGAATCGTGACTGCCTTCCTTGAATACATCATCATGGAATTTCACTCTGAACAATTCATAAATCAATTGATTGTATTGAATGTAACCGTGAAGATCGCTATAAATAAATCTAAAGGAATTACCATTTTAATTTAAATGATGATGCAATCTTAGCAACATCCCAAAGATTCTCTTCCTCTCCTCCCCCTAGTGGTTTGCCAATATCTAACAGGAATTTGCATAAGAATTTATAATGCATGGTTTACCCTTGCGTTTCAGAGGAGTACTTGCACCAAATAGTTTTAATTTTATCAATATTTTCTACATAAGATTGAATGGGTGAGTCTTATAATTGGAAAAAGGATTCAAACTGTTCTACCAAACTTAACAAAAAGAGTGTTAAAAGAACATAAGTGGAAAAGAACATGAATAAGAAGAAGTAGATTTGACTAGCAAATGATCCACAATATTTAGGATCTTCCCAACATAATGGATTGTAATGCATTGTGTCTGTCATAACTGTTCTCCAATCATCACCTGATGCACATTTGAAGAGTGTCATCATGGCACTGGCAGCTGTCATAAAGTTAAGTTAGTCATCCAACACTTATCCTTTATCTATTGTACCAAATAACTGACAACCAAATAAAGCAAATACTAGCATTGTGATTATCAAAATAGAAAAGATCTTGCCCAGATATGGCAATGCAAATAGAATCACATTAATCAATCTTTGTAAATTGATAAATCCTTAGAATATCAGTATGATTCTTAGACTTCTTAAGGAGAAGAACAACCTAAGTAATTAGTATCCACTATCATTAGGAGTTGACTTATAATATATCATAATCCAATCCACTGAGTAGTCTGCAACGAAATCTATGATTGCAATCACTATTAAGAAGAAATAAAATCTTCTCCAATAATTATCAAAAAATCTATTCACTCCCAAGGCCAAAAACAATAGGATAATCCAAACTAGATATATTCCACTTAATGCATTATGGACATCATTAATAGCTCTGAAGTACTCATCACTCATTTCTGATGTGAACATCAATAGGATGATGAAATCAACCCACAGAAGTAGAAATAAACATTTCTAAAGTGTTGCACTACTTGTAATATCAGAAGATATCTTTCTTATTCCACTGGTGGGCGGAGTTGAGAATTACGGAAAATCCTTTATTAGCATGGATGATATTTCTTTAAATTCCTTTTGTGATTGTGTGACTTCAGTGTTTTCAATTTCCTTCTGATTTTTCTTGAGATTTGTATAAAGCACTCCTGTGAAAAGACTCAAGAAGAACATTGAGCCAATGAATACAAAAAGCAGGAAGAAGATGTAAGTAACCACATATGAATTGAATCCCTAAGGACCTATCGAAGCCACTTAACTATTCTCAGCAACTTAATAAATTTCTCCCCATCCATCCAAAGAGGCAGTGACAAATAATGTGGGAATGGCAATCGTAATGTTATCGAAATTATGTTTATAATTGACCCATATTTTACCTTCTCCTAGACAAGTTTCTTTATTCACTTCAAAAGCCATTTTATCTTCGCAATATCCAAATTATTATTCGAACAGTATAATGCCATACACTCCAAACATTATCCACACTGACAATAGAGTGATTAAGACATTGAAAATATCAAACAAGGATCTTCCAATGGCCTCTCTTAAATTTGTCAACCAACTCAATCTATACATCAATTTCATTGGTCTGAAGTAGCCTAAATAAAGTAGGATTTTGAGGATAGGCTTGAAATCTTCAGGGTTACTACCAAATGCTATGATATTAGAGACCTGATAGATGAAGTCAAAAACTTAGAATGTGGATACTAAGTAGGACCCTTTATCCATGAACAATCCCTTTGCAATTACATTGAATATTGTATCTGCCAATTGAATTATATTGCATGAGAATTACAGAGTGTCTGGATATGATTCACTATCTGTTTCGTAATCATTATAGGTTTTTAGGATGAAAGCTATGATAGACAGATACGTAACAATGTCCATTAAATAGACGTAAATCATGGATGTAGTTATGTGAGTTAATACAGTACGAAATAGATTGTCTTTCTCAAATAAAAACAGAGATGATTCGCATTCTATGCCCTCATATAATTTTGGTGTTCTTGATAACAGTCTTCTATTAATTTATTCTAAAAATATCTTGATTTTAATATTTACTTATTGACTTAATCAAGTTGTAGATTAAATTGGGCTTAGATTTATTGAATTCCTCATTGGTCAAATTCTTATTCGTATATATTGATTCCTAAAAGGTCTCAACTAATTGCATTTGTATTTCATCCGAGTTCTGTGTAATATGCTACAATTATTCATTAATGTTCTTCTGCATTTCATTTTGAATTTCCTCCACTGGCTAATCTAAATACTTTCCAAATCCATCCAATAACACAGCCATAACCAAACCATAAGTTAGATAATTTAAAATTAGAACCATGGAAAATGAGTAGATGATGGAGAATGTAAAATCAATGTCACTTCCAATCACGTACACACCATACCAATCATCATTTGTCATAATATTGAAGATTGTCATAAATGACTTAAAGATATTCTCATAAGAATGCAATTATCCAAGGGTATCATTTTAATCGAATTTCCCGACATACATTTCCATTCCAGTTAGAGCATACATGAATATCACTAAAAACATAAGGAAAGCCAAATAGATGTATTAATCGAAAGTCATAGAAGCAATATGACCAATTGTGATTGCCATCTTATTATATTTAAGACATCTATAGAACAGCAAACATTTTGTGCCTCTAATTAATCTCAAATTCTATTCACTCAAATAGGTTGTCATATAATCACTGATAGTCAATTCAAAAAAGTTGATGATCACAATTGCAGATTATAATATTAGATCAGGAGACCTTAAAAGATCTTTGAATCTAAAACCCAAAAATCTCATTACTAATTCAAAGCATAAAAATATTGTTGAGATATCCTCCACTTTTGATATTATATTGATATCAACAATTCCTTAAAGCGATAGAAATGTAAAATTGTTAAGGATTACTAAATCAAAGAAGAATTGACTAAATCTGCTAGTAGCTATTATATATGCATATTTTTATGACATTATGTACAATCCTGTAACTCCATTAATCCAAATAATTATATCAACTTTGTTAAGCAATTATAAAACTATATGAAAATACAGCAATCTCTTTTTATTGGTTTCAAGCACATCTTTACCAGACCAATTATGTTTGGTAATGGTTTTGTGATTTTAGTACTCCTTCATTCTCATGCCCTAATATTTGAATTTGTTTGACACCTGATTGTGAATTACTAAGGGGATTTTTTAATTCATTTTTTCATTAACTCTTTTATAATTTAGGTAATATCCTTAAACATATATACAATGCTATCCATTCTTTATAATAGAAAATTCTTTATATTAGGTTTCAACAATCTAAGAGGCTTTCATTTTATTAAATAATTTATGCCCAACCTTCTCAAAATTAATAATAGAATCTGTGCTCTACTCAGCCTTCTTTTGATAAATGCTCAGAAAGGGAGATGAGGCCTTGCTCTTTGTAGGAAAACTAGATTTTGCAAATTGAGTTTTGCCATACAGTTTTTCCTTCTCAATTTTCATCTGATGATAAACCATCTTGAATTTTGTGGATCTTATCTTTTCTAGATTAAAGTTCTTTTCCTTCTGAATTAAATCCTACTAATCACTAAATATAATCAAAATGATAATTACATAAATCTGAGTAAGATTTCATTCTACGAACTATAATTTTGCTTGACATCCTTATTCACTTGGGGTTATAATCTTGAAAATTTGATAGTTTTTAATTTTTCAATAACCTTCATTTTGAATTCATTATCAGTATAATTTAGTGCTTTGATTTTCTTAATTAAGGCATCTAGAAGATCAAATTTTGGTAGTAGGAACCTCTTCCAAGTGAAACTGGTTATATATTCAATGAATGGTAGCTTAACGATTCCACTTTCCATTTGTTTTTATTTGGCAGATAAGGTTCTTTCAGTTTGATATGACTTCTTAAAGCTAGAAGGATCTTCAATAGAATATTTGACAAATGATGCTTCATTTAAATTGGTTCTGTATTTCTTGATCACCTTATAGATACCAATTTCTCGCAAATGTGCAACATCCAGTATTTCTATTAGATTTTTTTCTGGATATTCCTCCTCTTCCTTCAATCTCTTCTAGATTTCCCTCTCCTCTTCTCTTTTCTTATTTTCTTGCGTTGCCTCTGAATAGTGAACCTTCAACACTGCAATTACGATGTTGAATCCGAAGAACCCTCCAATAAAGATGATCAGCAAATAATAGAGCCAAACCCAGGGATGAAATATCCTCATTGTAAAAAACATCACCCAACTCCAATCATCCATTGTAATTGTTCTTAGAATTTATCCTAAAGAACCAATCAAATTATTGAATGAAGTTGGCATCTTGGGAGTGTAATCACTATACATACAATGCATATCGGAGGGACATTGACCTTAATTGCATTATATCCAACCCTCAGTTTCATCGCCATTCTCATATTGACATCTATAATTGAACAACCCTTGGAATAGAAATATACCCATCGATGCGAATATCAACGAAAACAGTATCACTATCATCAATGCTTCCACCAAGAACCTAAATGATTATCTCAGTGCAGTCATCATTACATTCAATCCCTGGAATATATTTGTCAGATACATCAATAGTGTTACCAATCTTAGAGGTGATATATCAATGATGATGATTTCAGGGTAGTAAAGATTCATTGCAGTGAAGAATATTAGTACAAAATCATAGATGTTTTCCATATTTCTAAAAAAAGCATAATCATTAAAAAACACTCCACTTGCTATAATTCTCAATCCTATTTCAGAAATAAATAGTATCATAACTACTTCCTCTATGTTATCAGTATCTGTTCTTCCGTTTGTTTTTACAACTATATACAATACAACATTAAATAAGATCAGAAAAGTCATCAAAATTTTGAATAAAAAATTGTTAACTATTTTTCTTGCCATTATTGGAATACTGTATATGAGATATATAAAGCTCTTTCGTAGATTTAACAATGGTAAATTGTCATTATATTTCTTTTTAAATTTAAAAAAATTACTTGCAACTCATAATTTAATCTTTGAAATTCCGATAGTTTCACTAATCTTACATAGTATGGGTCCTTCATGGTATTCCTTTTTATTAGTTTTGCATGCCTACGTGTGATTTTCTCGTATTCGATATCATTTAAATTTTCAGGTTCTACCTCTTATTAGGGATTTAGTGCATTTAGGAGATCCATAGCAATTCTTAGTTTTTCAGGATCTGGCTCTGGTTTTTATTACATATTGAGTTGATGGGAGGCTGAAGATATAAATTTGGAATAGACATGGATGGATTTATGTAGTGTGTGATTATTAACTCTGTCTTCAACCATGTCTTCTCTTTCAATGCTTTGGAGTGAATACTCAGACATTTTTGAATTATCGAAATTTCTCTCATAATTACTGTCTTATGGGAATGTTTCCCTACACAATCAATCACTTAATTTACTCGTGAAATTGAATTCGATTAAATTGATCAAAAGAACCCTATCGTTATTTGTAACCTCGGTCAAAACTTGAGTTCTTGAATTTTTCTGGTGTTTAATGCTCATTTGAATGATGACTACTATATATAAATAAAATAACTGATCGTTATCCACATGACTCTGCACTACCTATTTCTGTTTGTTGTCATCTTCAATGTATTTGAATGACTCTACTTTTCTCATAAGAAAAATATATTAAAATATTAAAATAATATAATAATGCCATTAAAATGCATAATCACTTACAAAATGTGGATTTAATCAAATCGTGCAATTACTTAAAGTCATCTTTAACTTCATTTGTTTCGACACATTCAATCTTATGTTGTTCACACTCTTGTTCAATCTTCTTAGAGTCAATCAAATTAAAGACTTATTTCTGAAAACGCTTGCTTATTGAATGTTTCTAAACTCATATTTTGGATACATCATACAGCCTCTAAGAACTCATCAACATTCTAACTCATCTCTTCAGCCAATACCCTCTTTCTATTCGTTGACTATTGCATCTATTTTAAAATCTCATTTCTAGTTTAAGTAATCTGGAGTGAAATGTCATGCAATTTCTGTCCCTTCAACCCATCCAGGCAATCATTTACATTCAAGTATGTTCCTAATATTCTGACAATTGAGTACTTTGAGTATTGATTGGTAAAAACATAAATATATTATATCAAACTAAATATTATTAAATTATACCCTGTAAAGATTTAATATAAGAAAGAACAAGAAAGACTATTATACTAAAAGTTGAACTCTATTTGAATACAATACGAGGACCTACTCATTATTCATTAGTTTTATTACAATGCCTAAAAAGATGATTAGAGGATTATAATTTAAAATTTAAGAAAACACGAAATACCATGGAGATACATAAAATTTAATTGAAATTGAATGATTATGATAAGATGGTATTGACTGAATTATATAATTCTTATTTATGTCAAAACTATTTTAATAGTAATGGATAGCTAGTATATGTATTGAAATCTTGAGAGATTTAAATGGAAAAAATGTTTTTAATTTGTGATGATTGATGTTTTGAAGTGTTCAGAAAGCGATACTATATTTGATGGATGTAGTTAAAATTAAATTTACAATCAGGAAAGATTTATTCTAATTTTAGAATGATTAAAGCAAATATGACAAATGTTTAATGGTTCTGGGAGTTTAGCTAAATTGTTATGTATCTAAATTTAGAAAATGCTTATATTAAAGTTTTATTTAAAATCATGTTATATATGATTTATTATATTTAATTTTATAATGGACAAACAAAAATTGAGAGTTACTTGGCAATCAAGTGATTGGAGTTTCAGTAGACAGAAGAAGTTACAAGAATTACAACACACCTAATCTACTTTGAGATTCCAACTATAAAGAGCCTAAACAGAGTCTAAAGAAACTCTAAAGAGAATCACAAATCCTCCCAATTTCCATGAGTATGTACAATTAATCGAAAAAAAATATCGGATACAGAATTTGAGTAGACCCTAAAGAAAGGTTGGAAATGGAAGAAGCCTCGTTCAAATTTGTTCCACAAAATCTCTAGTTCTATACGAATCGTTACCTAATCTCAATAAATGAATTGACAAATACAATCGATAATAATATAATATAAAAAATACAATTTAAATGTAGTCAATTGAAGATCAAATAAAATCTTGTATGTCTATGGGGAATCTAACCTAGGATATTACACTAGAATTACGCACAGAAGAGTAATCAGAATCAGCAGAGTAATAAATCTAAATGCAATAAGAATGGAATTAGGATCAAGCCGAATTTAAACAAAATCAACAATAACCTTCAAAGCAAGATATCAATCAGGCCTAGTAATAAGTCTGGAATTGCCCCATTTTTAATTCGGCAGCCATAACTAAGGAATTGTATCAAAACCTAAGTGAAACCTATGATCTTTTAAATAAACTTCACTTGAAGGCTATTGATTTGACCAAAAGATTTAATGCCGTAGCAAATTTCCTTCCCAGATTTTTCTAAGCCATAAAGATCACATTTATTGGTATATTATAGCTTGAACAAATTGGTCTTATCACAAATGACAAGGACATCATGAGTAAATCAGTCAATGAAGAATATAACATAAATGTGAATAAAAAGAAATTCAACGAAAAGTCAGTGTGCATATTATTGGAATTCGCAATCACTCATATTCTATCGCAAATTTCAGTATTGTTTGAAACTATTGAAGTGAGAAGAGAGAAACAAGAGTTAAGACAATTAGTTATTTACTTATCTAAATTGCAAACCTGTCTGGAACAATTGCCAGGAGCTGCAAGTTTGGATATCAATGATATATTTTGCTTCGATAGAGGACACTATAGATGGTAAAGTCTAAATAGTATAACTCAAGAAGTCCTGTTGGGTTCAAGAGAATAAATATCAAAATCCTATGGGAAAGTGGCTGAAGGTATATTGTTGGCCAATGCCATGATTTCAAAGGGATCTGAGTTTAATAATGAGGCTGCTAAGAATGTAATGTAAGGATTTGGAGCATTGTATTATTTGGTAGCCAAAAAGGATGCGAAATTGAAGGCTGATCATTTCATGGCTGAACCAAATAAGCATCTAGCATTTAAAGCTTGGAATTTGGGAGAAAGTGGTTTTCTTAGTAAATTACTACCTCTTCTCTTTCCCATGATTACTTACAACAAAAAGATTTATATTCCCTAACTCTTTAAAAGGTTAGTGGAAGACAACATACTTCGATAATACAAGGAAAACAAGATTAATTAGATTTAGAATGATTGTGGAGAATGTGTAAGTACAAACCTACCAAAGAGTCCAGAATTATTTACCAAAGATAAGGAAAGAATACCTGTTAGAATCTTATGTCATTATAATCTACAAGAGATTCAAACTGACAGTTTTGTCTAGCAGTCTCTAAAGTTGATACAAGGGTAAAAAGTATTTGACAGGATAATTATTCATATTCATGGAGGAGGATTTGTGAGTATGTCATCTAGATCACATCAAACATACACTAGAAAATGGGCTAAAAATTTATAAGTGCCAATATTTTCGATTGACTACAGAAAGGCTCCTGAGAGTCCTTATCCCTTTGGTTTAGATGATTGCTGGTAGGCCTATATGTTCATAATGAATTATATAGATAAGTATTTCAATGTTAAGCCTAAGAAGGTTGTCTTAGTTGGAGATAGTGCTGGAGGTAATTTAGTAGCTGCTTTGACGGTTTAAATCATTAAATCTGGGGCAAGAATCCCAGATGGCATTTTAATGGCTTATCCGGCATTATGTTTGGATATCAAGTAATTTACTCCCAGTTTACTGATTTCATTAAATGACCCATTATTACACCATACTGTATTGAAATTGTGCATTTCATCTTATGTTCCTTAAAAATTTGATGCAGCATCAGATCCATTGATGTCACCATCAATTGCGAGCGATGAAATTCTTTCAAGATTTCCTAAAACTCGAATTGTCTTAGGTACTAATGACCCATTGCATGATGAGAGTTTTAGATTAGCCAATAAGTTATCGAAATTAGGAAAAGACATTAAAATTACTGAATATAAATGGATGCCTCATGGATTCTTATAATTTGATGTCGTTTAAGGAATGAAAGAATCTGAACAAACAGTTCTTGACGCTCAAAATATTCTTCAAGATCTACTCACCTGTTGACGTATAGTTATTGATATAAATCTTGAAACATAAATAAATGTAAAATTAATGACAAAATAATGGAGTCAAACATATAATCTTAACAATGCCTATTTATTTTTTTATCTGAAGTCTTCAAATTGAAAGCTTTTACGAGGTTATCGCAATTGAAGTTTATTAGCTACATGATCCACCGTATCTGAAATTTTCTCGGGTATAGGTGGCAATTAAGGTGATTTCTCTGAATTTCCTAAAAGTAAAATTATTCGATTCTTACTTTGACAGTAATTCGTCTAAAATGTATGCGATCGATCCCTTCCTGAGTATTGTTAACTCTCCTCTTTGGTAATCTCCTCAATTTAAGTAGGATTGCATGATTTGTTCTGTCTTTCTCTTTCAGATCGCAACTTTCTTGCAATCTCTTGGTTTCGAACTGCTTAACTCTGCAAACTCCCAGGAACTGCTCCATCAATATCCTTTGTATTTAATAGTCTGTCACACCAAAGTTGCCCTTATCAAAACTAACTAGTACTTAGATTAATCTGGATAATTTCCAAAGGCCATGTGCTATTTAACATCTCCTTTTGGAAAATCATTATTTTTTTTATTTCTTTTATCGAAGTATTAGTTTTCTGAAGGCAGGCGTATATTACAAAAGTGATGAATATCATTTTCATATCGTCTTCTACCAAATCGAATATCTTGAGGAGGCATTTATTTTCTATATTCATTATTTGTAATACTATAATCTAATCTATTCTTCTTAGGTCAATTGATTGGGCAACAATCTATTCATGTAGACATTCCTATGTTTTGGTTGAGCTCCAATAATATCTTCAGTTAACAAAGATCTGTCATATTGCATTGTAGATCTGGCGTATTTACTTTTATATACTTAATTTAATGAGAATAAAATTTTCATTTGCGTACGTGATTTAACAAATTTTTCACATCTCTTAAGGTTTTGAATTCCACAAAGTCCTTGTCCAAATCATCTAGTTTCAGAACCACTGGTTTCAAGACAAATTTCTATGTTAATCGCATATCTTACCTTAGGTAATTTAACTTAATCGATCATGTTAACACTTTAATACAAGCATTTACTTTCCAATTTACAAATCTCAATAGGAATTTTTGGAAATTTAGGATCTATTTAGAATATACTGAAGGGCGTTGATATCCTTATGTAATTCTGGATTTTCAGGAATCCCAAATGTAAATTAGGTTTAAGCTTATGATTTGGATCAGTTATGGTCAAGAATACCTTAATTGGACTCTGATACTTCTGAAAGGCTTTAACTCCCGTAATAGCCTAGGAGTTAATGAGTTGAACTTCTGAAATCCATACGTGAGATGGCTTAATTGATATTTCTTAAACATGTTCAACAGTGATATAATCAATGTCCACTTATCCAAGGGTGTTATCTGCAAATACGGTAACTTCGGCAGTTTAACCAATGTGAAATTATTATTCATTGACATTCACATCCATACTAAGAGTCTATTGATTAATAAAGGCATAAAGATACTCCATAGTTGCTGAATAATGATTCCAATTTTAGTTCCTTGACAAGACTGAATTCCTTAACCTTTGGCATTGATTATCGTATCTCTAAGTTTTTCCTTAGTATTTCTAAATCAAATATGCCATCAGGATTCAATTCCACCTCTAATTGATACTACAACCCTCCCCTCGATTTAATTTATTCGTAATATACAGAAGGCGGAAGATTATTGGACAGCTACAATTCAAATTCAATAACTCCAGTCTAGTTTCTGATTGTTACCAGATCTTCTTCCTCAAGCTTACTTTCGTAAATGCAAAATTCCCTTTAGACAGACTCCCCCTCTATTTCCAATGAGACTTGCCCCCTGATACGAATGATGAGGTTCTTAATAGCATTAATTTTAGATTTATCAATTAGAATCTTGCCAGACACCAATTCTTCTGCGTAATAAAACTTATCAATAGCAATCTAGACACCAGAGTAGCTACTTCCCATAAGATATTTAATTTATAATGTAAATAATATTTTTTATATTAATATTGTGCAATTGATCATAGTTTTACGACCTAACAACTATTTAAATATTTACATCATACAGATGGAATAGATCTTTAATCTGGTTGGTTTCATACTTTAAATCGTTTGATTTGATTCTTCTTTGGAATAAATTGATAGGAATATCGATTCTTAAGTCATTATTGTTGAGGTTGAACAATGTTGAATTGGCTTGTATCCTAATTAAATAATCCACCTTAATTTGTTATCCAGTAGTGGATAGTTCTATTTTGTTATTAAAATCAAAGAGCACAATAGACTTTTTGATTGTCTAAACGATTCCTTGGACAATTCCAGGCAAATGATGTTTGGAAATTTATTCTATGATAACTTTTGGTTCTCTATCATTGATAGTGGTTCTCTTATTCAATGAAATCACGATTTCCTATATGTATTATTTGCTTTCCCTTAGATCCACCTACAATTCCAAGTGAATTGAATCACCAATCGAAAATTCCTCGCCACTATATTTGCATTCCAATTTAGCAATCTAATATCGATTCTCAATAATACTCCTTAATAGGTATGCCAAAATCCTCTCATGGCATGACTATTAGATATGCTTCGACTGATATTTTGTCTCACTGCATATTGGTTTACAATGATGGGCAATTTTTTTAAGACAATCCTATCCAATTTAAGGGTCTCAGCAATCAAAGACATAGAGTAATCGATCTTTAGTTTATAACCCTTTTCTCTTTTCATCGAACCAGGGATGTTGTCAGGTAATGCATAAGTGAATGGAATTGCGATCGTTTTTTAGATTTTCAATTTCTAATCTTCTGGGTTTCGTTCCTCATTGATGTCTTTAAGCATCTTAAATTGAGAATGGAAGACATTAAAATCACTTGATTCAAGACACTCAAAGCCTTTATCCCAAGCTTCCTCGCCTTGTAGATGAATATAGAGTTTAGAAAACTCTTTCAAAGTATCTTGAGAATCCTCTATAATCACCATTCCTCTAATAGATCTGACAAATACCTTGTATAGTTTAGTTCGGAAAATAGAATTTTGAATTGAGTTGGATTTAGATTTTATTTCCCATTAATATGAATACAGAAATTTCAAGAGCAGAACTATTATAATGGGTTAATGATACATTGAAACTCTCCCTCCAAAAGATTGAGCAACTGGGAACAGGAGCAGTCTATTGCCAATTAGTCGATGCCGTTCACCCTGGAAAAGGTTAGCATTTATTTCCTATCAACATTATAGTTGCCCTTGGTAAGATTAATTGGAAAGCAAAACAAGAATACGAGTTTGTTAATAATTTCAAAGTTCTCCAAGTAGCCTTCTCCAAACTTGGAATCCAAAAACCCATCGAAATAGAAAAGTTAACGAAATGCAAATATCAAGATAATCTGGAGTTTCTCTAATGGTTAAAGAAATACATGGATTAACATGTTGTACCCAAAGACTACGACCCTTAAGGCAAAAGGGGAAATGTAGATCTAGATGATTAGCCAACTATTATACCAAAACGAAATCCAGAAAGATCAAGAACTAGTGTAAGAAGAGACACTTTCGGCAGTCCCAATCAGATATAATCAACCAGCATCCCAAAGACCAATTCATTTGCCCATATTGAACCATACCAAAAAAAATAACCTTCCATTTAGGATCTACTTATACAAATAGAAACTCTGAAATAAGAAAGAGATTTCTATTTCTTAAAATTCAAGGAGTTAGACCTCTTTATTGAAGGGGCTTCCCAATTGACATAGGAATAAATGTATAAAGGAATCAAGGATGTCTTATATTGCACTGCTGATAAGTCAGTAATTGTGTTGCCAAATGGTGAACTCGAAGTACAAGGATTACCTCCTTCATCCGAAGAGCAATCCTCATCCTAAGAAGTTATGCAACAAGAAATCGATCTGTGAGTGAATTTTTATATCAGTCTTAAGTTAATTGAATTTGCATTTATATGCAAATATTACTAAATCCAATTTTAATGGTTTAAGATATAGATTCAAGTATTTCACGTGTATTATTAACTTTACTATATTGTTCAAATAAATATCAAAAAAAGATCTTAGTCAGACTTCTTAATATCTTCATATTTTTGATAACATAAATCATTTCTAAACTATTATTATTTTCAATATTTTTATAATTATCATATCTCTCAAATGCATTTAAATTAATATAATTGAATATTGATTAGACTTATATATTCAATTATTTACTATTCACATTAAGAACTAATACTCTCGATTAATTTATCCTATCATAGCAATTTCTTCTTAATTATAGCATTATTGATGTTGTAACTGTTTATAAATATTAAAGTTATTTAATCGACAATTTATAAATTCAAATTAATTTATTTTATCAAGTAAGTTTTCGTAATAAATCTAAATCGTTATATTTAATAATCATAATGTTAAGTATTATATTTAATACATCTGTTCTTTTTCATAAATAGTGTGATAAACATGCGAGATACCATTGGTATTTTATTTTTAATGGATAAATTGTGAGAATATAATAATCTGTTAAGAATAAAATAGTATTTAAATTAATTATAATAAGAAATGCAATAAATTGAAATACCTGATTTAATATTCATTGAAAATATCGATGAAGTACAAAAGTTCGAGGATGCTATTAATTTTTGTTTAAAGAGGAAAAATGAAATCGACAATGTGAATATTAATTTAAACTAAAAAATAAAGAATTACGTAGATGGCGAAGTAACTATGCAAATTATATGCAGGATCCATATTACAGAGAAATTCAAGTTAAAAGTGAAGAGTTACATTCATAGGCACTTAACTGCACAAAAATATTTGAAGTAAGATGATATTGATTAACCATTATTTTAGTAATTCAAACTGCCAACTCATTTAGATTAAGAATTATCAGCATACTAAAAGGAGTATAAATAATTGGAATAATAAATTAAATAGTAGGAGGATAAAAAGAAATGGGGTGCCTCTGAAAAATAGAAATCAAAAGCAAAGTTACTTAAATTAATAGAAGAGATACAATTATCAATTTTAAGTATCAATTGAATAACATAAATTACAAAGATAAACTAGAGTTGCCAGAGCCTGAAAATAAGAGTTGTATCATTTTCAATTGGATTGCTGGATGTTTGATAAAGGCAAAGAAAGGTCCTGTATAATTGGCTGAAGAACTTAAATTGAAGGTGGAGAAAGTATAACTTTAACCTGATTCTATAATCAATTAACCTGCTCCTTCTTAAAGTGGAGGCATATTTGCTTGTGGTGGAAGGAAACCANAGTCTTAAGTTAATTGAATTTGCATTTATATGCAAATATTACTAAATCCAATTTTAATGGTTTAAGATATAGATTCAAGTATTTCACGTGTATTATTAACTTTACTATATTGTTCAAATAAATATCAAAAAAAGATCTTAGTCAGACTTCTTAATATCTTCATATTTTTGATAACATAAATCATTTCTAAACTATTATTATTTTCAATATTTTTATAATTATCATATCTCTCAAATGCATTTAAATTAATATAATTGAATATTGATTAGACTTATATATTCAATTATTTACTATTCACATTAAGAACTAATACTCTCGATTAATTTATCCTATCATAGCAATTTCTTCTTAATTATAGCATTATTGATGTTGTAACTGTTTATAAATATTAAAGTTATTTAATCGACAATTTATAAATTCAAATTAATTTATTTTATCAAGTAAGTTTTCGTAATAAATCTAAATCGTTATATTTAATAATCATAATGTTAAGTATTATATTTAATACATCTGTTCTTTTTCATAAATAGTGTGATAAACATGCGAGATACCATTGGTATTTTATTTTTAATGGATAAATTGTGAGAATATAATAATCTGTTAAGAATAAAATAGTATTTAAATTAATTATAATAAGAAATGCAATAAATTGAAATACCTGATTTAATATTCATTGAAAATATCGATGAAGTACAAAAGTTCGAGGATGCTATTAATTTTTGTTTAAAGAGGAAAAATGAAATCGACAATGTGAATATTAATTTAAACTAAAAAATAAAGAATTACGTAGATGGCGAAGTAACTATGCAAATTATATGCAGGATCCATATTACAGAGAAATTCAAGTTAAAAGTGAAGAGTTACATTCATAGGCACTTAACTGCACAAAAATATTTGAAGTAAGATGATATTGATTAACCATTATTTTAGTAATTCAAACTGCCAACTCATTTAGATTAAGAATTATCAGCATACTAAAAGGAGTATAAATAATTGGAATAATAAATTAAATAGTAGGAGGATAAAAAGAAATGGGGTGCCTCTGAAAAATAGAAATCAAAAGCAAAGTTACTTAAATTAATAGAAGAGATACAATTATCAATTTTAAGTATCAATTGAATAACATAAATTACAAAGATAAACTAGAGTTGCCAGAGCCTGAAAATAAGAGTTGTATCATTTTCAATTGGATTGCTGGATGTTTGATAAAGGCAAAGAAAGGTCCTGTATAATTGGCTGAAGAACTTAAATTGAAGGTGGAGAAAGTATAACTTTAACCTGATTCTATAATCAATTAACCTGCTCCTTCTTAAAGTGGAGGCATATTTGCTTGTGGTGGAAGGAAACCACTCTCAAATTCAAGGCCCTTAAAAAGAGCAGCATTACCAGAAGAAGAGTAGAGATACTATGAAAATTTATTGGCATGGAAAGCAATAAAGTAGCATGTTTTTTCATAGGAATTCAAATTCTAAGAGAAGGTTTCCACATTCACTTAGGAATTCGAAAAGTTGGAACCCTTTCAAGTAATGTTGATTGAAGAGATAGTTTCAGAGAAGAAGGAGATAATCAAAGCAATATTTGATATTGATATCAAGGATTAGGTTAGAGTAATAATTGAGATCAATGAAATTGTGTTGTTTTTCTTGAAGGACAATTAACAAGGTCAATAGAATAAATTAAAGGCTTAAGAAGCTGAATAGATTGAATAGAATATGAGATAAAAGGAGGTAGAGATTTAAATGATGTAAAAACAAAAGAATTACTTTGCTGGAAAAGAAAAAAGGTTGATGAGTCTAAAAGCCACATTTTCAACATTGTAAGTAACTTCAACTAAGATTGCTGATTTTGTTAAAGAAAAAATGAATACAAATGATTAATTATTTGCTCAAATTGAAGTCTAAAGAAATTCTGGACTTTCTAAGGAATTAAAGGTTAATTTGGAAGTCGAAGATGTTTATAGAAGAAAGAGATATGAATGGGAAGAAAATATGAAAAAGTAACAGGCAATTGAAGAGGAATAAAGAGAAGAGGAGAGAAAGAAACTTGAATCTTAGGAAAGAAAGAAAGAGGATGATAAGAACGATCAATCTGTTATAGATAATAAAGAGGGAGTATGAATATTTGTAATTGTAGGAAAACAATGTTTCTAATATATAATAATAAGCTAATGAAGAAGATTCTGATTATCAAGAAGAAGAGTCTGATGGAAGTTAAGATGATGAGGAGGAGAAATAGGATTGGATAGTATATTTTATATTAAAGTATTCTTTAAGGTACTAGCTGATGATGCTGACACCAAGCATATTTAAAAGACTTTATTTCCTGACAAAATAAAGACAGCTGAAAATAAGAATTTAGCCAAACAAAAAAATCAGGGAGAGTCTTTAAAGCAATTAATGGCAAAGAGAAAGAAAAATTGAAATTGTCATTATTAAAAGATTATAATTTAATAATTATGCTTTTTTAAATAGAAATATTTCATTATTTGAAAAATCTCAATAATGTGCATTAATTAGTGAAGTTTTTATTCAAACTTTTAGTTTCCCCAAAAAGAGTTTTATGTGTTTTATTAACACTTGAATCGTCATCAGTTTCTGTGAATTAAGATTTTAAAAGAGTTGTATTAAATGTAGATGGCACTTTTTGTGACTCTATTATTTTCTAAGTTGATAACGATCTCATTTCAGAAGAGATGCCACAACTTTGATCAGGCATGCTTTAATTATTCTTCTTATGTTTTTTACATGTCTTAGTAATAAGGGAACTAAAGTTTTTCATTATATTTTCTTTGTTATTATCTGAATTTCTTTCCTAAGACACTTTTTTTTGTTTTAACTAACAATGTATATTAGGCTAAGATGCTGTGTGAGTTTGCAACACATTCTTAACCTTACTACTTATTAATAGGTTGTTAATCTTATCATCAATATTGGATGAATTTATTTAGGTTATTGAAGCTGATCTTGCTTAAGTCTTTTGAACTATTGAAGAAAAGTAAAAATTAGAGAAAAAAGGAGTGAAAACATTTTCATTATCTGAATTCAATGATTTTTAGAGATCCCTCTAAAAATTATTCTCTCCTTTAGTAATTTCATTTTAATCAAAATTCATCTTCATGAGATCTGGTTTGAAAGGAGGTTCATATTATCTATTAAGAATTTTGTAAAGTGATTTATCTTACAACCAAGGATGCTTTAGAATTTCATAAATCCCATATTCCTTTCCTAAACGATTAAAAACATCCTTTTGTAACAACTTCTACATAAGATCTCTAGACTCTGCACTGCAATTTTTGTTTGGTAATGTTAAATCATGCTATAGGATATTTTTATAGATCTATTCTGGATTATTTGAATAATAGGGAGGCAAACCAGTTAGTAATTCATAAAGTAGAGCTCCCAAACAATAATGATCAATCTAATAGTTATGTCCTGACTTTAGTAGCATTTCAGGTGCCATGTATTCTGGAGACCCACAAAATGAAAAGGCCAATAAGTCATCCTTCATATTTGGTCTGGCTAAACCAAAGTCAGCCAATTTGATATTGCCATCCTGATCTATCAGAATGTTCTCTGGTTTGATATCCCTATAGATAATACCATTTTCATGTAGATGATGAATAGCCAAACAAACTTAACTAAAATAAAACTTTGCTTATTGTTCATCCATCCTCTTCACTCTCTTCAATTGTTAAAACAACTCACCTCCTGGACAGTATTCCAAGGCAAAACAAACCCAACTTTTTGTTTCAAATACACTTAATAATTTACATAGAAATGGATGTGAGTTGCTCTATTCTGCTAAAGCAACCATGATGTTTCTTTCATTCTAGATGATTTAGAATTTGTCATGTTCTTAAATGAATTGTTTTGAAATCATTTTCAATGCCATAAATTAACCATTCGATTTGCATCTCACCAAATAGACTCTTGAAAATCCTCCAACACCTATGCATTACAAAAAATAGAACGAGTCCAATGATATCAGAGCTTGCTGTATTGAATGTAAGGGCTTTAATTAAATTGTCTAATTGGTTAGAAATCCTAAATCTTAATTCTAAGTCAAATAGAAATCCAAAGGTATGTTTTAATCTAATGTTTAAAATCCGACTACTAATGGCTAATTTAACAAACCTTTTAAATGATTAACTAAATTTAATGTGGTTTGATTTGAAGTTGGAAATTAGATTGAATGCAATAATTCATTGTTCAAATAAACTTTTACATTCACCACTCCTGATCTGTTGATTTCCTTCTTTACATAATTGTTCATTAATGATTAAACCTTTTATTTTTGATCCATTGCAATATTTGTCTGTTAATTAAATAATTTACTATTATTCACAATATTTAAAAATACAAACAATATTTTGGGGTGTCGAAAAATAATAATTAATACTCCATTAAATAAACAATTTGTTACAATTAAAGACTACAAGAAGTGAATTTACATTAAGAACACAGCAAAACAAGAAAACCCGATTAAGGATAAGTATTAAATGTTTGAATGACAAATTCATTATCAATTTTGTATTAGTTTAATTTACTTCGATTTCATTTTCTAAAATATATAATCTCTTATTTACTGCTAATTCTTATTCGAATTCTTTGCTCATTTTCTCTTTTAATTTATCTGCTTCCAATCTCAATAATTGTTTCTCTCGTTGTTATTGCTCTTTCAATTTCTAAAGTTATTCTACTTTATTCAATTTTTCCTCAAATTATTATGCCTTGTGATCTCTTAATTATTGTAGTCTCTCTTAATGTTTCTAAACTAACTGTTGATACGTTTCAACTTTTATTTTTTCACTTTTTTTTCGATCACTATTTTGTTTAGAAAGACTTGATAAGACCTGAATTATAGACTAATAGATACATCCTCGGACTTTTTGAAACGAAGTTCAAGGGAATTGTTGATTTTATTGATCTTATTTTCCAAGATGGTTTCATTTTATTATTACACACATTCAATCTAATGTGAGTGATTTGACAGTTTTCTGTGCAAAGAGGTTAAGTAATCTTTATGATATCCATTCTCGTATTTCTCTAAGTTATCCAGAGTCTTAGCAATTTTCTTTTAATATCCCTAAACAATCTAAATTATAATTAATACATTCAACTTCTCTTATTCAATTTATTAACTTTGAAACAACGTGCGATCTATATGATTTTTCCTTAATTCCGCTTTGAGTCTGCCTATTTCTTTTTATCTATCTTGCTTTTGTTAAATATTATTATATTTGTCATTTTTCTGTCTTAATTTCATTTCATTCTAGAATTCTTTTTCCTTCTGAATCCTCTCATACTCCTATAAATGTTATTTATCTTTTTCTAATTTCATTTTGTACCTAGTTAAGGGATCCATATTATAAATTAAAATAAAAAATGCAAAGTATTAAAATGTTGCGCTTAACCAGGTTAAACATTAATACATCTAGCTATTCTCGATAATTGCAATGTTTTTGGAGACTCAAAAAAGCAAATAAATTGGATCATTGCCACTTGACTCCTGGTTAAAAAGTGCTTTTATAATATGACCATAAGCGTATTTTATAACGAGAGTTACTAAAATCCGTAAACATTTCAATTCCTATTCTCTATCATGTGGGATAGAGATCACATATAGGGGAATGTGTAAATTTGCTATGATTACCTGATTTTCACAGTAAATTCCAAGAGATTAAGCAAAGAGCATAAGGATAAGGAAGATCATTTAAATTTTTCTATCTATGTATAAGAGATTTACAAAATAATTTTCAATCCTATCGCTGAATTAATGTAAATTATTATAAGGAGTATCTGTGGTAACAGAGTACCCTAGAATCAAAAGAAACTACTGTGAAAGAATTTGTAAGGCTAAACTCAGTATGAGTGAGGAAAGTAGAATTATTTCTATGAAGTAAGTATTAGAAATAACAGACGGTATGCCATTCTATTTGTAAACGAAGCCATGGTTCTTATTATATTTGATAAATAGACATGGTCAATGAGCTTTAATATGTAGGTAGTTCTTATTAAGAATTTTTGAGGAGAACCGAATACGCTGGCCCTCATGTTATTCTAATAAAGGATTCTGGGAAGAAGGTGTTTGGTGGATTCTTATTGAGTTCGTGGAGACTATCTAAGAATGAGTTTTCAGATAGAGAGAAATAATTTTGGTTATCAGCCTATACAAATCACACAAGGATTTTCAAGAGGACTCAAAAAAACAGGCGTTTATAGATGGCTGATGAGACTGGGTTCAGTATTGGAGCAGGAGAAAACTAAGTTAGTGATAATATAATTTAGATATGGTTTATTTGTAAGCAGTTCCTTTAGTAAAGGGGAATCTAATTGGAGTGAAACTTTCGATAATGAAGTGTTGTCGAGTGAAAGTGATTTCTAAATTCAAGCATTTNAGTAATCTTTATGATATCCATTCTCGTATTTCTCTAAGTTATCCAGAGTCTTAGCAATTTTCTTTTAATATCCCTAAACAATCTAAATTATAATTAATACATTCAACTTCTCTTATTCAATTTATTAACTTTGAAACAACGTGCGATCTATATGATTTTTCCTTAATTCCGCTTTGAGTCTGCCTATTTCTTTTTATCTATCTTGCTTTTGTTAAATATTATTATATTTGTCATTTTTCTGTCTTAATTTCATTTCATTCTAGAATTCTTTTTCCTTCTGAATCCTCTCATACTCCTATAAATGTTATTTATCTTTTTCTAATTTCATTTTGTACCTAGTTAAGGGATCCATATTATAAATTAAAATAAAAAATGCAAAGTATTAAAATGTTGCGCTTAACCAGGTTAAACATTAATACATCTAGCTATTCTCGATAATTGCAATGTTTTTGGAGACTCAAAAAAGCAAATAAATTGGATCATTGCCACTTGACTCCTGGTTAAAAAGTGCTTTTATAATATGACCATAAGCGTATTTTATAACGAGAGTTACTAAAATCCGTAAACATTTCAATTCCTATTCTCTATCATGTGGGATAGAGATCACATATAGGGGAATGTGTAAATTTGCTATGATTACCTGATTTTCACAGTAAATTCCAAGAGATTAAGCAAAGAGCATAAGGATAAGGAAGATCATTTAAATTTTTCTATCTATGTATAAGAGATTTACAAAATAATTTTCAATCCTATCGCTGAATTAATGTAAATTATTATAAGGAGTATCTGTGGTAACAGAGTACCCTAGAATCAAAAGAAACTACTGTGAAAGAATTTGTAAGGCTAAACTCAGTATGAGTGAGGAAAGTAGAATTATTTCTATGAAGTAAGTATTAGAAATAACAGACGGTATGCCATTCTATTTGTAAACGAAGCCATGGTTCTTATTATATTTGATAAATAGACATGGTCAATGAGCTTTAATATGTAGGTAGTTCTTATTAAGAATTTTTGAGGAGAACCGAATACGCTGGCCCTCATGTTATTCTAATAAAGGATTCTGGGAAGAAGGTGTTTGGTGGATTCTTATTGAGTTCGTGGAGACTATCTAAGAATGAGTTTTCAGATAGAGAGAAATAATTTTGGTTATCAGCCTATACAAATCACACAAGGATTTTCAAGAGGACTCAAAAAAACAGGCGTTTATAGATGGCTGATGAGACTGGGTTCAGTATTGGAGCAGGAGAAAACTAAGTTAGTGATAATATAATTTAGATATGGTTTATTTGTAAGCAGTTCCTTTAGTAAAGGGGAATCTAATTGGAGTGAAACTTTCGATAATGAAGTGTTGTCGAGTGAAAGTGATTTCTAAATTCAAGCATTTGAGGTTTGGATGAGGAAGCAGTGCATTAGATTGAATTTTAAGATTAGAAACGATCATAATTTACAAAATGATTATTAATAAGTTAAATGAATAAATAATAATGTTGTTAGTAGTGCGAGAACGATGAAAATGTTTTAGTTTGTGTTAAGTGTACATAAGGGTTGTGTGAAGAATGTTTCAAATAGTTCGGAGGGTAGGATTTTGAAGCCTTGTGTCCTGTTTGCTAGATGCTCAGTGTTTTCAGGTAAACTTAGGTGGAGATCTGTGAGGCTTGTGCAGACATTCATGAGAGTGAGTAGGAGGAGATGGAGTGTCTTTATAAATCAATGAATTTAATGAAGGAGAAGATGAATTAACTATTTTTAGTTGGATAACAAAGGTTGAAGAGAGTAGAATTATTGAAATAATAAATATAAATAAATGAAAATGAAATTAATATGATCAAAGCACAAACCTAGATTTTATGATAAATTGACAAATATTATATCAAATAAATATATAGTAATAATTAAAATTTAAACATTAATATGGGAGTTTGTTGCACTCATCCACATCAAAAATTAGAGAACCCTATTACTCCTGAACTTGTCAAAGAAGATATTAAGTATGACCAATTCGCTCTTAAAATTTAAAAACATTATAAAGGATACAAAGCTAGAAAATTATATCATAAAATGAGGATTAAAACTGAAGAATCTCCTGTTGTTCACCATCCCAAACCAGAGATTGCTTAAAAACTAAGCCAAACTCCCACCGATTATGCTTTAACTGTTTAGAAAGCCTTATATAAACTTGGACCATTTCGTTATAATGATTATATTAATTCAGATGATCCACAAAAAAGATCTACGAATTTTTAATTCAAAGAAGAAGACAAAAAACTACCCTTTTTAGAACCGCACAGACTAATTGATGGAGCCATCTACATAGGTTAATGGAAAAATGGAATGAAATGGGGAAAGGGAAAATAAATTTGGCCAGATGGTTCAGTTTATGAGGGATTTTGGCAAAATAATAAAGCATGTGGTATAGGCAGATTAATTCATTAAAATGGAGATGTTTACATAGGAGATTGGTTAGATGATAAATGTCATGGTTTTGGTGTCTACACGCATAGTGATGGCACAGTCTATAAAGGTAATTGGGTCGAGGACAAACAAGAAGGAGATGGCATTGAAGAATATCCAGATGGCACTGTTTACAAGGGTTAATTTCTCAATTCAATGAAACACGGATATGGAGAATGCTTTTATTCCAATAAAAATTAGTACTCTAATTATTACTATTTAGTTACAAAGGGGAATTCCAGTACAATTTCATACATGGCTAAGGCAAGTTTGTCTGGAGTGATGGAAAAGAATATGAAGGAACCTGGGAAAATAATCAAATGCATGGATAAGGAGAATTTAAATGGCCGGATGGTAGATCCTATAAAGGAGATTATAAGCATGATTTAAAGGATGGAGAAGGAGAATTTATAATAGATGAAAACACAAAGTATAAGGGCAGTTGGAAGAATGGAAAATAACATGGGGATGGAGTGCTTGTTGTTAAGGAAATTGCAAGACCAGGAATATGGTGTGAAGGCATACGAATCCAATGGAAGGATAAATTCTGAATTTTCTTAATTATTTTAACTATTATTATCTGCTATATTAAATAAAATCAAAAAATTTGTTGTTTGTCAACCAATCAAAACAGAATATGAGAATCATCTAACTTAACACAATTTCAAATATTAATTAAATTTCTTATGAAATTCAACAATAAAACAATCCTGAAAATTCTATTCATAGATACTACCAATGAAAAGAATAATTGAAAATGAAAATTCGAAAGGAACCTGAAATTACGTCTAATATATATAAAGAACCCTTAAATAATGATTTCTTTATTTCTAAATAATTACTTAAAACTATGATAGATTTTTGCAAACACCTTAACTCAAATATAACAAGATATTTAAGGAGCTCACGAATAACAATATTTTATTTGAAAACACTCGCATTACATATTAGGAAAAGGATGATTTGTGAAACTCACAAATTGTATGACTATTAAGAATTCGGATTATCAAAATTAGATCCTTTATGAAACGAAAATGCAAAAATTATTGAATCAATATTATTTGGACAAATTTACTTATAAGAGATTTAACATTTTTATTTGTCATTAAACTCTTTATAGACCAATACGGAAATATTTGGATGGATTTTAAAATAGTTAATTCTATTTGTAAATTTCTTTGAAGAGTATTTTTTATATAAAAACTAATTTTTTCAAAAACTTCCTTAAGTGGAATAATTCTGCATTTTTAATTATAAAAAGATGATCTTTCATTTAACATAATAATGTGTTCCAAAACTGAATAATGATATTGATATAATATGAATGGTATTTTGAAAAATTTATAATAAGATCATTTCCTCTTATAAACAAGTAAAGTATCTAAAAGATTATTAAAGAAAACGGATTTACTTTAATATTTGATTGCGTTCAATAAAATTTTAAGAAATGTCAAATTATATCAGAGATGAAAACTAAATTTAATTCAGTAAAAAGGCTAACATTGTACTCATAAGCAGTAATTTAAGTAAGGTCAGAAATTTTTATTTAAAAATATCAATTATAATAGATCCTTATTCTTTAATTATATATAAGTATATATTTATAAACAGAACTAATTTAACAGAATTTAATAAAATTAATTAAAAATAATTAATTTTTTATTAATAATGATATGTCTATTTTCTTGATAAAAATTAATATAAAGATATAATTATTCAATAAAACTAAATATTTATTTAGTTATAAGTTATAAGCTGTGATTCTGAGAATCCCTAGCAAATATATAATTATATGAAAAAAAGGGCAATTTTAAAAATTCGAAATATCTTTCTATTTGCTTGATAATACAATGTATGATGCATTTTATAATAGTACTCAATTGATGTTTAAATTAGAGTACATTTTAATAATTAGTATACTAAATATTTATATTAACATTCTGAAGATGAAAAATTAACTTTGGAATTGCCCTTTAAAGTAAAGTACTGTCCATTTCCTTATAACTAAGCACTTGAATATTTTGACTTTCCATTAAATTAGGCAAAAGTAGAGTGGTTTTTCTAAATTTAGATTCAACTTTATATTACAATGATATGTAATTAATTAAGAATATTCTGATTTATCCAGTTTGATTTTACTTGAGTCTAATGATCCTGGTTGAACTCTGCCATATTTAAATATGTTATTTTGCTCTCAAGTCTTAATGAAAATTATGCGTTATTGGTTTGTGTTTAATTTATATTTGGAAAAATGGAGAACATAAATAATTTTGGAGTGTAAAAGAATAAAATTCTCAATAACTTTAGAAAATGGCTAACGAAACGAGATATATTTCCATTAAAGAGATCGAATTTAGCATTCATTAATAGAGTATTTCGGTGTATTTTGAGGAAATTTATATAAAATTAGAATGGCTTTGTACAAATCTAGGCAGGCTCATTTGTTCAGTCTCTTTTGGGGGATAAGTTAATTATGTTAATATGAAATATGAATAACAATATTGGTTGTCATTACGAACTATGGTAATCAATCATCATCTTCTATTGGTTCTAAAATATCATCATCAAGAAAGTCAGGTGGAGCTATTTCGTCAAATATGACACCTTCTACTTCGACATTATATTGGTATTCATGACCTTCTTATAGTAACAAATATGTACTGTTAGGATTGTAGGGCAGAATTACTCGTTCTTAAGGTTACTGCAGATATTTATTAATCCATGGCATTCTCGGAAAAGCTTGAACTTCAACGATTTAGCTTTATTTTGATGGAGAATAGGGTAATTGAATTTTTTATGAGGAGCAAGATCCCATTGCAATTTTTTTTTAAATTAAAATGTTATTTAAAAATAATGTCACACAGCATATGTTCTCTAAATCTTAATCATGCTACCTTTAATTAAAATTAATTAAATGTGATCCTTCGAATATTTATGCCAAATAATTAAATTCTACATGGAATCTCTTCATCCTTATCCACAATCTAGGGAATTATATGTTAAAATCTGACTGGTTAATTTTAGGATTTTGCTATATAATTTTATTACTTGAAAAAAACATGAAATTTTACCCTTAGAATACATTATATGTGTCATGGAAGAGAGTTATTTCAATAATTGTTCCTTAGTATTCTCTCTAAATCCTTTGTTTATCAAATGGAATAATCTATTTTATCAATGTCCTTATAGGCTATAAACTGTTCATCAATGAAGCAGATCTAATCTACAAATACTCATAGAAGGATGGTAAATCCTTATTATTGGTACTGAGACTATCTAAACTTTCATCAAGTCTTCTTTCTATTATTAATAAATGAGATTCGATATACAATTTATTGGAGTATGGTATCAATAGACTATCATTTTTCATTTTGTGAAGCTAATCTCTCATTTGAGATACAGAGTCTTGTAACCTAAGTATTCATTATCCAGAGATGAAATTAATTGTTTAAATATATTAAGAATAAGTTTCTAGTTTGTCAGATAATATAATAATATTTCAGGTTATAAGTATTATTCATATTTACTATAATAAATATAACACTTTTGATTTCCATTATGATCTTATATATTTAAAAAGGATAGATACTTCTGTTAATATAAAACATTATATTGTAATAAATTTAATAAGGAATTTAAGAAATACCATTCTTCGATATGAGAAAATTAGAATTTCGAAATGGATAAAAGAATTCATCTTAAGATCTGATTGTAGAAAGAACCAAAATTAACGTCAAAAATATTTTCTTAGATATTAAATAATTGATAGGATAATTACACTTTGACCCAGAAAATGCAAATTATATATTGAATAATAGAATAGGATTTTGGACACACTTCTTTAATATCTAGGAGGTCTTTAGAAGAGAAGAAAGAGGTTAGAATGCGATTATTCCTAGTAATTATATTTTAGTAAAATAATAGGATAATATTAATTATGAGATAAATAAACTTTAGTGAACAATTCGTTTTCTGGAATACTCAATGTTTATATTATATAAATAATTGGCAATTAGTATGATACATAATTGATAATTTCGTCATTTAAGATTGCATTTGGTATAATAAATATTTGGAGAGACAAGTTGTTAAAATTTTTGTGTTTGACAATGAATAAATGGGCAATATAAAAATATAATAAATTTATATATATATGCAAAAAGTACTCAATTTTAGGGAATACTTTTTAAATCCAAAAGGAATCAAGATTGTGCCTACTTCAAATTTCAAAAGAGCAACACCGATTGAGCGACTATTTGATTAATCTGTTGTTTTGCACAGAGCCGAGAAGTAATTAGAGAAAAATGTTGTTGCATTCAAATTACAGCCATACAAATATTCATTGAATAAACCTGAAATAAAGCAATATTTTACGTAATGTAATGTGATCTAATTATAAGAAAGTGTACGGATTGAATGTCGATAAGGTGAGCACTATTAATTATATGGGAGCAATAAAGAGATCCCCCAAAGGAGGTCGTTATAGAGAGAAGGACTTTAAGAAAGTGTATTTATAACTAAATGAAGATATTGAACCATTCTTTTAGAAAATAGAGAAGTGATTTTATAAGCATATATAAAAAGTATAATAATTATGAATTTAATTTAATATTTGCATAATAAAATCACTCTGGTTTATACAACCATCCAGTTCTACAAAAAGCTCCAGCCAAGACCAACGATAAAATAGCCATCAATTTAATCAGGATATTTAAAGATGGTCCTGAAGTATCTTTGAGAGGATCACCAACAGTATCACCTATAAAACTAAATTCAAATTGATACCAATAACAGCAGCCTTGTGTTCATCTGATCCCTTCTTCTTCACTTCTCCAGCTTCGTTTCTATAAAATCCAGCCTCAATGTATTTCTTAGCATTATCCCAAGCTCCTCCTGTATTGGATGCTGAAATGGCCATTTAAACACCACTAACCAATGCGCCTGGCAACAGACCAGCCACTGCATAGGGTCCAAAGAATAATCCAACTGCAGTTGGAGTAACAATGACCTATGATTTGTTAACATAAATACCAATAACCCAGGAGGAATCATCTCTTTTAATGAAGCCTTTGTTGAAATAGCAATACATGCTCTGAAATCTGGTTCTTCTGTTCCTGCATAGATACCTGGATGTTCATGTAATTGTCTACGAACCTCTTCGACCATTTGAAGTGCAGCTTTTCCAACTGATTTCATTGTGAATGCAGAGAAAGCATAAGGCAACATTGCACCAATCAATAACATTGCAAATATAATAGGATCATCAATTTTGGCACCTTCAGCAAATGGGAATTGATCACCAACTTTGTAAGTCTATATTCTTGTCAAATATCCACCATAAAGTGATAATGAGACTAAGGCAGCAGATCCAATTGCAAATCCTTTTCCAATGGCAGCAGTTGTATTACCAGCTGCATCCAAAGCATCTGTGGATTCTCTTACGTTTTCTCCCAATTCACTCATTTCTGCAATACCACCTGCATTATCAGAGATAGGTCCATAAGCATCGATGGCTAATCCAATCGTAAGATTTGAAAGCATTCCTAGGGCAGCCAAAGCAACTCCGTAAAATGAAAGCATCTTCATTGACAATAAGGCAGTTATTGCAATTGCAATTATGGGAACTATGGTTGACAAATATCCCAAAGCCAAACCGTAAATGATATTGGTAGCAGCACCAGTTCCACAAGACTTGGCGACTTCTCTGACTGGTGTGTAAGAATGAGATGTCATGTATTCTGTGAAATATCCGATTAATAATCCTGACCATAATCCCATTAAGGAGCACAAGAAAGCATGCCATGGTTTAAGATCTGCCAATTGAATAGAGTTATCTGCAGCGACCATTACAAAGTCAGCAGGTAAACACCAATATGCAATACCTATGATAATTGGAGACAAAGCAACTGTTGATAACAACAATTGGAATTTCAAAGTGGATTCGATCTTATTAATGTGATTTACTTTTGAAATATAAACAGCGTAGGCTGATACCAAAATACAAATTCCAATACCAAATGCTGAAACCATCAATGGATACATTAATTAACCGATTTCAATCACATAAGTATCTCCTGATAACACTCTTAATTATGTAGATGAAACAACCAATGCTGCACATGTTGATTCTGCAAAAGAACCGAACAAATCAGCTCCCATACCAGCAATGTCACCTACATTATCACCCACATTGTCTGCAATTGTTGCTGGATTCTATTTATATATACAATAATAGTACTTTAGGACTGTCTTCTGGTAAGTTCTTCTCTACTTTTCCTACTAGATCTGCTCCAACATCAGCTGCCTTTGTGTATATACCTCCACCGACTCTACCGAATAATGCAAATGTTGATCCTCCTAAACCATAGGCTGCTACGTAATCGAACATTGTGACTAAATCTTCAAAATTGTTCTCATCACTCTTTACTATTATTGCATTATAGATTATTATTATTAATGTTAAAATTGAAAGTGAGATTGAAACCAACAAAAATCCCATTACGCAACCACCTCTATAGGCCATCTTTCATAGCTTAAATACTTCACATACTTAAAATGCATTTGCTAATGATGTAATTGCTGAAAATGCTGTCCTGAAATTTGCTGCTGTTGCTATCGCCATACCCAAATATCCGCAAAGCATTGAAGTTGCTGCTCCCAATACAAATGCGAGTGAAGACCATGGAGAAATAAACTAGATCATATAGAAATTCAGTTTACTATTAATAAAACAGCCATGATTGCTAAAAATACACTGCAATCTGTGTATTCCTCTCTTAAAAAGGCTTGAGCTCCCTTTTTTAATCATTATCAAAATTTACATCTTATATATGTTCTCCTATCTCCAATAGTGTCTCTATTTTCTCCTATTCTGCTCCTTACAAAAGCTCTGTCAATCCCTCATGTTTGTGATGAATCTCTATTTTGTGAACTGCCATCCAATTAAAGATAGCCCAAACTATACCACAAGCACAAGCTATGAAAATAAACACCAAAGCTGTCACAAATTCCATGATATTTAAATTTAATATGAAATCTTAATTTCCTTAGCTTTATATATATTTTTATATTTTAGTATGTATTAACTCACCAAAAGTGCGTAAATAGTCATCGAATAATAAGCTATAATTAATAATATATCACTTTATAATTGAAAATAATTGCAAATCATTAAAAACAGATTGAAATCAAACATTTTTGTCTCAAATTGATTTTCCTTAGATCTAGAATTTGATGTGTATTTAGTTTTGATCATAAAAAGGTTTCTATTATATATGATAGAGTATTTAAATATAATGGTGAGATAAAAATTAAAGTGAGTCCTTAAACTTAGATGCTTTGAAATATTAATATATATCTATATTGATCAAAAATGAGATAAAGAATGAAAATTAGCAATAATAGATAATCAAAAAGTATGAACTAACCTTATAAAAGGATTATAAATCTAAGCATTTTTTCATAAATAAATGAGAATAAATTGCTAGATAAGAATTATACAATTGTCAAGATATTTGAACAAGATTTCTCTTAATATATCCTTAACACATACTTTGGTTTATAGGTCAGAATAGACTTTAAATTAGTGCTGTTAAAAATAAAATTAATTTTGTCAACGGAAATAAAATTGATATTTGTATTCAAATAAAATCAAAATGGTATTATATTAGTCATTTTTAAATTGAACCAAGATACTAATTTTTCACATTCTAATCATTGAAACTATTTTATTTCTTAGATGAAAGTGACATGAATCTAGACTTCTATTACATTGTTATAAACTCACCTTTGAAAATATTGGTAAGAGTTTATAAGTTTTTCAATTACATCTTGAATTGTAATAAATGCCCTTTAGGAACTTCTCTTTACATTCATATATATATTTAAGAAAAATTTAAAGTGTATTCCCAAGAAGATATAATTTAAGAATATTTCTAAAATTAGAATTTTGTTATTAATTTGTTAAATTAACATACTGAGTGATTCTTATTGTTTATATATAATTTATAATAATCATCGGTCTAATTTGCTTCTGTTAATATATTGGTTTTGTCCGCACTTTGTACATTTGTCATAGAAACAAGTCCTATGAAATATTTTCTTGCATTTTCTGCAGTACTAAGTTCCAATTATATCAAAGATGTAAATATTACCTTTTAGACATTCAGCACATTTAACACTTAATTTTTGACACTATGGACATTTAGAGATGTGTTCTAAGCCATAATCATAGGCACTAGTAGCAATTTTAAATAAAGTTTTATTATTAATGTCGATGAAATTTTATATACTGAATAGGTTAATAGGTAATAGTAAATGAGAGTAGTTTTAGGTGAAATTAAAATCAAAATTAAAGTCTTGGCATAGTAAATCATACATCAATCTCAGAGATCGTTTTTTAATTAGAAAGTCATATAAAATTTGATTCTAATAAACAACATTATCAAAGTAGTTGATTTGAAAGATGATTTTCTTCATATTCTTTTAAATGGTCTCATANCTCACCAAAAGTGCGTAAATAGTCATCGAATAATAAGCTATAATTAATAATATATCACTTTATAATTGAAAATAATTGCAAATCATTAAAAACAGATTGAAATCAAACATTTTTGTCTCAAATTGATTTTCCTTAGATCTAGAATTTGATGTGTATTTAGTTTTGATCATAAAAAGGTTTCTATTATATATGATAGAGTATTTAAATATAATGGTGAGATAAAAATTAAAGTGAGTCCTTAAACTTAGATGCTTTGAAATATTAATATATATCTATATTGATCAAAAATGAGATAAAGAATGAAAATTAGCAATAATAGATAATCAAAAAGTATGAACTAACCTTATAAAAGGATTATAAATCTAAGCATTTTTTCATAAATAAATGAGAATAAATTGCTAGATAAGAATTATACAATTGTCAAGATATTTGAACAAGATTTCTCTTAATATATCCTTAACACATACTTTGGTTTATAGGTCAGAATAGACTTTAAATTAGTGCTGTTAAAAATAAAATTAATTTTGTCAACGGAAATAAAATTGATATTTGTATTCAAATAAAATCAAAATGGTATTATATTAGTCATTTTTAAATTGAACCAAGATACTAATTTTTCACATTCTAATCATTGAAACTATTTTATTTCTTAGATGAAAGTGACATGAATCTAGACTTCTATTACATTGTTATAAACTCACCTTTGAAAATATTGGTAAGAGTTTATAAGTTTTTCAATTACATCTTGAATTGTAATAAATGCCCTTTAGGAACTTCTCTTTACATTCATATATATATTTAAGAAAAATTTAAAGTGTATTCCCAAGAAGATATAATTTAAGAATATTTCTAAAATTAGAATTTTGTTATTAATTTGTTAAATTAACATACTGAGTGATTCTTATTGTTTATATATAATTTATAATAATCATCGGTCTAATTTGCTTCTGTTAATATATTGGTTTTGTCCGCACTTTGTACATTTGTCATAGAAACAAGTCCTATGAAATATTTTCTTGCATTTTCTGCAGTACTAAGTTCCAATTATATCAAAGATGTAAATATTACCTTTTAGACATTCAGCACATTTAACACTTAATTTTTGACACTATGGACATTTAGAGATGTGTTCTAAGCCATAATCATAGGCACTAGTAGCAATTTTAAATAAAGTTTTATTATTAATGTCGATGAAATTTTATATACTGAATAGGTTAATAGGTAATAGTAAATGAGAGTAGTTTTAGGTGAAATTAAAATCAAAATTAAAGTCTTGGCATAGTAAATCATACATCAATCTCAGAGATCGTTTTTTAATTAGAAAGTCATATAAAATTTGATTCTAATAAACAACATTATCAAAGTAGTTGATTTGAAAGATGATTTTCTTCATATTCTTTTAAATGGTCTCATAGGCTTCTTTGCTTACTTAATATTTGTTAAAATCAAATTTATTAAGAATTAGATGAGGAATAACACTTAATTCATTGCTGATGCATTGACGACAAAAAAATAGACCACTATAATGACAATAATATGCCGTTCCTTGAAAAAAGAAATAAGAGTTCTTCTGAATTTAGGTTTAACAAGCATGACATTATCCTGTAAACTTACTAATTGGTGTTTATTGGCAATTCCAATATTCTTCAATTTGTTTATCTCTTAATTCTCTCAATAGTTTTGTCGATTTTTTGCATTGAAATGAAATATATTGAGGCATGGCTTTGTGTTACTCTTCATCAGATTCATCTCCTTTAATGGAATCTTACTCCATCATAGGACTGCCAAAATTGAGGTCTGGAGTTTCCATGTCTTATTTTCTATGTGTGGGTGCATGAGTGGCTGAGTCATCACAATCTAAAGAGAAGACATGCTTTATTGGCTGGATGTCTTCGAATTGTTGGAATCTCTCAAAAAGGTCTCCTTACATATTGTTTGATATATTGGGTGGCTGTGGAAAGAATGTTTTTGTATTAGTTTATTCTCTATACAAAGGTGTTGGTATATCGTAAATCTTATCGCCTATCAAAGTAATATGTTTGCAATAATAACTATCGAGGATGTCTACCAATTCTCCTTGTCGGATGCATGCATTATTTTAATATTTCTCTTTGGTCTCATTGGATAATATGAATTCCAAAAGAGTGTTCGAATTCAACTCTAATAAGATCCAAATAGGTGCCTTGAGTCTGTCTACTTTAACGAATTTGAGGCATTTCTAGATGAATTTGGTTGACTTTCTATTCTCGATGATTGGATAGAGATGACTGAAAAATCCGCTGTGAACTTCTGAAAGTTGTGGACTTTAGATTTGCTAGAGATTTCTAAATTCTATACTAACATATCTAATCCGCTATTAAATATCTTAACTAAAACAGCTAATAGCTCTAATATATATTAATCATTTATTGGGACTTCTTGATCCTAATAGGGTATGTGATCAACCAAATTCTTCAGTTTGCGTAGAATCTGTTAATGATTGTTTTTTCTGCCCATCAAATCTGGAGTAGTCGTTGAGCTCTCTAACTCATATTTCATCATGTTTTAATAAATTTATATATTCATATTATGTTTTTCATCGTATCATCAATTTTTCTCATCAATTTGAATTACATTGTTTAAGAAATTCTTATATTGGTTTTAATGGACATATCTCCATAAAAATTTCAATTTAATACAGAGTTAATTAGTTTGAATGGATGAACACATCAGTAATTTCAAAAAATGTGATGAACATTAGTTTAAGAAATTGGTTTAATAATTTGCTACAATTATATTGTAAGTTCAATTTTCGTTGACTCTAAGAAATATTAGAGAAGATAAAGATATATTAGTTGTTAATATAATTTAAATGTAAATGTTTAGTAAAACAGAAAATCTAATGAATTGATGAAGACACAATGAAAGTGAATATCAAAAAAATCATTCTATAATCATAGTAGAAGTATTATTGATCAATCGTGTTTCTAATAAGGTTTAAGACACTCTCTGATGTAGTAACTTAGATGCATAACCGTTCAGTGTTAGTGATTATGTTGACTCAGTTAAACACAAAATTGATAACATCTTTTTCTAAGTTTCCATTCTTTTCGTTCTCCAATATTCTTGTTCCTTCAATAGAGGATCTGTTTTTGTTTATATTCCCAAATTGTGAAGGTATTTCACTATTTATATTTCGGTCTTCTTTTCTTCAGTATTTAATTATATTTCTATAGAATCATTCAATTCTCTTATATTCATAGGACTATCGTAATTTGCATTTGAAAGCCTAAGAATATCAAAACTTTGATTGGGTTAATCAATTTTTGATTTCATCAAAGCAATATTGAGAGTAATCTAAAAAAAAAATATTTATGAATTATATAAAGTTTGTTCCCTTAAATACTAAATTTAATTGAAAGTATATTTTAATAAACCAATCAATTCATAAAACACTCATTTCCGTATTGTCTAAGTCGCCTTACCTAATATCAAATGCTTGTGTATGGATGTTTATCAGAGCAGGGATTTATTTAAACAAGATCCATATTATTTAAAAATCTTAGTGAATAATAGTATTATAAAAAATAATTATAATAAAACTTTAAAAAAATTTTTATTAATCAAAGAAATTTCGATGGGTACATAAAACAATGATCATTAAATGAAGGCACCAAATTATTTTACTAATTTAATTTTTCGATTTTATCATTTAGCACATTTTCATCCTCATCGTTTGAATCTACAAATGTCTCTGAACTGATCTTCTTCTTTTACTTTAATAACATAAAAAGCGAATTCGGATCTTACACCTATTAAATGTGTGGAATATTTTCCTCAGAAAAGTTATTCGTAGTTTTTTTTAAGTCACACTCACTATCCTTGATTTCTATAATTGTCCTTAAACTAGGAAGTGCCATTTATTTAACCATCAATTTTTATATCTTTTTTTCTTTATTGTTTATTAGCCAAACATGTTTTAATGCATCATTTATGCTTATTCTAAGATTATGATGAGGTTATATCATTTTTTTTATTAGATCCAATTAGCTTATACTAAATAGTTATGGGTACTCTTGAGAAAACTTTTATTTAGTTATCAAATTTTCTTATTCTATTATAAGATTCATTAAGTTTTCTGCCTAACTTTAAAAGTAATTCATCTTGAATGGTTAGGTGTAATTGAAAAATGTGATCAAACCTAAAATAACTCCTAATTAATAAATATCTGTTGATGATGATGGACATGCTCCTCTGTGTATCTCAGGAGCTATCAAATAATTTGGAGTCAAATGTTTATACTTAAATAGGGTATTTTCGTCGTAAAACTAAAATGAGAATTTAATATACTTTATATTGCGAATTAACCAAATAAGTTCCAAATTCGGTTTTTTTATCTTAATAACAAATAATGTTTTCAAAGGAAACTTTTCCATGAAATAATTCCTCATCTGCAAGTGATCTCAGGGCTACTAATATTGATACGCATATTGTTGCTATTTACTATTAATTGAAGTATGATTTTTTTGATTAATTATAAAATAAATCAAGAGAATTTCCTTTAAAATATTTACAAACTATAAATAACATTTATTTATCTTCAAAAACGCCAATAGTTTAAATATAATTACTAATAGATGAATTTCTTAAGATTTTTAAATAATTGTCAAGTAATTCTGCCTGGTCATAATTTTGAATGCTAGTTAAATTAATCACCTATGAAGCAAATAATGACTTTTGCTTTTTGTGTTAAATTACATAAAAGTTTTAACAAATCAGCTCTACTACTTTGAATTTTTTATTAAAATTATTTCTTTTGCAATATTTCTTAATACAGGTATTCCATTATTTTAGTGACATCGGGTGAGAAAATATTAATACCAATTGTCCATTTGGATTTATGAGCTTCAAAAAGTAGGCTCTAAAATGTGAGGATTAGTATTTCTTTTTTTCAATAAAACAATCATTTAAAACTAGGCAAAATTGATTGTCATAAATCAATAGTCCTCTGAACTGTGAAATCTTTTTTTGTCCAAACCAATTATCCGCCCATATCGTTGCTACTCCTTCATGCTCTGGAACACAAATATTGAGAGACAAAGAATCTTTAGGAATCATTTTAATATCAGATTTTAATTCCTTCATCTGTGAATTTCTCATTATCCAATCAAGTTTGGTTTAATTTTCAAGTACAGCCAATTTATCAAGCCTTTCACTTGAAGCTCTCGGTCTAATATTATTTTTTATCATTTAATTATAAATCAAATATCATGTTCCAGAATTTAAAAATCTTAATAAGTGTTAATTAACTAATATATGTAAATATGAAAGGAATAAATTAATTAAAATATTAGTGGCATGTATTATGTCTGAAATAATTTTGAATTCTACAACATTCCGTCGAAATTCTAAAGATGAATAAGAAAAAATTATAAAGCAAACTCTTTATTAAATATTCTAAGTAATATCAAAATGAATCAATTATTATTCATTGTAATAAATTAAGTGAAAATAAAATAAATCAATAAATAAATAATATTAATTAATTTAATTTCAAGCTTTTATTGTCCGCATTCAAAAAGAAAAATCAAATATAATTATTATAATGAATAATAAAATTTGCGCAAAAATGAATTCTAATGATTTCTCCTCAGAAATTCAGATTATTAACTTATTTACTAAATTCAACATTTTTTTAGTACTAGTAATAAAACTCTACATCTACACCAAATTTATTACATTGTCTAATTTAAATAAGTATGTTTTGTAAGTATAAAGAAAATTTTATGCCAAATGTAAGTCAGATAGGAATTTGATGTCTTCTGCTATAATAGCTTCCTTTCATAATTAACCTTATCAAAATTATTGAAAAGGATTTGCTTAATTTACTATAATGTAAGTTTAGAATTGCTTATAGTAATAAACAAAAATATTGAAAAATTCTGTTTCGTGGTGCATTTTAAATTTGAGATCTTAATTGTAATTTTTAATCAATATTAAGCATCATAATTTGCATTTAAGTAACTTTTTTAAATAGTTTGTTTTTATATTTATTACAAAAAGTCTGACTCTTTATGATTACAATCTCAGGTTTAAACTACTCTATCCTTATAGTAAGAACCATCTAATTAGATATCAAATTAATTCCATTTTTGTTATTATTTTTACTTCCTTATATACTTAAATAACAATGCTACATAATATATAAAACTTAGGTAAAAAAGAGTTTTGCGTATTTATTTGAATTCAAACTTGTCGAATTTCTTAAATTTTGATTTTAAAATTAGGGTAATCATTCTAATACTATAGCATAAATTTTTTTAAGGATTAATCATTTAAATTTATTATTAATGGTTTTTATTGAATTAAATGATATTATATAGTTTTTTATTTGAATTCTTGAAACTCCTAACAAATAAGGGAGTCGTTATTCTAGAGGGCTTCTATTCTCTATCGCTTTTATTTTTATTAATCAATATCTTTAATGTATGGTACATTTAAAATATAGAAAATCAAAGATATTATGACCCTATAAAAAAATCAAGGAATATCACTTTCTGATGTAGTTGAACCTAAATTTAGTTAATAAATCAACTTTAACAAAGCTGATCATTGATCATTACATAATCAATTATAAATTACCTCAATTTTTTAAAAGTATAATCTAATTAAACCAAACATCTAAATTTTAGTCTTTGATTTTGAGCAAATGAGATTCAATTAGTAAATGTATATCTCCATAATCAACACTATATTAGAACAGATTAAACATTTTAAAGTATTAATAAAGAAATAATAATATGTAATAATTAAATATAATAAATTTGAGAAGAATAGTATTTGTCTAGTATTTTTAATTATTACTTTATTTAGTCTAATATTATTTTGTTCTTTTTCATAATTTTCGTAATAGGACTATTTTGTTGTAGTATTTATCTATGATTATAGTGATTGGTTCTTCAAAATATAGGTTATAATATCAAAGTGAAACTCCACTGACTATAAAATCTTATTTTATAAATTCAGTAAGGAATTTCATCTTAGCAGGACATCCTGATACAGAGTAGAATGTGATTAGGTATTCTTCCTTTTAGTTTTGATAATGGAAGATTTCATTATCATAGAAATTGGCATCCATCCTTGAATGTGACAGTTGATTTATTTGTTGGATTGTAGGAAATTGAATTAATGCCTTCGATAGTTTTCAGTTTGGGAATGCTGTTAATTATAGTTTGGAGTTGATGAATCATCTAGAATGATCGAGATTGTTCATTATTAATAATAAATTATATGAAAAAATAAAGTGAAGAGATTGTTAATGAAATTCGAAAAAGGCAACCCGATAAACCGTTGTCTTTAACAGAGTTAGCTATGATCAGAGAAATACAATACATGTATTTAAAGAAGGAGAAGTGTGTTTTGGATCTAATAATATAATATTGTTGTGATTGTAATTTGATTTTTAAAAGTATGATTAGAACGATTCCAAATAAGAGTTTGTGAGAAGGCATTCCTAATGACAACAATTGTTCCATTGCTGCATAGTGAAAATCCAATTGATACAATCAAGAGCGGGACCATTATTATTGCATGTTTAAGTGAGAATCAGGAAACCCATAAGAGGATCATCAAGAGTGAATGTCTCCAAAGTCTCACCACTTTGACAAAGAAGAGATTGCATTTCGATATCACAAAATATGCATTGCAAACAATAGCCAATCTTGCAAAGGTGGCTGCTAATTTTCGTAAGATCTTGGAGTGCAAGATCTTTGAAACCAATATCTCTGAAAACAAGAACCCTGAGAACTCCGATAACAAAAATCCTGAATAGAACATAAAGGAGAATCTCTCAGTTATAGATTAAGTCTTGCCCAACCAATCAGAATTGTATGTTCTGTAGATCATATACGAGATGACATCTCAATAACACACCTATATCAATTAGATGTGCAAGATGATGTTGAAGAAGAGATTCATCAAAAAGATCATCCACAGCATTGTTTCTGCTGACGTTGATGTTGCTACCTAAGCAATTCTAATCATCAAGTACTTAAAACCCTTATTCAAATAGTTAATTGATCATCAACAGTAAGAATTTAGATAGACAACAGAACATTGAAAACAAGAATCAGGAGAATATCGAGAGTTCTCCTTAGATCGACAGTAACAACAATAAGAATTTAAAAAGACTGCTTAAATTGAAACTGCCTCCCAAGTTGCTCTTAACTTACAAGTTATTCCAAGGCCACGAGAATTCCATCAAGATTACCAAGTATAATTCCATCTCATCACTTTAGAGCCATTATGCAAACTCTAGAGAATCTATTAAAAATCAA